CAGTGTGGTTTCGTTTTAATAAAAAAGCTATTCATGTGTTACCCGTTGCAAGTTTTTCCTCATAAAAACTCAGTAGACCGATAAATCCTTGCCTAGCCACAAACTTGCCACCTACCGATCATAAACATAAAGATGCATTTGGTCTGTTAGTCTTTTATATTTGCCATTCCCTGTAACAAACAAATAACACTGCAAATATATCAAGAGCTACATCGTTTAGGCCTATGTGAATATTTTTATGAACAGAAATTCACCCGCTTCCAGTGGAACCATTTTGTTTTACCTTGAACCAAAAAACACCCTTTCGGGTTTTATAAGTTTAAGTATATACTTCAGTATATTTCATCACAGTGCATCCAGAATCCAACATTTTCAGGGGCCTTAAAGCAGGCCCCTGGCCCTGTGGCCTCACACCGTAAGGGCTCGGAAAAAAAAAAAACATACACGACGGAATTTACTAAATGTAAGAAAGAAGCCTAGCATCAATAATATTTACGTGCGATGTCATGCATAATGATACAATTCTTTGTCCAGAATTAAATGGAACAAAGAATGGAGAAAAAATACAGGGTTTTCGACTTTTCAGTACAGTAGAAACGTCATAAGAGCAACAGTATATTCTAAACAAAAAAGTAAAATAAATTTTCTTTATAATCTCAAAAAAAACTTTGCTAAAAAAGTCATATGAAAGTGGCCAGGAATCGCCTCATATTGCACCACAGAGCATCCATATTCCAAAGCTTTTAGGGGCCCTTTAAGCCACGCCGTAAGGGCTTTGTGCTCCGCGTTCGCATTAATTTTGTCCGTCCTTTAGAAATTCCAGCACCCCCTGGCAAAACTTTGTTCCAGCGGGCTTGAAAATAAGATTCAATAGTCCGAAGGTTCGATAGTCCGAATTGACTATAAGGTTCGATAGTCCGAAAAGACTCTATGATGGTCCGATGGATCCGAATCGACAGTAAGGTCCGATAGTCCGAATCGACAGTAAGGTCCGATAGTCCGAATCAACAGTAAGGTCCGATAGTCCGAAGAGTCATACTGACGAACCGTATTGCCCATTCGGACAATCGAACCTTATTCTCAATTCGGACTATCGAACCTTTTTCTCAATTCGGACTATCGAACCCTATCGTCTATTCGGACTATCGAACCTTCGGATTAATTAACCGTATTCTATGTTCGGACTAATGGGACCTTCGGACTATCGAACCTTCGGATTATCGAACCTTCGGACTATTGAACCTTCGGACTAACGAACCTTTGAACTATTGAACCTTCGGACTAACGAACCTTTGGACTAATGACCCTTCGGACTAGAGAACCTTCGTACTATCAAGGCTGTAACCATTACAAACACAATACCAGTGCAGCAAGTCATGTCCTGCAGTTTGTAAAGGTTTTTAGTTTGGGACGTGAAAAAGACAAACAATTATCCATGATGCACAAGCACAAGTGTGTTTCTCGATTAAATACACCATCATTGTCGTTGATGGACCGTCTATCCTATTGAAGTATCCATCAGACATCATCTTCTGTGTGACACGGGCAGAGCATCTCTGAAGGTCCACTGTGTGAGTAGTTTATCCTTTCTTGTTTCCACAAAGCTGGATTGCGACTGAGATCGTGCAAATAAATAATCTTTAAATAAGCTTCATCTGTAGTCTTGTTTATTAATTATTAGAGATTTTGGTAAAAATGAACAGAAGTCTTTGTAGAAATTGTAGATATAATTCATCTTGCGTAAAATATACCTTTGCAAGTTTACAAACTTCCACAAAACGTATTATTTTGCAACATTCGAACGTATAATTGGTTTGAACATTCTACCTTTTTATTGCTTATGTGAACTGTTACTATCGTATTTCAGGACAGTCATCATGGATTGGACTGCTTGCATTATCTGCATGCAAACTACACCAGAAAAACTACGTTGTCCACAAAAAGGTTTAAATTGTAACGCCGGAGAAGTATATGCTCAATTCCTGGCTAATGTTGAAGGGTTTAGGGCAATAAATGCATTGCCAGTTGATGTAGAATACGGAGCCGAAGGGACAGTAGAAACTTTTGTGGAAAATAATGCCTCGTGGCATCATTCCTGAGGTAACATTTATGAGATAATCATGACGTAAGACATTGCATTTTAACGAATCATTGATCACAACAGGGGATAGGAGCGAGAGTCAAATGTACATGTACATACATGTTTAATTTAATACATTAAACTAGAAAACATCCCTCATTTTATCAAACTATTTGTATTTAAATCTTTTAAAGAACGAAGAAAAAAATTGCTAACTGCACTGCTTTCCTTGATCTCAGAAACGTATATTAAATGTAAAAAAAAACGATCCATGGCTTATTCCTAACTAATATCTCAATTTTAATGTATAAGTGTGTAATAATTAGCCGATGACGTCATAATGATGTAATAAATGGCCCTTCCCATCATCCAATTTTTGTATCCTACCTTGTTTTCGAAAAGGTAAATAATGGAGATGCTTTGGTGTGAAAATGGTGCTTTTGTCCACCCGTGTCACGATTTTATCACTAAGGTACCTCACTTTTCCGCTTATCTTTGGAACAAGTTTAAACATTTAAGATACTAATAATCAATTACAAAATATCTTTTGGCATAGAATTTGAGCCTTTCTCTCTGACTTAAAAACAACATCTCACAATACCACATACTGTTTGCATGTTAAAACCAGGTGTCAAAGTGACTACCCAAAATCCATGATTTTAGCCGGAAAAACAGGTCTTTTGACCAAAAAGGGTTTTTTGACCCACAAAATCACCCTCAACTATATTCCATCCCAATGACATACCACTCAAATGAAAGATCTTGTTGTCCCCTTTAATTTGATACCAAATTTGTTGTTGAGATGCTTGCAGTTCTGAAGATTATTATTACTTTATATTTTTTCATGTAATAATTAGCTGATGACGTCATAATGACGTCATACATGCCCTTTCCATCATCCAATTTTTTGCGTCCGTCTTTTTTTCGAAAAGGTATACCATGGAGATGCTTTGGTGAAAAAATGGTGCTTTTGTCCACTGTGTAACGATCCTTAGCATTTTTGTTACTAATGTACCTCACTATATGCTTTCGCGTGAAGTATGAACCGGGTTTCAATAAAGGGAAAATACAACATTTGCAAGCATCGAAAAATAAAACTACCAAGTTTTTAAGAAATACCTTACATGATGTTGGTAAATGACAGTCTTAAGCATCCTGTAAAATTATGGCACCTGATGTGAGGTCATTTTCAAGTAAGTGGTATTTTTTGTATACATTTCCAATGGTGGTCGGCCGACCACCGTTGGAAAAACCTAACTACATTAGAGACACACTCTTGGAAAAAATGGTCTGGATAACATTGTTAACTTATTTCTTATGATGGTACTGCGGTTTGGCCGAAGTCAATTGAGCGTGATCGGCTGACTGATAAGGTTTACGTACAAAACCCCAAGCCAACGAGCTTTTTGTATAGAAAGCTGCCGGACCACATTTTGCGAGAGCTCCAGTGTGTCTGTAATGCTTGAAGCCTGCCGTTAATGCTGAGCCTGCATACTGCCAAAGTTACCAGTGGCATCCCTACATTTTCTCGTGCAAATAGGACCCATATTTGGACCCTAATTTTATCAAATCTGCTCTTAGATAATAGCCCAAAAGCTAGGGAGATGATCCTCGGCTATATTCGCACGATTCCACCGATTTTTAAACTAGACGGTCTCGTTTTTTACAAAAAAATTGTGGGGGCAATGCAAATTAACGACTCGGACGCGTAGAAATTTTGAAACCCTAATCAAAATTATTGCGCCCGCTGTTGGTCTTATTGCGCCATTCTGATATATCTTCTGTCTAGCCCCCCCCCCCCCCCACCACCACCACACCGAAAAATAATAGTAATTAAATACTGTTAAAAATGTGCTCGTTTATTCAGAAATTCATGAAGCATATTCAAACTGATTGGATGTTTCCAAAGTGTCTTTCCCATTTGCAAAAGTTCTTTTTAAAAGCCCATCAACCATTAGAGACACACTCTTGGAAAAAATGGTCCGGATAACATTGTTAACTTATTTCTTATGATGGGACTGCGGTTTGGCCGAAGTCAATTGAGCGTGATCGGCTGACTGATTGATAAGGTTTACGTACAAACCCCAAGCCAACGAGGTTTTTGTATAGAAAGCTGCCGGACCACATTTTGCGAGAGTGTGTCTGTAATGTATTTTTCAACTGCTGCTCCAAATTTACCTCTTTTTTTCAGTCCAAATTTTGTTTGCTATTGGTATTGGCATGTTCATGAATGGGGGCAGGCCAGCTAGACTGGTTCCCTTACCGTACAAATTTCCGGCATCTATAAATTGATCCATTTCATTTTCAGTAGAGTCAGGGAACCAGACTACTTGGACAGTTTTGTTTTTCTTGGTTTTTCCAGCATTTTCGAACACAAAACTTCAAACTTGTCAGTGGAACAATAATTTGATCAATAATACTAACCCCTCAAATAGTTCATTTCTGAAAATTAAAGCAAAAGCCAATGATGTACATTCCCTTTAAGACCAATGATTGCAGACAGTGCAGTGATGCAATCAGATCCAGGGTGACCGTTTTAGCCGATTTTCGGCTAACTTTGACAGAATTTTTGTTAAAAAACGAGTTGCACAGAAAATTTGACAATTGATTATTTTGACAAACAAATCCTTGCATATTGGGACAGGTTGCAATGGCTGGGAAACAGACTTTGTCGTGGCCGGATCCGCGTTTTGCCCGAAATTTACCAATAATTTCACATCTTTATTTGACTACATTGTTTATTATGTAATTTGAATCTTAATTAAGGCAATACTACGAATCTGCATGTGATTTTGAGTGTTAATAGTGTATTTCGAGTAATTTTGGGGAATTTGGCAGATTTTTGATGAATCTGGCAGATTTTTGATGTGCATTTAGCAGAATTTGGCTCTGACCTTACGGTCACCCTGCGTATGTCTATTGCAGTGCAGTAGTGATATGATGTAATCAGCTCGTTGTACTTTCGCTGTTGCATGCGCATGTGATGCTGATACTAGTGTCAGGATATTGCCACAACTACATGTAACATTCTTCTTTGTGAATTTGGCTTTTTTAATTTAATAGCAGTACGGCGTATGGAGTAACATCTGAGGACGCTTTTCACCGCCCGCAAACATATTTTGTTTTTAGATAGCGTGGTGTATCATATCATCAGACATCAGTGAACGTGTGAGCTGCTTTGTTTGCATGATGTGTAGTGATGTGTGAAAGTTACTGCAGCAGTCGAGGTTCGTAGACTGGTTGAGTCAATCCTCCATGCACTTTGTTGATTGTTGGGGTGTTGGGGTGTTTGTTTGTTTGTTTGTTTTGGATATTTGTTTTTATATGCATTCATAAACTAGGACCAGTGGGAATGTATCTTTCCATTATATAAAACTACCCTTAAATTAGCTTGAGTAACTCCAGCTCTAATGCCTATCGCATTAGAGCTGGAGTCACAACTACGTTATAACTACCAGGTCGTAAGAATCCCGAAATCCCGGACTGTGTATCCCCAGTGCATTACAAAAACGGTCCATTTTCCCTAAATTATCCCGACCCAGATTCCATAATTCATACCTCATACGATGCAACAGACATTCATGAAGCTAGTAATCGACTTCAAACAGAACAATGAAGACTAAAATTTGAAATTTTTCGATGATTTTGGTGGCGATTCTCGAGAAACCATGAGAAAACATCGCGCGACACTATTCTGCCGACTGCCGTTGACCCCCAAAACCTGCTGAGGTCACGCGAAGATCAGCGCACGCGCAACGTACATACACATGTACACGAAGAATGACCCGTGTATTTGTCGGATCGGAAACGCGAGGCTGGCGAGTAAAAACTCAAAATTGTCCCATGATCCAAATGTCAATGGTTCTAAAATATTTCAGAGTTATGGATCAACCGTGACAACTTTTTGGGTGGATTTGTGTTATTATAAAGTGGAATTCCAGACAAAGGCATTTTGTCTATCAAAGTGCATTTCCAAAAGCTATAGCGCACCGACCCCTGAAAAATCACCATGCTCGAAGGCTTACGGAGAGCCTTCTAATTATAGAAGTACCCTTCCATCATTTCTAATTTGAAAATAATGCGCTCAAAGTGTATAGATATATATTTTGTAAAACCAGTATTAGTTCCCCAATATCTAAAACTATGTATTTATGCCTTGTCATGTAATGTGATCGCAATGAGATGTGGTAAAAATAATAAAGAATGAATGAATGAATGAATGAATGAATGTGTAAATTGATAATGTTAGTTTGAAAAAAAAAGAAGCAACTTCTGTTTATTGTTAAAAAAAACACACCTGCAATCAGTATCACAAATTTGTGGCCACTAGTTTAATTAACCCTTACTCTCTGAGGGTAGTTTACTGCATGTCAGTTGGTTATGCCAATGCCCTCCAGCTGCAGTTATTTGGCAGATAACAAGTCTTAACAGTGAAGGCTCCAATTGGTAGGAGTTGGAGGCCCTGGAGGGTGCCTGATACTGACCAGCTGGGGGCACTCACTTTGTTATCAGAGGACTCTCATTGTTCTCTGTGGCATGTATTGGAGTGCCTGTCCAGTTACCCTTGAAATGACATGGCAGATATTGGAGGGCCATGCAAAAAACATAGGAGATTTTCTTGAGGCACAATTGGCATGCGTTGGAGGGTCTAGTAGGGTAAGGGTTAATTATAGGTTGAATATACTGTATAGCTGCAGGACAATGCTCATCGCAAATTCGACATACAGAGCTGGACTCTCGAGGCTCATCTTGTTTTTTGTCCAGCGGTTGGAAAATGACGGAGGCCGTGAAATTCGAACTCAACTAAAATGGCCCTAAATGGTATATTTGCAGCTAAGTAAATGATAATATCGCAGACATAATGATGAATACGTAGAACAGAAACGGAAATTGCCAAACGGAACGGCAAAGTTACTGAACGGAATGATGAAATTGCTGAATTGAATGGTGAAATTGCTGATTTGAATGATGAAATTGCTGATTTGAATGATGAAATTGCCCAACACAACAGAATGGTTAAATGTAAAACGAAATGGCGACATTGCGAATTGAATGATGAAGTTGCCGAATTGAATGATGAAATTGCCAAACAGAATGGTGAAATTGCCACACGGAATGTCAAAATGCGAAACGAAATGGCGAAATTGCGAATTGAATGATGAAGTTGCCGAATTGAATGATGAAATTGCCAAACAGAATGGTGAAATTGCCAAACAGAATGGTGAAATACCGTAGCCCCCGCAGAATGTTGAAATGCAGAACGAAGTGGCGAAATTGCCGAATTGAATGATGAACTTGCCAAACTGAATGATGAAATTGCCAAACTGAATGATGAATTTGCTAATAAAACCTTCTCGATATTCGCAGTGCATCTTGGGATTGGATGACAAAACAAACCAGGCAAGATGACAATTTTTTTTTTATACTTGTATACAAGTTTTGCATCTAGTTTCTGTTGTTTGTCAAATGCCACATTTTTGCGGGCAAAACAGCCACTTTTTTACATGAAAATGTGTGAGAGCTTACATGAGGAATTCAGCCCAAACTTGTATCTATTGTAACAAAAAAGGTCTCTGGGTGCTGGGCTAAGACAGAGTTTTAAGTAACTAGTGCAGTGCCCGCCTAAAATGTGCATGTTCGGGAAGTGCAACTTGCATTGCCGCTGGTATTGGTTGCAGCTTGCAGGGTTTTTGAGAACTGCTCGTGCCAAGTTTGAAATTGTTTGGGCGAGTGGTTCTCGAAAAAGCTGAAAAAAATAGCGCAGATATTCACCCCTACTGGACAATGGTATCGCCCTGCAGTAAGGTTGCTTAGTCGACTGCAAAAATAATGTGCCCGTGCAGCCACCACGTATGGAAACATGGTATGCAGTGCTATAAGCACCCATACTGGACAATGGTATCGCCCTACAATGCACGTGCACGTGCCCGCGTCCTTTTTCCATTGTTGCCTCATATTGAGCGCGCGTGCTTTAGCTCGAACATGACGTAAACAATTGAAAAAGACGGCAGCGTGCGGTGGACGTTTGCCTCAGAAAATACTGCTTTTTTGCAGCTTTTTCGAGAACCGCTAGTCCAAACAACTTCCAACTTGACACTGCACATTCTGGTGTCCCGAGCAATACACCCACCGATTTTCAACTTCATACGGTGCCCGGTTCTGGAGATAATCGGCGGACAGACAGACAGACAGACAGACAGACAGACAGACGGGGAGACAGACAGACAGCAAGACAGCCCGACAGACAGACAGACAGACAGAGATTCCTTGAATTGTAGTATAGATGTGCCAAGCTGTTGATGTGTTCATTGTGATGGCACACTCCTTTTGGGGGTGCTGGGCCATGCCTATTGATGTTAAGTATAATAGGTACAATGGACTTTTTGCATTCCACTGATTGTCTGCTCGAAGGTTATAATAGGCCCGTGTGACTAGCACTGGGGGAGGCATTTCAACTGAACACTGACTGAGGACACATCTCTGCAGCTCGGCAGCCCGACAGCCGGCGGTCCTTTATTTTGTATAGTTTGTATAATTTGCTACTGTGACAGTGTGAAGCTTGATGTAGCCTGCCTTATGTTGTGTAATTTACCGCCGTCCGTCAGCAGTTCTATTTCATCTTGCATTTTTGTTTTCTTTTGCGTACATGTAATCCCTATGTGGTCGAGTACCATGGGGACCTAGCCTGGTCAATCTCACCTTTATTCGAGAGTTAAGAAATTAAAGTGTTCATTTTTTTAAGTACTTTTTCCAGAGACCAAAAATTGCTTGTGTTTGGTTACATTATTTTCTTGAGTTTGTGTTCTTAACTGGCGGGCCTGGCCCTTAAAAAGGGGTCTCCGTTACACTATTTAGTCAGCTACCTTGATAAAATATATTGATACACGATGTTACGAATATTCCAATAAAAACAAGTTTGAATGATTAAATACTTTCAAAATGCACAGCACTACTGCACTAGCATGTTACCACATTGGCTTGATCCTTTTTGGTAATTTTTTTCACAGATTGAATTTGAAGTGCCTATATTGTTGCGTCTGACACAGCCATGGGTGACTACTCAAGAGTCAGTACGAACAGTAAGGAACACTGTAATGGGACAGTGGCAGGAAATGACCCTTACCCTGCGGAGATCGATACAGCCGCGCCTGACGATAGCTCTGTGAAAACACACGAGGGCAGCAGACGGAACCGCTGTCTCTGCCGGTGTCTGTTCCCCGATGCACCAGCGTCAGAATACAAGAAGACACTGAAGGAACTTTGTAGACTTTCATGGCCACTGGTACGTTCCAAGAATTCAATTGTCTCCAGAGTTTTCAATCAGTAGATGCAAGCACGCTTGGAATAGACCGATCGATTGTGTACGCATGTCAGACTTTAAACTTGGCTCTGATTGGTCAAAAAACTAGTTGGCAGGGCTTAATGGATCCGTGTATTGTCAGTAATGTTGTGCAAACCCGACCCAGAACCGCCCGACCCAAACCAACTTTAGGTCGGGTCGGGTCGATTTTTCCATCATTTCAGTTGGGTCGGTTTTGCATAAATTTGCATCTTTTGGTAAAAAACAAAACAAACAAAAAACAGAACAAAACAAAACAAAACAGTTCAAAAATTAATGCGGTGCAATATTATTATTGCAGGGTTACTGTGCCCGGTATAACCAACGTCAGCCCACCATGCAAATGAGCATGTGGTTTGTGGTCTATTGGCCTTATGCGCGAGTTGGCCATATTGAATTAAAAGCGAGATAAAATCTTCATTTTTGGAACTTGCGAAGAGAAATGAAAGCAAGTAAATTACTAACTAATTCAAGTCTGCTTCAATGAATAATATAACATTTGTAATTAAACATTCCCGAATGTTTAAGCCACATGTAAAAAAAAACTGACAGTACAATAAGGCTGCATAAATAGTCTGGCGCCATTCCATTCAACGGTTCACAATTTGTGAAATACATTCAGGGAACCCGACAAAAATGGCCAACTCGTGCTTTAGGCCCATCACGTATCCGTACAGTCTGTAATGTCCAGGTCCCACCAGTAGATAAAGTTATGGGTCTTCACCTTAACGTACAGTATGATTCTTTATTGAGAGAAAATTATTTTCACAGTGGCTGCAATATGCGCCGCAGTACCTTGTAAACCATTAAAAGGTACTACATAATGGGTCTCATATTTCTCATAAACTTTATTTACCTTTCTTTAATAATAGACATAATTTGCGCCAAGAATGTCATATTGACAGATATGGCGCGGTATAAATGTTCACTATTATTATTATTATTATTATGACGTGGGTAAGTTCAGGCACAAAAAGCACACAATTGGGTGGATTTTGTTCATTCAGTATCTCATTCATAGTGAATAACTTTTGTGTAAAAAGTAGCATTTCCAAAAACACAGAGTTTTGTTTGTTTTGTTTGTTTTTTGGGAGGGGGGGGTGCTGAAACTCAAAAAATATCCAAGAAAGAGCAACTTTTCATACAATGGATTTTTTGCGTCTGGGTGATGTAAATCAAATTAGCTTTTGCCCTTCACCGATGTATAAACACTGTATATTCAGTGTGTTACCTCCCGAGTGAAAAGTTGGCAAAAAATCACTCGGTTGGGACTCAAACCCACGACCTCCTGCTTTCTAGTGCAGACGTCTTCCTGCTCGACGACCGAGCTAATGGAGGTCGTGGGTTCGAGTCCCACCCGAGTGATTTTTTCCAACTTTCACTCGGGAGGTAACACACTGAGTATACAGTGTTTAAACGTCGGTGAAGGGTAAAACCTAATTTGAAAGAGCAACTTCAATATTGTAACAAAACATCAAAGTGGAAAATGACTTTTTGGATGATTTTCTTTCTGGCCTGTAGATGCTGTATTTGGCAGCATCCATGCTCTTCTCAATGACTTCCATCATCTTTACAGGCCACCTGGGGAAGGAACAGATTGTCGCAGCTTCTCTTGGGCAATCGGTAAAGATGATACCTCTCTTATACGTGCAGATATGTTAATGACAATTAGAGAAGATTGGAAGGTTTACATTGCAAAGATAGCAACAAGATAAAGGTTTACGGTAGCACTATGTGACAAATCTCTCTTGTGAGTTTGTGAGGTTCTGATAAGAACCGGGGAAACTCAACGTTTTAGACAGTATGCTCTGCCCGTGGGCATTTATGTTATTTTGAAGAAAACAATGAAAGAAGGCCATTTCCAACGAAATTTCCATAAGCAGTTCGTTTTTAATTTGGCGAAGCGCGCGCAAGCGTTGACATGACGCACTTGCGCGCGCAGTTTGCTATAATTCGTCGGATCAGTGCGCGACATCGTGTAGCTTCAATCGGTTCAGTGAGAACATGTCTCAGACGCTGAATTGAGGCCCAATTCAAAACATGACTCAGCAACTTTTGATTCGAAATTGAGGTCCTACGATACTGTTTCTCGGAATATACGGCATTCACCGAGCTAAAACTTCATCAGGTTGGTTGCTCAGCACCCTTCTTTAGACTTTGAGCACTTTTGTTGCTTCAAACAAACAAACATAATGCACAAATTACAAATGATGGACGGTACCTTCAATGGCAAAAAAATAGTCGTAATATTCATTCGTTTCACACAGTTGAATCTGTCAAGCAGCCAGTGTGCAGCGAACAAGTACAATGCACATACCAAACTGAAACTCTTTACAATATACATTTTGTATGCTCGCTGAATATAATATGCTCTCTGAATATAATATGCTCGCTGAATATAATATGCTCTCTGACAATAATCACTCTGTTCATAAACCCTTGTTTATGTTTTGTTTGTTTTGAAAAGGTATTTATTACACAAGAGATTGACTCGGGTTGTTTTTTTTTACCAGCCCAGCACAATACAGTGTGTATAAAAAAAAAGTGTACATTTAGAGAACAAAATATTAAAAATACTAGCTCCTATTTTGTTTAATAATAACTTAGGCCGAATAAAAAAAACCCCATGTTTTTGTCCGGGTTTTTGCAAAAAAGGAGGAAGCGGGGCTTTTTATTTTTTATTAGTTTCAAGATGACCGCCATTTAAAAATTTCCTGCAACCGTTGGTGTTTCCACTGTACAAAGACACTTTTAAAAATGAAAGATAAGTGGACAAGAGAACTGATCATATTCACAGTGTCATTTAGACTTGTTTTGGTCTACAAGTTATTTTCCGATGAATTTGTGGACTTTTTCAGTGTTTTTTTACTGCATTTTTCAAAAATAAAAAATAATAAAAAAATCCAGGCGGCCTCCAAAAAGGAAGCAGGCGGGGACGAGAAACATGTTTGTTTTTTTTACTTAGCCTTATAGTACACGTTTAAAGAATGATAATTGCTCAACACAAAGCTGTTTTCCCTATCTCATTAGAGAGGTATAGACAGTTAATTGAAAGGGATGATATGTCAATGTGGTCCAATTTGCAGCAAAGTGGGTGAAAGGAGATTAACATGCAAGCAATCTCTCTGTTGGCCAACTTACCTATTGTTCTTTGCCAATCAATATCCAAATTGCAAACGCTGCTTATACAGTGGAACGTCGCTATACCGAACACCGCTATACCGAACATCATCCTTGGCTCCCAATTTTTGTGTACAAAACGTGCCGAACATTGTTGTTGAAAAATGTCAACTTCCCCAAGGAATAGAAGGAAAAAGCCACCCATGTACATGTAAGCTTAAAAAACTGTGTAATTACCTGATTCAATAGTCGCACGTGTTCAAAGTCATCTTTCAGTAACTACCAACGTATACAGGGTTAAGTTTTGAAATGAAGAATGGACAAGTTTGGTAAATCAGCGCACCGTTTGTAAATATGCCACTTCCCTCTAACAATGTTCAAAAGAGGGCGCCACTAATGTGTGAAAAACCCACCAGCTGGTAAGTATCGGCTTCAAATCGCTATGTCGAACGATCGCTATTAGGAACAATTTCTGTGGATCCCGTGATGTTCGTTATAGGGGCGTTCCACTGTAATGTTGTACACATGAATCGTGTTATCTTTCAGGTTATTCATGTGTTCTGGAGGGCACCTATGATTGGGTTTGCATCTGGAGCTGACACACTCTTCACACAGGTGATTATTATAAAAGCGACCCTTGCCCTTAAACTTAGACTGTAGCACTGATTATGCCACCATGGATAACCGACTTTTCTGGCATTGCATAATTTTGGAAAAGGTCTCCTCAGTTCAAGGACTTTGCCCCATGGTATTTTTCCCCATGGCATTGTCCACAGTGTTACAAAACAGTCAGCATGCAGTTCCGGAGTTCAGGATATGCATGCACAATTGACATGTTAATACTTTGTTCCTGCAAAAATCTTTGGTTGTTTGTTGAGAGACTTTATGTGTTCATGCTTGTGTAAAACCAGGGGCGCATATGTGAACAATAAAGAATGCATGATTTATTTACTGGGGGATATGGGCTCCGGGCACCAACAAAAGAGGATGCGTTTTTGCCAATTTTAAGAGCCCCTTGGATGAGACACCACTTGTGCGTACTGTACTGGTTCACACGCAAAGTACGCATGACTTATTTATCCTGAAAGTGCACAAAGCTAAGCAATAGCATTTTTGCGTGCGAATACGTTCAAGTTTAACTTGCGATGGTGTCCCAGACTTATCCCCGCCCCCAATAACTTTGGAACATTCGAAATACGCAGTGGATGGACCAGGAACCAGTCTAGGTCTCCCCCAACTCTCCTTTTCTGGCCGTTGAAGAGGTGCTTGTACACGGAGCCCGGCATAGTATAAGAAGTCAACCATTAAATTCAAAGCGGCAAACACAATATGACTGACTGTACGGTGCAGCACACCCACACATCCGTCTCTCTGTTGAAGCTGAAGTCAATTATGTTGAATTCAAATTAAAGAACAATGCTGTAGCACTTGTCTGTTGGCCAGCTGTCATTTTACTGCTACGCTCGAGCAGTTTTATAACATTTCTGAGTCCGAGAATCCTTGAATAACATATTCAAGGCTTCTCTAAGCCTTGGTTTTGAATAAGCGTATGCAAATTTGGGCATACAACATGGTGTCTCAAAAAACAATCTCTATAAACTCCCTCTTTTTTCTCAGCTTTTGAAACGACACATCGCAAATCTTGATACATATTTGGAGGGTACATGTATATTGTAGTTTGTTAGCTTTTCAACACCAAAAATTATTTCCAATCGGGTAAATATTTATTGAGTTATGGCTAATTCAAAATAAGTGCCGATTTTTCAATCTGTCCACGGTTTCAATTGTCATTTGTCAGGAATGTAATGGATTTGGGGTGAGGGTAGTTTTGCTTTCTTTAATGTTTTAATCTTTCTTTCTTTATTTCTTGTGTCCGACCACTGTCTAGAATTGTTCTGATAAATCTTCTTTGTTTTTTTGTTTTTTTCGGACAATAATTCTCTGCGGGTTTTCTCCTAAACGGTATATGATATGAACTTGTAACTTTCAACATATATCGACCCTCATCCCAATCGGTGCATATTATTCTGACGTCATGAAGACGTCTTCGGGTGTCAAATTACAAGCGATTTTTGTTGAAAAAATGACGATCTTCTTTCACCTATAACTTTTGAACTAAATAATCAGTGATGTTTGTATTCTGTAATCAGATAGACCATTAATTGATAAATATTTTTTGTCGCGTACGTGAACTCGCTTGAGCTTTACTTCCGGGTCTACCGGAAGGTCAAAGTTAGGTGAATTCAAAATGAAGACATTAGCCTGAAATTAAAACAAAACAAAATTTCCTTCCGAACGGCTTACGGGATGATCATAAAACCTAGTGTGAATTTGTACCATGTTACGAAGATGTTATAAATTTTGTTATTTTATCATGACGTAATGGAAGGGCAAATTTTGACAAAATAGTTTGAGCTATATCTTTTGAACTCAATAGAGTATCGTATTCATTTTTTTTTCTTGAGGTTGTAGACTATGCCTTGAGTAACATTTCTTGTTCCCGGACACAAAACCGCTCGACCTTTACTTCCGGTGTTACCGGAAGTGCAATAAAAACTGAATATAGCTAGGATGCGGAAGCATTTTACTACATTTTACTACGTTTTACTATATTTGTTGGAACAAAAAAGAAAGCGACTGCTTACAATATTAGTACTGCTACCATTTTATCAAATTTGTTATCCAGGGACTGCAAAATCACAGCTCTTATAGAAAATAAACCTAGGGGAGGATCCAGGAATTTTTGCAAAATCACACAAAGCTTTGAATTGTCTTATTTCTTTCGGTGTAACTCGCATATCAACTGTGATTCTTTAATTCCTACCTTCATCGGCTTCATGCAGAAATTTAATATTTTGTCAGTGTAGCCACAAACTTTTTTTCATTATCTCAGTGCAGAATTTTATGAAGCCAATGCATGCAAAAGACATAAAGCCATATTTATTATTGAGATAATCAAATGTTGCATAAGCTTCAAACACGTCATAGAGGCTCCCTCAAGTCTACCGATTCCAATTCTGACCATGAATTCAATTCTAATATCCTCGTCCAGCTTCAATAAAAGTTACCAGGGCAAAATATATTTTGGTGGGAAGGTTTTTTAATTTTTATAAACTACGAAAAGTCCAATTTACATAGAATAACCCATGGACAAGACTGATTTTGGTGACTTGTATTCAAATTAGCATAATATCACTATTTTTGCGACTTTTACAAAGCTTTTTTTCACTACAGGGTGTCCCAAAAAAAATGCTCCACTCTCCTTTTTGTACAAATTCAAGCAAACCTGAATGCATAAATTTTCTTATTATGCATGGTAAGAATGCTATGTGTCTTAGTTGTTATCTACCAAAAAAATTGGATCATACTATCAATCCACTAGGGACAGAAATGCTTAAATATGAACTGGCCTCCATTTGCCAACTGCGCTGGGGACTCAAATCACCAATTTTAAAATGTTGATTTTTGTCAAGTGTACTAAAAATACCGATTTGTAAATCAACCACATGTAACAATTGTGAACAATCAGCCATAGGTGAACAATTGTTACGTGTGGTTGATTTACAAATCGGTATTTGTCCAATAAAAGTAACAATGCCATATGGTTGATTGGTTTTCTCTGGTATGCTTGATAATGACTGATGACTGGTCTTTCATAATAGATACCAAGTAGAATTTTTGAAAAGCACACTTGACAAAAATCGACATTTTAAAATTGGTGATTTGAGTCCCCAGCGCAGTTGGCAAATGGAGGCGAGTTCATATTTAAGCATTTCTGTCCCTAGTGGATTGATAGTATGATTCAATTTTTTTGGTAGATAACAACCAAGACACATAGCATTCTTACCATGCATAATAACAAAATTTATGCATTCAGGTTTGCTTGAATTTGTAAAAAAAAAAGGAGAGTGGAGCATTTTTTGGGGGGACACCCTGTATGCATGGTTAAAGGCCTATACTTAACTACTATGTGAACAAATATTTAAAATATGCTCATTAGGTATGTGAAAATTGCTGTCAAAAGTGGGTGTCCTTGTTTTTTTGAACCACCCTGTACATGTAGAAAGAATGTTTGCTTTTACATAGTAAACAAAATCTGGTAAGAAATGGTCTGGGTAAAACTTTGAAGACAACCACAACTTTGAACACTAATGGTGCAATCCATATTAATATGAACACTTCCTTCAAATTCCTACAAATTCCTGAAATGTTTGAAGAAGCTGTTAATATATTTTGGCAATGACTTTTCACATTTTACTTGAAACAGTAGAATGCACCCAAACAAATGCATGTATACTGAACCCTTCCTTTACAGAGATTCAATAAACGCATGGACATAAAAAGTTATGGAGAACAAATGCAAATTCATGCAATTAAAAGAAACATACGGTATAATATTGTTGATGTACCCTAACGTGGCGCGGCCCCTAACGTGGCACACTTTGATTTTTCGCCTGTAGCGCCTAGCTAGAGCAAAAGTTTTAACTGAAATTTCACAGAAAGTAAAATTTCATCAAGTTCTAAACAATCCCGTTCATAAATCGCGAGTTTATTTACCCGTTACAAAGTTAAAAGAAACAATTATTTTGGCGTGATTTTCCGATTTTATTTTCAAGTGCAAAGTGAACCCTTTGAAAATGCCCCGAAAAATAAGAAAATAATTTTCTGACAAACATCTGGCTGGGCTTGTAAGTGAAGATAATAATGATTTATCAGAAGTTATCAAGGTTACAGAAATTCTTAAATGTTAATTTGGAATTTTCCGAGATTTATTCAAGTGGGGCACATTAGGGAACACTCCCCCAATTTGTGCCCAATTTCCGGACGCAACTGTTTTTGCATTTCAGATTAAATTTTATGAAACCGAAATTGTTCACAGAGGTTAAATAGCAAGCATTAAGAAGGTAAAAGTACCAGTATTTTACTGCATGAATTTGAGGTTTGTCAACAAAGAGGTTTGACAACACTACACGAGGAAAGTTGGGTAAGCTTTGAAGTGCGCCACGTTAGGGAACACGACTATAGATGATACATATTATTCACCTGGTACCACACTATTTCTACATGTACAGGGTGGACTGGGTGGTTCCAAAAAAAAAGGACACCCACTTTTGACAGCAATTTTCACCTACCTAATGAGCATTTTTTTTAGGACACCCTGTATGCATGGTTAAAGGCCTATACTTTACTACTATGTGAACAAATATTTAAAATATGCTCATTAGGTAGGTGAAAATTGCTGTCAAAAGTGGGTGTCCTTTTTTTTTTGAACCACCCTGTACATGTAGAAATGGTGTGGTACTGTGAATTATATGTATCATCTATTATACCGTATGTTTCTTTTAATTGCATGAATTTGCATTTGTTCTCCATAACTTTGCATTTCCATGCGTTTATTGAATCTCTGTAAAGGAAGGTTCAGTGTACATGCATTTGTTTGGGTGCATTCTACTGTTTCAAGTAAAATGTGAAACGTCATTGACAAAACATATTAACAACTTCTTCAAACATTTCAGGAATTTGTAGGAATTTGAAGGAAGTGTTCATATTAATATGGATTGCACCATTAGTGTTACAAAGTTGTGGTTGTCTTCAAAGTTTTACCCAGACCATTTCTTACCAGATTTTGTTTCTTATGTAAAAGCAAATATTCTGTTCTAAAATCTAGAGCTTTTAAATTTTTGTGTTATAAATACTTCATCAACTAACTGATCTGTTGCACGGTACCCTCTGGAGACAAGTGTACAATAGGGAACATAAGATTGTATACGTCTCCACAAGGTTATCACGAAATAGATATGTGGATTTTAGCCAAAAACTAGCAGTTTCCAAGGTGTGTTGATCCCTCGCAAATTGAAGTATTTTATGTTAGGGATATTAAATCCGAATATCAGCCCAGGAAAGGAACATTTTGAAACTACACTTTCAAACTCGAAAACTTTAGTACACGAGAACAAAGAAATGACTCCACAAGGATACACATTTCGATATGGGTGTATATATTTGTTCGTGTGTTGTTGTTATTTACTATTTTTTTTCTGTCATATCTTTCTTTGAAGACATTTGGAAGCACAAATAAGAAGCGCGTTGGGATCATGTTACAACGGTTCCTGGTAATGAGCATGTTATTGGCCGTCTGTTGTTGGGGAATTTTACTCAACACTGAAGGTTTACTGCTATTGTTTGGACAGGACCCACGCATTGCTAAGTATGTCAAATATACCCACGTTTTCTTTGTTCGTTAATTTCTATTCTCTATCTTATTATAAAATCTGAGGTCATTTTTATAATAAAAAAACATAATATATGTATTTAAGATGCGTTCGTGCTATTCTCGAGTTTCACCTCAAAAACTAGCTATTTTCCTAGCAATAGTTATTCACTTTTGAATGAGACACCAATGTAAGTCAAATATTGAGATATATCATCACAAAGTTCAAATTATTTCACTGCAAAACAATAATTTGGCTCTTAATTTGAAGTTACGAAAGATCAGATGGTTATTTATAAAGTGGTTCCATTTTGTCTTCTTCAGATTATCAGGCGCATATGGCATGATTTTCATCGCAGCCACACCAGTAAGTGATCTTTCCCTGTTAAAAAACTTTCTATTGTCTAAGTGATTGTGTGCATCAGGCAGGTCACCAGAGATATGCAGTTTTTCTCTTTCGTCGGCTTGGAAGGTTACATTTTCAAAAACTTGAAAAACAAAGCTTTTGGTATCCTTAAAAAAAAGGTCTTTAAATTCAATGTGCTTACTAAGGGTTATTTTCTTCACTAGCTATTCTCCAACCTGGTCCCCTCACCAACTTCCACATGGGGAGTTTTTCGATGAACACAGTCCATAATTTTTGCCGAAACAGCCTTTGTTTTTGTTCATTTTTTTCTTTAATGTTTTTTTTTGTTAGTCATTTTCCCCCTGGCATTTGTATACATTTTTTTGTCCCTGGCACTTTGGGCAATAAAATCAATCAGTTAGATTGCCTTTAAAAATCAAACACTTTCGATCTCAGGCTGTGCTCCGTGGTCATATATGGGTCGATGTGGCTGGCAGCCATAGGCACCTTTACATGCCAGCGGCCCGACCACGTTGTAGCCGCGTCCTTCGCAATTCAGCATACCAGCTGCGAGTAAGGATGATTAGCCTCCCAAATTATTATTATTATTATTATTTATACTTGGCACACACTTAGAACAGTACCTGCAGATGTGTGCTGAACATTGACGTCATCATGACGTCATTATGTGTCACGTAACATCACAATATCTCCGGAACTATAGGTCTGATTGGGATAAAACTTGGTATGTACCTAGACCGTGATGTGTTATAGATGAAATTTGAAATGACGTCACGATGACATCAAGACGTGATGTCATATTAAAAGTGCACTTTTCTTTGGCCTGTAACTGCAGAACTATAGGTCCGATTTGGTTGTATCTTGGTATGTACCTAAGCCGGGATGTGTTATTCAATTCAATTCAATTTTAGGGTTTATTATCAATTCATCGCTGAATTGTGAATGATTTACATTAATTTTTTTTAGTACAAATATAACAAAACATTCGAATTACTTCATACAAAAAGTGAATCATCATATCAAATTAATAGCTATTAAATAAGAATAAATGAGTAAGATATCACATAGAATAGCAATATAAGGACACACATAAAGGATATATTTTTATCTTTTAAGTAAACGATAAGCAACATTCGTGCATATGAAATTATTAAGCTCAATTGAAAATAGGAATATCGTTTTGTATGTACATGTAGCAGAAATTATTGCAATTATGAATGTAGACCGTTGATAAATTGATAATTCTTAATTGAAAATTGAAGTGATGTCATGATGACGTCATCACATGAAATATGTGGTGTCACATTGAAGGTGCATTTTTATAAGCCTATATCTACAGAACTATTTGTACTGATCACTATGCAACTTGCTACTGATCTATGCCCCATCAGTCTATAACGTGACATAAAAATGCAACAAATTGCGGAAACAGCCATGTGTTTGTCTACAAGCATAAATCTGTATGTACCTGCAACTTTCGACAGTACCTTTATTGTGTACATGTAAGGTACATGTACATGTAAATTTACAAAAAAGCTTGACCACTGAACCAAGTCCAGTGATAAAAATTGTCAGTCTATTATATTCTTTGACTGCACTAGAGCAGATTTTTGCCTTTGAATAAGCCTTTTCGGAGTTCCAACTGCGCATTCGTAACCTGTGACAACGCGCATTGTTTGTCTCAAATGGCCTTTGACATCATCGCGCCACTGACTTTACAAAAAGGCTGTTTGTGCATTGTGGGTACTGTCAAAGGGCATTTGAGACAGGTTACGAATGCGCGCAGTTGGAACTCCGAAAAGGCTTATTAGAAAGCTATTTAACCAGCAAGTCTGACCTTTATCAGGCAAGGTCACACAAAAATAATGATAACAACACTGCTCAAAATAATCAGAGGACCATTGAACCATGTCCAATGGTAAAATCATCAGGCTTTATACAGGGTTCAACCTGAATTTTTTTTTCACTAGCCAGCCGGGCTACTGAAACAGACTCTTAACTAGCCCGCGGGCATTTTCACTAGCCCGCATGTTTTTCATTTAGTGTCTCATAAACGACATTGTGCATACATGTCAAACGTGCACACGTATCCTGAGGCAATCCTGTCAGTGTTTTAAATAAAGAGATTGAATAATTTAACCCTAAACAGTTAATAGAATCAGACACAAATTGATACAGGTTTGCTTTCTGAATTTCATGATTTATTTCTTCCTGTTTTTTCATCTTTGCCGTAGCCCAATAACTTTGACACGCCAGCCGGGCTACTTAAGGAATAGTTTGACTAGCCCGCCACTGTTTTGACTAGCATTTGGCCAGCGGGCTACCGCTAAAGTCAAACCCTGGGCTAATATTTTCTCTGACTAAACAAAGGACAGTGGTCGTTCTGTTCTCTACAAAAATGCTTGAATTCAGGTCTCAATGCAGCCAAGTCAAATGTGCATCTTACAAATTAATACTATACTATACTATACTATTTTATTTATCGGGAAAATATCAACAAATACATGTAAACAAATGACTAAAGTTACAACACAAAACAACAAAAGCTTTAGATACATAAACAAACAAACAAAAACAAAATACCATTCAGCTCCCGAAGGATTGCCCAAAAGAAACGTTGTTTCTGTCTAGGGGTTCTCCAAACTGAATGGCATACGTGAAAACAACAAGCAATAAATATAAAAAGAAATTTTAACTATACAAAAAAAAAGTTAAGTAAGTTACATTAAGTCAAGAACAAAGTTGGTAAATTATATAATTATTAGACAAACAAATCAAAAGAAAAAGAAAAAAAGAAAAAGAAAAAAAATCAATTACATTTGTACTAGGTAAATTAAATGAATAAACAAATTAATATATACATTGTACTTCAATTACTACCACTACTACATGTACTACTACTACTACTTCTATTAATAGATAAATAAATAATTAGACAAGTTGGTAAGTTAGCCTAATTAATTAATTAATTAAATAAATGACTAAATATTGCATTTTTAATTCTTTAAATAAATAGTTATTAATAAATAAACAAAAATTAATGCTCGTTTTCTTGCAAATTTGTGACCCTCATCACAAAACGAGCAGACCTTTTTTTCAAAATTGAGATATTTTGTATCTGGATTCTGCAGAACAAGAGCTTTTGAACGGTACATAACATTTATAGGGTACGTGTACTTAAGTTTTTACAGAACTGTACATTAGACTGCCAGTTTAATTGAAGTTGTAAGACTCAATTTTTAAGAAAATGACATTAAAACAATCATGCTGTTTTACAACTTATGAAACAAGATGAAAATATATTTAAATGATTTTTGCTAGAACAAAAACAATTGACCTATCGCTGCTTGTGAGTTAGCCACGCCCCTAAGACAACCCTATCTAGTCTTGTTTGTCTCAGATTTTGCACATACCGCATCCATTTGTATATCAAGTAATTGGACAGCTGCGTTGACGCTATTCTACAGCGGTAGGTTAATTGGGGAAATGAAACACGGGACCTTCATGTTAAAGCTATAGTCCATCATTTGTAATTTGTGCATTTTGTTCGTTTGAAGCAACAAAAGTGCTCAAAATCTAAAGAAGGGTACTGAACAACTAACCTGATAAAGTTTCAGCTCAGCTTCAGCTGTATATTCTGAGAAAAACAGCATTCTAGGATCTCAATTTCAAATCAAAAGTTGCCGAATCATGTTTTGAATTGCGCCTGAATTCAGCATCCGAGACACGTTCTCGCTGAGCCGAATGCAGCTACGCGATGTCGCGCACTGATCTGACGAATTATAGCAACCGGGATGCGTGTGCGTTGTGCCAATGCTTGCGCGCGCTTCGCCGAATAACAAAACGAACTACTAATTTAAATTTTTCTACGGTGCGTCTTAAGAAGCACCGTTGGAAAGGCCTTCTTTCGTTGTTTACTTCAAAATGACAGCTTGCAAGAAAGAATAATTTCACAGGGAGTTTAGTCCCCTTACTATCTTTCAACCAAGTATGTTTTTCAACAATAATTACGCCAGCTACTTTTCGGATAGCTGCAAATGATGGACTATAGCTTTAAGGTTCACCTGAAAACAAAAAATTGACCACCCCTTGAAATTTTGTGGCGTCAAATTTGCTTGGTATTCCCATTTGCATGAAGTATGAACCGACCTAAAAGTTTATACAAGATTTCGTTCAATCTTATGAAATACTTCCAGAAAGTAACATTTTTTCTTATTTTTCCCCCTCCCCCCTTTAAGGCAGATGTTGTTGTCGTTCAACTCATGAAGTATCTAGAGAGCCAGAGTATAGTGAGACCACTGTTGATTATCACCATCATCATGGGAGTCCTGAATGTACTCCTGCACTTCATTACTGTGTCGGCTTTGCAGTTTGGATTGCCGTAAGTATAGTTCAGTATAATATAGTATAATAATAATAATAATAATTGTGCTTATATAGCGCTTTCCATCGTATCAGCAAACTCACAGCGCTTTACAATTATTACCCCGTTCCAGTGTTGGAGGTTTCGAGGCCGGCCTCGGCCTCGAGGCCGATTTTCATAGCCTCGGCCTTGGCCTCGGAGTGCATGGCCTCAGCCTTGGCCTTGGCCTCGGACCTTTCCGGCCTCGGTAAATCGGTCGAGGCTGCCCGAGGCCGCCCACTTTCATGTGTTTTTTTATTTCAATTAATTAAAAAAAATTTACCGTATCAAACCTTCGAAATGCTGGCAAAGTGGGTTCCGTGAAATGAACCCACTGTGGCGGCAGCTTTTCGAAGGTTTGATACGGTAAAAAATTATATTGTCCAATCTTTGTTTATGTGTCGTATAGACCATGTAGCAGCTTACGCACGAAGGAATTAACTGGTAATGCGTTGCATTGAACGTACTCATGTACCTAGCATTTTCACCTCGTCTGCGCTATGGCCGTATCATAATGCGGTGACAAAATCGCATCCGAGGATAAGGACTGCCAATCACAGGGCACCTCGATTACTTATGCTGAGTAGGACATGTAACTGCATAGCTGCCAACTGTTACGAATTTTTCGTAATTTTTACGAATTGTTTGTTAAATTACGAAAATACAATTTGCCACTAAAATATTACGAATTTCCGAAAAAAAAATACTTGTAAAGTATCGTTTTTGACCGAAAATTTCTGGCGAAATGTCGCGATAATGGATGGACTGGTGACAAGTCTAATAAGAATGCAGTCAAGCACCTGATAGACATCAATGCAGTGTGCGCAGTGGAGTACTTGAGGACCAGACTCAAACTATTTTTCAATGGTGTGTCATTTGTGTGCATCTCGTGGATGTGTGGTTGTGTGTACTGTATGTGAGTACTTTTCAGTGACGATCGTGAGCACATTCGGTCACTTATTGCCGGGATGAGACCCATCAGTGCGAGATTTTAATCATGGAATTTAATAAGAGTATAATTGGAATAATTGGTAATAGAGTTTGAGTTTGTCACAACGTCCAGAAAAGATAAATCAGCATGCGTTTGCAAGGTATGTTGGCGGGATATTTCTATTGCAATACGGTGGCCCTAAATCATTGTGTGTAAAAACATTGATACGAACTCGAAACTCCACATCGATAGCATGCATCTCAAAAAAAATATGCGCACATGTTATTATTGTTATTATTTATTTGACTTCAACAAACAAATACAGACATTAAAACAAAATCAATTACATTTTTTTTTTTTTTTTTTTTTTATATTATCTTTTGGCCTACAGTACATTATTATTCACAACAAGAAGAGTATGCACATGTATGTGTACATGTAAACCATGTACCTGTACTCGATGTTGGTAAAGCTTTTGATAAAACGAGCAGTTGAAAATGACCTCGCGGGTTGATTACTAATTGGGATTTTGAAAAGTTGGCAGCTATGTAACTGATTTCTGGGTATATATTTCTGTGGCCCAGGGGAGCCGTCGGAGCCCAGGTCATCACCTACTATCTAGGGGCCTTCATGATATCGGGCTATATCTACAAACGGCGCCTATACAAGCTCACATGGCCTGGTAAGTATTCACATTGAAATGATTATTTTCAGGATGTTTTTGGAAAATGGTTAGAATTGATCTATTGCCGTTTGCGAGTTGGCCATGCCCCTTAGATAACCCTATGGTATTGTTGTACGCTAAGTTTTGTTTGTCTCAGATGTTGCGCGTTCCGCGTCCACTTATTTTTCACTAGCTGCGTTGACGCAATTCTAACGTGATTCTACCGCGATAGGTCAATTATTTTCATTGTCTCAAAATAATTTTATCATAATATGGGAGCTGTGCACTTATCGTTTTATAAAAATAAAGAAGAATTGTTTTCCCAACTATTACAAAATGATACAGTTAATCGAGTGGTTGTTTGCATTGTTATAATTTGATAACAGTACAAACTTGAGTTTAACAAATCGCTTGATTATGTAAATCTGGATAAAGCTGTTAATCCTGATGCACCTTGAATCATGACTGCACCTCACATATCCACACCTTGGGTTAAGGTGTCTGTGTTCCTGAACCTCACATGCTAGTGTCACACACATCTGCACCTTACTTGCCTGCACCTTTGGTCCCTGTGCCCTGTGCGCCTGGACAAGTACCTCGGGTGAATGTGCCACGTGTGCCTGCACATATGTTGCATGTGCCACACATGCTAGTGCAAGTGTTTGGCACCTTCTGTACCTGCCCTACATGCTTGCACCTTACTTGCTTGCACCTTACTTGCTTGCACCTGTATTACATATGCGCCTTCTGTGTGTAAACCTCACATGCCTGTTCCTGCACCTTGTGTGCCTGCACCTTTGTTGCGTGTGCCACACAGGCTGTTTCCATAAGTGTTTTGCACAGTGTGTGCCTGGGCTTTACATGCCTGCACCTTACATGCCTGCACCTTACATGCTTGGGCCTTACATACTTGCACCTTACGTGCTTGATCCTGTATGGCATGCGTGCGCCTTCCGTGTGTCAACCTCACATGCCTGTGCCACATGTTCCTGCACCTTGTGTGCCTGCACCTTTGTGGTGTCTGCCACACATGTTGTTTCTATAAGTGTTTTGCATTTTGTGTGCCTGTGCCTAACATGACTGCACCTTGTACTTGCCTGCACCTGTATTGCATGTGCATTTCAGTGTGAACCTCACATCCCTGTGCCTTATGCCTGTGCACAGGCATGTAAGATGCAGGCATAAGGTACAGGGATGTGCCAAAAACACGCCTCTCCTTGTCTGCCTGGGCCTTGCATGTCTGTACCTTACACATCAGCACTTTGGTTGCTGGCATGCCAGTAGAGCCGCAAATCCCAGTGACTTACGCCTGCACCTCATGTGGCTGCGCCTATTCCCTGTCTATCTCTCTTGAACCTCACATGCTCCTGCCAGTGCTTGCCCGTGCATATCTATCTTGAACCTCACATGCTCCTGCCAGTGCTTGCCCGTGCATATCTGTCTTGAACCTCACATGCTCCTGCCAGTGCTTGCCCGTGCATATCTGTCTTGAACCTCACATGCTCCTGCCAGTGCTTGCCCGTGCATATCTGTCTTGAACCTCACATGCTCCTGCCAGTGCTTGCCCGTGCATATCTCTCTTGAACCTCACATGCTCCTGCCAGTACTTGCCTGTGCATATCTGTCTTGAACCTCACATGCTCCTGCCAGTGCTTGCCCGTGCATATCTGTCTTGAACCTCGCATGCTCCTGCCAGTGCTGGCCCGTGCATACCTGTCTTGAACCTCGCATGCTCCTGCCAGTGCTTGCCCGTGCAGCCTTTCCAGTCTAAAGGCCGGTTCATACTTCATGCGAATGCGATGCGAGTTTGACATCGCGACGCATTCGCTGCGAAATTCGCCGGAGTTGAAATGGGGTCAACTTTTGCGAATTTGCAGGGTGAAATCTTGCCCCATCGAGTATGAACTATCTACTGCACCTCACATTGTTTTATTGCACCTTTGGTTATACATGTTGTAGGGATCTTCTAACATATTAACATGCACCTCTTTGTTGTTTACTACATGGAGGCTGGTCATGGGATTGTCTCCAAGAGTGGGGCACCATCGTCAAGCTGTCCATAGGTGGTATGGGCATCTCCACCATTGAATGGTGGTGCTTTGAAGCTGGATTCATCATTGCAGGTAAGACGTTGGCTCTGCACGTGTTGGTCACTTTTTCACAGCTACCAGCAGTGAAGTCTCAAGCATTGCTATGCATGCTATGTGAGCGTTTGATTAGCCCAGCTCTCTGAGCTGATCGAACTACTGGAATGCACCCTTTCAGCAGCAGCGTATCCAGCTTTTGATGTCCTGGGGGTAACGGCACACCTGCGCCGAAATGTAGACATGTTATTTTTTCTCCTAACACTTGCCCTCCGTAAAAGTGGGGGGGGGGGGGGGACCATCTTACAAATGGGCGCGCTCTTCAAAACTTACCATTATTATGTATACTATAATATTATATGGACAATTTCACGGCGCATTGTAATGGTTGTTGAGCGGGTTTTATTTGGTGGGATTGATGTCAGAAGAACTCTATAAACACTTCAAATTATTGCTGACAAAAAAAATTGTCAAAAAAAAACGCCGGGGGGGGGGGGGGCAAAGTGCCCCCCTTCCCCCCACTGGATACGCCACTGCCTTTAAGCCAGCGATGGAGTTGTGTGAAATGTCTAGATGGGGGGGGGGGGCTGTATTGGTATGGTCATTTTGTTGAATGTTTTTCTTATTTACAACTTTTAGGGTTGTATGGGATAACGGAAGTTGGTGCCCATGCTGTCCTGTTCAATATCTCTTCTTTGACGTGGTGTGTAAGTATGCAGCTGACTTTTTAAAGATTTGGTGAATTGGGAATTTTTTTTTTTTAGTTTCTTGTTGGCCACAAAGTCATAAAATGCTGAACCGTGGTCTAGTGGAAGCTTTGTGCTTTATGATGCCATAATGTCCATGTACACTCAACCAAAAACGAAAGTCCCCCCCCCTTGCAATACTTTTTGGTCTAACTCAAAAACTACTGGGCACATCTTGCTCAAATAATGACTGATCAGTAAAGAAATTCCTTAGAACAAAGAGATGTTCAAGTTATTTCCTTTAGCCTGAATGTCTAGTTTCCAAAATTCAAACCGAATTGTGAAATTCAAACTGAATTTTACAAAATCTGGATATTAATCCCACCACTGGTAAATTCAGCCGTTTTTAAGCTTAAGTTTTGACGTAACCTGGCACAAATACTCGTAGACCATTATCATGGTGCGGCCATCTTGATTTTTTTCACACAAATCAACGTAACCAAAGTGAGGCTGGAAGGAAATATAGTCTGGTTCCTTTTTGCGCAAAAAGCATTATCATTCTGTACTGGCACTGGATACAGGGAATATGACTGAAATGGTGGCAGCATGATAGGTCTATTAAGCCCCACCTCCCTCCCCCTCCTGGTTTTTTGACCAATCACAAATTTGCAGCGTGTGACATTTGAAATAGTTACTTTTTTTCTGGTCTGTAGTTCCGTAAACGTATGAATTGACGATCTGTTTGCCCTTTTCTTTTTCTCAATATTGTGTTTTTGGTAAGGTGGCACAATGCTATGCCCCAATCTATAGCATATTAGCTCAAGTTGTCTACTGACACTCATTCAAATGGGTCATGTTTTGTCGACCGTAAACTTGAAAAATGGACTTTCTATGGCAAACTCTTGGTGGCGCACTGCATTGTGAATCGCCTGAATTGGTCAATTCGTTACGGTGTGCAACGGTTTATACTCAGTGCAAAAGCCAAAGCAAATACACATTTCTGATGTCACATCAATTTTTTTTGCACTGCAAACTCACCAGTTGAGCACATTTCAACTCGGGCCAATTTCGCAGGGAATGTTTCATTTCTGATGTCAAATTCGCTTCGTATTCACACTCTTGTTTGAAGTATGAGCCAGCCTTAAGGAAGTTCATTGTATCTTTGATTATTGTTTTGTTGATAATACTACAGCTGGCGAATGGTGTTGGTATCGGTGGATCCATCTTGATTGGAAATAGTCTCGGAGCTAAACAACCAACCACGGCGCGTATCACCAGTTGCCTTACTATCATCGTCACAGGTACGACAAGCATCCTTTTCCATAGAAATATTAACTCTTCCAATGCTCGCAATACCAAACATTCACAATCAAGTCGTTTTCCCCTACATCAACAACACACTACTGTGCATATGCCCTACAAATTGTATTTGTTTACACATGAAACGTACCTATGCAACCAGCACCCGATTTCACGAAGCGCTGGGACGCGTCGCAACTCGAGTTACAACGTGTAACACGTCGCAACTTGTGACGCCTCGTGTCATTTATTTCACGAAAGTTGCGATGTGTTGAACGCGTCGTAAGTTTACTTGACAATGGCTTAAAACACGTCGCAAGTTTAATACGACATGTCTAGTGGTCATCGCAAAATAAGAAGAGTCATTTTGTAAGCCAGTTTTATGCCTTAAACATTACATAAACGAGATTTTAATAACGAGGCAATGTGTGTAAAGTTGTAAACAGAAAATTGATTGACTAATTATGAATTGTACTGGAATACTAGAGTTGACATTTCAAAGTAGCTATACCGTCCAATGAGAGCTTGTTTTCCTTCAAAATTGCATGGCACAGCCACCATTTTGTTTCACGTTTTAACAAATTTCGAGCTGAGATCCGACGACTCTTTGTTGAATATCAGACGACTATTTACTGTACGCTGACATGACACATAAAACAGTCACCGAGTTGTGCTATAAATACACCTACGACGCGTCGCACTTACGACGTGTTTTGTGAAATGGATCGCAGGACGCGTCGCAGCTGCGACGCATCGTAGCGATACGACGCGTTGCATTGCTGCGATGCATCGTAAGTTACGAAGAGTTTGATAAAATCGGGTGCAGGTTTGTTATACTCTCATGCTGCATTTAGAGCTCACAGTTTTTCATAAGTTCTACAATCACGCAACTTCATTCAAACTGGCTGCACCAGGACGTATCCACTCTACTCGGAGAATGAGGAGTTAGCGCTCTAGTGATTCAGTGTAGCTCCATGTATTACACACATTTTTGGGCAGCTAATACTCTGCGTATGTCACTTTGAGAATGCCAACTTCAGGTATCCCAATTCAAAAGTCTGCATCGTGGTACTAATTGGCTATGATTATCTACAGAACACATGACAGACAAATCTTAAAAATAAATTTGAAGGAGAATCAAAGTCGTAGAACCTTAATAAGAATTGCAAAAGACATTGACTAAATGGGAAACCACAAACCAGCGTTGAAGGTCTCGAGACCACTTTTTGCTGGTCTCAGTCTTGGTCTCAGGAGCTGTGGTCTCGGTCTCGGTCCCCTTTGGTCTTGATATGGTCTTTGGCTGGTCTAGAGTCGAGACTGGCAATATGTAGCATTTACAGCTCGATCGATTACGTTGTGTTCACTTTGTTCAGTACCGTTGATAGTTCAAACATTTGCTAGCCCGTAAATCATGACTGTTGTCAACCTTGTTAACGAATTGTTATATCGTGGTTGGTTCGGACTGCACAATGGAAAGTCCCCAAAGTACATGTAAAGCTGCAGCAATACCAGTCATGCAGCCATGGGCGTTGCAAGGGGGGGGGGGGGCGCAAGGAGGGGCACTTGCCCCCTCCCTCCCCCCCGGAAAACGGGGGAAAAAAGGGAAAAAGGAAGAAAAAAAAAAGGGAAAAAGAGGTGCGAAGCCATATTGCTGTTAATTGGATGGGGGGATTAGGGCATATGCTCCCCTGCTCATGCTCGGAAAAATGATACATTGAGAATATAATGAAACAGTTAAGGAATTTTGGGGAAAAATTTGCCCCCCCCCCCCCCCGGAAAAATCCTGGCGACGCCCATGCATGCAGCGAAGTGAATCATTTTGATCTGGTGTCAACGTGACCCTTGCCACTGGTCACAATTTTGTCTGTAAACTTCGTGAATAAAAAGGTTAGAACTTACAACTGTAATTATGTGCCTTGCTTTTTTATTCAGATTATTGTTATTTAGTATCTGCAGTCTCGGTCTTGGACAATATCGGTCTCGGTCTCGAACCATATCGGTCTCGGTCTGGTCCGCCTTGAAGGGACTGGTCTCGGTCTCAAAATTTCAGGTCTTGGTCTCGGACTATCCGGTCTCGACTACAACACTGCCACCACACTGCAGATAGTTCAGTTGGTTGAGCACCAGAATGGTAATTGGGGGGTCGGAGGTTCAAACCTCCTCCAGTCAATTGTTTTGTTCAGCTTTGAAAGAACTACCTTAACATCAATTCTTCACGTTGTCTTTCCTCAGCAATTCTCAGCATGATATTCGTCGCTTTCTACTTGCCATTGAAAGATGTTCTTGGGTACATCTTCACCAAAGACACGTAAGAGACTGCAAACTGGCTTTTTCCAAAGTTATTGTGGTTGTGAATATTGGAGGACATGGAGGTGTTAAAACCATTATTTAAAACGAGAATAAATTTGTGCTTGGCCGCTTTTTGAAAAAGTACGTTTAAAACTGGCTTGGGGCCTGGACGTTCGGCTGGGGCCATTTTCTGCGTCAATGCTTGCGCATTCACGGATTCGCTGAATTACAAACCAACTACTTAATACAGAAATTTCAAAAAAAGCATCACTTGAAGCATATTATTTGGAAATGGCCTTCTTTTAGTGTTTTCTTCAAAATGACAGCATGCCACAAGGAATGATTTCGCAGGGAGTTTAGTGCCATTGACTATCTTTAAACCAAAGCTTTTCAACAATAGTTTGGCCAGTTACTTTTTGGATAGCTTCAAATGATCTACTCTACCTTAAAGTAAATGGTACAGTTTGCATTATACAACACCTGAATAAATCCCCGTCATCTGATTGGTGGATCATTGATCACGTGTTATTGAATTATTCGTCCCAACGCACGGCGGTGAATAGAACTTCCATTGCACGGTGTCATCGCTGCTGGCGGTGGCGCTGTTTTAAATCGAGATTACTTGAATATGATGGTTCTCAACCTGTTGAACAGTTGCAGAAATTAAATATGATGAACTTCCTTGTCAAACTTTTAAACAGTTTTTAACCTGAATAAATTGGCTATTAAAAGTCAACCAATCAGATGACAAGGATTTATTCAGGTGTTATATAAAACAAATAATGAATGTTTCATGTTCGTGCAATGGAAAGAATAATTTCATTCGGTGACAGATGAAATGTTCCATTCCACTCAGCTTCGCCTCGTGGAATGGAACATTTCATCTGTCACCTCATGAAATTATTCTTACCATTGCACTCACAAGCATTCATTATTTGTAAACTAACTGCACATGCACGATGGGTGCCAGTGGACTCCACACACGACCAGTACACATTTGGCACTTTGTGATAACACTTTGTGGGCATGGGCGTACTGGTTCGCAAGCATGTAGCATTTTCCAGGCCACGCCGTATTAAACCAGATTAGGGGCCGTTTTTCAAACCGCGGCTTCGGCTGTGTCTCTTTCTCCACTCATGCAGATGGGCACACCTGTATTATAGGACCAAAACCGGGTTTCAGAAAATGGCTGTGCTCCAATCACCCACGTTAATCGTACGACCATTTTTGAGGAACACCTGAGCGTACAGTGTGTACAATGACTTGCCATTGCACCCGCATACGGTAAATGAGTCATTGCGCGTAATTGGCCCCTATATACAGACCCAGTCACGGCTAGCACGTCCGGATGTGCGTAGAGTAGAGAAAATTTTGATTTCTCCACAATCTACCATTTTTTGAAAGTATCGATAAAATAAGGCCTTGGTAACGTAAGTGATACACCATTTTTTTTATCGAGTACCACTATTCGAGGACTTTGATGATCGAGTACAATTTCGACATGTGCGAGTACGAGTACTTTGCTGCTCGAGTACGAGTACCGTCATATCGAGTACAGTACTTTGATATTCGAGTGCGAGTACGAGTACTAAAAAAAAAAGTACTTGAGTAGTACTTGAGTACTACAACACTGGGCAAAAGTGACTAAGGTATTGAAATATGTAACTGAATTTTAAAACAAAGATCTTGTTCTCTTACCCTAGTGACGTGGTCCAACTGGCTGCGAGTATTGTGCCAATCATTGCTATCAGTGAGGTATTCGACAGCGTAAATGTAAGGTTTTTTTTAAACGGCATATCCATGAATAAGGCCAAGTATTCAACCAGTTTGTAAAATTAACCAGGCCAAGTAAAATTAACCAGTTTGTCGTCCGGACCCACTTCTATTTTCCTGCCCGCCTCCTATTTTTTTTTGGGGGGGGGGATTCACACATTCACAATATATTTATCAAATACAGTGAAATCTTGATAAGTCAAGCCTCGAGGCAAACAAAAAAGTCTCCGGTTTCTGGTATGGAGCTTGCCCCAAAAGTGGTGCGGCGATGCATTTTTTTTTTTTTTTTTTTCCTTTTTTTTCCCTTCAAATGTCGGCTGATGACTGCAAATGGTGCCCAACTAAATTTAGTGCAAAATGTATTGGAGCCCAGAGAGGCCACATAAAGTTTATACTCGATCGTAACCCCATCTAAAAACACGTTAAAATTGTGAAGCAGCAGGATTCCAGTCGAACCAGTGAGTTTAGCGGTTTTGAGACATCATCTTACATTGAAAAAAAAACCTTTTTAATTTTGCCGACGCGCATGGCTACGGCGACATGCACGCATACCAGAAACTTTTTTTTTTTGGCCCAAGGGAACAAGTTGAAAATTTGACTTAAGCAGAGTGTTGAGTTAAGCAGGGTTTCATATCATTGTTATACTACTGAAGGCAATGGATTCTCTGTTTGACTTATCAGTTGTTTTGAGTTAAATCAGAGTTTGACTTGTCAAGATTTTCACTGTATATTGTCAATATCTTGTCTTTTTGTTTCCAACAAAATTGTAGCTACCAGTAGGTTTCATAGGGCTCCTTTGCACATATTTTTGTATTGGCAAAAGAGTTGAGAAAATGGAAGAATTACTCTGCAAAAGTATGCAAAAGTATGCAAACTTTTGCAAAAGTATGTATGTACCAACTTTAACTTAAACATTGTTTTCATTTTCAAACATACATGTACAAACAATGATAGAGTAATAAAAAAAAATTGAACACCTTTCAGACCGAACAAAGAAAAAGTTACGTATCTAGCCAAATGTTGTCATTTCCAAGTTGGTCAGTATTTTTGTTCAGGGAACACTTGTCAGAAGTTGGAAATCTGTAAAGCCATGGGCAACTTGTCCACACAAAAAACTTGATTAATTTACATAGCATTGCTTAAAAGTTTTATCTAATAATATAATTTGTCAAACTTTTTTTTCCAGGGTGCATTTTTTTGTATTCTGCGTGGTTGTGGGTACCAGTATGTCGGAGCTGTCGTGGTTCTCCTTGGTCAAAGCACAGGCCTTGTTCTTGGCGTGGCCTTGATGTTTACATATGACAAAGGCTTAAAAGGTATAAAATATTATATATTTTTCAGTGTAGTCCGAACGAGGTGACTGTTACCAAAACATGACACAAAGAAAGTACTATAAATAAAAGGATAAACGCTAGATTCTCAGTTTGCAAATTTAAGTTTTTGTGTAAATTGTTTGTAGCCCCAAAGGTACAAAGGAACATTTGACTTATAAAAAACTGTTGAAATAAATTATTTAGCCAAGGGCGTCAATTGCTTCTCAAAAGGTTTTTTTTTGGGGGGGGGGGGAGAGACATACCTTGATAAGAACTAATGTGAGCCTGAAGTTCAAACGGTGTGGGGTTTGGGGTCCGCTTAAGGGCCCCGGGGGAAAAAGTGGATTCTAGATGCACTGAGGTGCAATCTGAGGCAAGTTCTGACCACCAAATCCATTTTTTAGCACAAACTGTATCATTTAAACATCATTTTCGAGTTAAGAGTCTTTAAATCAGCTATTCTGAGCTATAGGATCACATTTTAAAAAATGTTGGGGTTTTTTGTGGGGGGGGGGGGGAGAGGTTTTCTGAAAAAAACATTAGCTTCAAACATCCGCCTATATTCAGTTTCTCTCCATAATGGAGAATTTATCCTTATATAATTGGATAGATAATTATATAATTCCATAATTAGATAGATCCTTAGATGGGTGTTTGCATTTTGGAGATACAACCATTTAAATGGCCAAATGTGGAGTTTCAATTCTGGGAGACTGGCCCGTACGTAACCAGACTATAAAACTGACGTTGTGGCTAGTTTAAAGGGAATATACAACATTTGCAAACATCGAAAAATAAACCTACCAAGTTTTAAAGAAATACCTTACTAGGATGTTGGTAAATGACAGTCTAAAGCATCCTGTAAAATTATGGTACCTGGTGTCGAGTCATTTTCAAGAAAATAGTATTTTTGTATACATTTCCAACGGTGGTCGGCCGACCACCGTTGGAAAACTTAACTATTTTTCAACTACTGCTCCAAATTTACAATTTTTTTTCAGTGCAAATTTTGTTTGCTATTGGTTACATGTTCATGAACAGGTGCAGGCCAGCTAGACTGGTTCCCTTACCTTACCATTTTCCGACATCTATAAATTGATCCATTTTATCTTAAGTGGAGTCAGGGAACCAGACTACTTAAACAGTTTTGTTTTTCTTGGTTTTTCAAGCATTTTCGAACACAAATCTTCAAACATGTCAGTTAAACAATATTTGATCTATTATACTAACACCTCAAATAGTTCATTTCTGAAAATTACAGCAAAAGCCAATGATGTACATTCCCTTTAATGGGCACGCTTGCGTAGCTTGCGTTGATTCCCTCTACAGTATCGACATGACGGGAAATGAACTTACTTTATTTTTTACTTTTCATTTTGTTTTTGCTCAGGCAAGGTCTAAAAATGATTGTTATGACAGGATGTGCATCCATGCCTACCGAAAGTAGGGGGCGCCCTAGCATATTCCAGCACCCCCATCAAAAAAGTTGGGGGTGCTGCAGCACCCTCGGCCCCCTCCGTTCCAGCGGGCCTGACACAAAACATCATTATTAGGGATCGACCGTGGAAAAAGGCATCACATGCGGTCCAATGACCACTTGTTGAATAAGTGTGTAAAAAGATGTTTTCAATTTTTTCTAAACTGATTCCCGATTCTTTTGACAGGTTTGTGGCTTGGTATGATGGCAGCACTCTTTATTGAAAATGTGATGTGTATGGTCTTCATTTCGTGTTTCATCAATTGGGACAAAGAAGTCATCAAGGTCAGCTTTAGACACTCTTGCCAAAACAAATCAGTTGTTAATTTCTAGTCTTCTCAAGTCAAATTCAATGAAAGTGGTGCAACAAAAATATGGCTACCTTTTGGCATCATAATAAATGTCTGCCTCAATACAGGGCGAGTAACAAAAAACGAAACCCAAATGCCAGGACCAATTTTCGAATAAAGTTTTGCCTGTAACACTTTCAAAATCTAGGATGTGAAAGCCCAATTAATGAGCTTTCGTTTAGTACAAGAATCATTCAAATCACTCGTGTACTTTTCAAGCGATGGAATTTTGAACACAAAGACCCTTTTAAAGATCAGTTTGCGGATCACAAAAAAGTATGTGTTCTTTCAGCAAAACGAAAACAATTCACTTGCATCCCTATGAGAATTTTTTTCGTTTTGCTGAAAGAACACTTACGTTTTTTGTGATCCGTGGACAGAACTTTAAAAACGGTGTCTGTGTTCAAAATTCCGTAACTTGAAAAGTACATGAGTGATTTGAATGATTCTTGTAATAGAAGAATGCTTAATGACTGGGCTTTCATATCCTAGATTTTAAAAGTGCTACAGGCAAAACTGCATTCAGAAAATTGGTCCCGCCATTTGGGTTTTGTGTCGTTTTACTCGCCCTGTAGATTGTCTGAAGAAGCAGATACAATTTAAATCTGAAAGAAGAAGCCTTCGGAGTCAAGAGTACAATATTTTATGAAAGCCAGTTGTGGAGAATATTAGAAGCTTTTTAACATTCCAGAATGTCGCAAGAGATTTGTATAATGAAAACAAACAAGCAGACAAACAGACAAAACAAAAGATAGACAGTTTTAAACAAAATGTTCAAAGGCTTGGCTTTGAATATTGTAGTTGACTCAATTCAATTCAGTTTATTTATGAATGGCAACCAGAGTAGAATTGAACATGATTTACATATTAAAAAAAAACCCAAAATATATTAATTACAAAAACTAGAAAGCACTCGGAGAGCGCAACCTCCGCCAAGGCTTAACAATTCCCTGCCATATTGTTCGTACATCCAGCACAAGGAACTTTTAAAATGCTCAAATCATGTAGCGACTGCCCCTTTAACTGTAACTGTGTGTCAGCTACTGCAGAGATCAACGGGTATTAAAAGCACATGTGGCATTGTACTTGAACATATAGGTACAGTCTGTCACTGTGTGCACAGTATAATGGCCCAGAAATGGAAGGGTCCATTAGTTGTTTTCGGGGGGGGGGGGGGGGGGGGTGCCACAACTTCCTGGTCTATGGTATATACACATACAAAATGGCAAAGAGTCTTTTTAAAAAAATCCTGCATCCGGATCACGTCCAAAATCTAATTGGTCCGTACTTGTACCAAGGACCACCCGTACACAAATTTTCATGAAAGTCTGCCCACAACTTTTTGAGTTATCCTGTTCACAGACAAACCAACCAACCAACCAACGCCAGTGAAAACATAACCTCCTTGGCAGACATAATTAATCATGTAAAACACTGAGATAGAGAGCCACATTTGCCCATAATGTAATATTTTAATATGAATTGGCTGATGATTGATGAACCACTGTAGATACACTTCGCTTTATTGTCCCTCATTTACAGGCTCAGAAAAGAGCCGCAGTGCTGCCAACTACAAGCGAAGTGGACTGCAAGAATGATGCAGAAATGCCATTGGAGTCAATGGGAGACAACGTCGATGAAGAAGCAGTGAAGTTACCAACCACAAGAGACGAGGACGAGCGAACCTCTATCAGAGATGAAGAAGTTCAAGTCTGCCAGAATGATTGCCATAGCGACGGAGAGAGCAACTCTCGGCGTCACAGTGAAGGGGAGCAGTCTGGCTTCTGTCAACAGGAACCCGAAAACACACAGGATGCTGTTGAGGAGGCAGAATGCGGAGAGGAAGAAACCAGACCCAACTGCAGTTCAGACGACGAGAAACAAGACGAGGCGAGACCAGCAGAAGAGGAAGAACCAGAGATAGGTGTCCTGACGCTAGACAGATTATCATTCGCCCAGCTCATTTTGCGTCGCGGTCTGGCTCTTTTCCTTTGCATTTCCTTCCTCCTGGCTTCAGTTTACGTCGCCGTTTACGTTGTTCCCGCCGTCCGACCTACCTTCTCAGAATCGATGAATGCAACGGCCAACTCCACATCAGAATACATCACTGAGAGTTTGAATAATGGCACATACATCGTGGGGGGTTTGGGTACTGGCGCATTGACTGTTGATTTAACAGAATTCTAGCTGGCGAGTTAAAGCAAACCCCTTCCATGTAAGTTTGAGGAGGATAGCTTTTCTATATTTTCATTTGAATAACAAAACCCACAATTCATATGGGTAGCTCATTTCAGCTGCTGCTGACTTGAAGGGAGCCGCCCATTATTCACAATAAGCCATTTGCGAGTGACCTATACCCTTTTGGATATAAATTTGAAAAACGTCAGGTTTCCTGACTTGCTCAGAATGCTTGGCACATTTTAACTGAATTCTCCAGACCTAAGACACTTTTGCTAATCACATGATTCGGGGCAAGCTCTTGCATAGTTATGTAAGAGACGCTCAGCACCAATACATTGTTCACAATGGGTGAGAATGGCACAAAGACACCAGACCATGCCGGAGCTGGGGGTTGCTAGCATAAGGCTTGCCCCGAATCACGTGATATAGTAACAGTCTCTTTGGTCGGGAGAATGCAAAGCCTTAAACGCGCAAAGCATTGGATTAAAGCTATAGTCCATCATTTGCAGCCATCCGAAAAAGTAACTGGCGTAATTATTGTTGAAAAACATACTTGGTTGAAAGATAGTAAGGGGACTAAACTCCCTGTGAAATTAATCTTTCTGGCAAGCTGTCATTTTGAAGTAATCAACAAAAGAAGGCCTTTCCAACGGTGCGTCTTAAGACGCACCGTAGGAAAATTTAAATTAGTAGTTCGTTTTGTTATTCGGCGCAGCGCGCCCAAGCATTGGCACGACGCACAGGCGCGCGCGGTTGCTATAATTCGTCGGATCAGTGCGCGACATCGCGTATAGCTGCAATTCAAAACATTTTAAAACATGATTCAGCAAATTTTGATTTGAAATTGAGATCCTAGAATGCTGTTTTTCTCGGAATATACAGCTGAAGCTGAGCTGAAACTTGATCAGGTTAGTTGTTCAGTATCCTTCATTAGATTTTGAACAGTTTTGTTGCTTCAAACGAACAAAATGCACAAATTACAAATGATGGACTGTATCTTTAAGTCAGCGTTCCAGATTTTATTCAAATTTAACACACAAATGGCTTATTGCATATACAAAACACAAAACATGGAACAATTTTACAAGTACATGAAACGCCAATTCCAAATAAAAGTTCAATTATTCATTAAAAAAAATGGTTAGATGACACCACTTTAACAAGTTATTGCCGGAGGACATGTAAACACAATCTGGCAATGTAAATTCGTAGGGGCAGGTGACTGGTTGAATCGTCAAGCTTTCCCTGAGTGCGGCGGTGGACGTGTGTATACACGTCAGTGATTCCCATTGGTTTTGTACACGCCGCGTGTTGGACTTGAACTTGGCCGCTGTACATGGCCTGTCGTTGTAACTATCACTCTGTGGCGGGGCCTGGGAGTGTTGCAAAATATAAAGTTACGGTGATAAGTATCGCACAAATAATGTATGAATGACTCTCAAGAGTCAGTATTTGTGGTGTTTGACTTCATTTTAAACTTAAGCTGATATAGTATTTTTTGGGGGGCCAAAAATAATCCCGCGGTCAAGTGGTTAATGGAAAAAATATAAGTGTTAAAACTTGGTAAGGTATACTTGTAATACATTGTTTTGGCTCAACTACGTTTTGTTGCATATGGGGGGGGGGGGGTAGACCTAGTCTGTTGTTAAAGACGCCCTCACTACCCCTTCCAATTTTTCAAGTACTGTAAAAAAAAAATTGACTTTTTTTGGGGGGAGGCATGGCCTACATGGTGTGAACTGCCATTATGAAACTATGCACTTGTTTGCAGCAAGAATCAGGTTTTTTAATGAGTTAAATTGTAGATATTCACCGTTTGCAAATGTTGTGGAGGCTATATATGTATGAAATTTGGTACGCTTTAAAAGTTTTTAAACTACTAAAACTTATAACAATTTGAAAGAATTTTAAATGACTGATACAAAAAAAAGTATCAATCTACTGAATATCGTCAGATCTTAAACTGTAAGTGGTTGTAAACTAAGCTGTGGAACTAATACTCGCGTTGTAAAGACTCCCATGAAAGCTTTTCTTTCTAATAGAATTCTGAAATTGCACTTTTATGTTCATTAATCTTTACTTAAAATCTATGTATTGCAATACAAAAAGTATTTGGAGCCTTTAATTGTGTTTGGTATTAATCAAATCAGTGATTTGATATTTTATAGTCAAGCGTCTGTGTTGTAAGAAGATCAGACTCTAATTTCTGATGTGTCCTAGCATGCAACTTTTGCACGACCCCGCGCGCCAGCCAGAGTCAACCTTAGAAACTGTGATGTCATTGCGATCAGAAATTGTGGACCAAGCTGTTGATTGGTCAATCTGGCTGACATGTTTTTGTAATACAACAACTGGTTACGGAAGACCTGATACAAGGCACCCGCTGAATGGTCAGAATCTCGAGGTCAAGTCACAAACTATTTTGCATAATTAATCACCAAATCTGTTTGCATATCACAGACCTTTGCCAGACTATCTGTGGGGTTGCTTAAAAAAGGAAAATTTTAAATAGAATTTGTATTTGAGTAGAAACTTTATATTGGCTTAGGTGTCAGTTAACTGCTGAAAATCATGTTTCTTGAAATTAGAAATTATATTTCAAGAAAAAAATTATCTCACTCCCTTGAGAAATTTTCTTGGAAGGGAGACATTTTTTAAAACTTGACTGTTGTATGTTGCCGCGGGCATCAGAAAATATATTGGCACATACAAACAGTATAAAAAGGTGCTATGGTCTTTTAAAAAGGAATTAAAGTACATGTATATAAGGGTATCTGGTTTTCTCTGGTGCAATTTATTGACATGAATTTTTGAACAAGGTAAGGTTCCATCTCTTTGCTGTTATAGTGGAATCCTTTAGAACATACAGTATATATGGAATACCAGTATTTATAGCCATTTGCATGTATATGCCATATTTGGCTCCTAACCTATTTTTTGTAAGCCCCACTACTTTGTGTTTAACTCATTAGCACTTGTATTATACTGTATTACAATGTATAACACTGTATTACAATGTGTTACAATGTAGTAAATCCTTGATGAATCCATAAAGCAATACAGTGCTGGAGCGGTTGTGGGGTGGAAAAAAGGAATTACAGGCAGGGTGGTACAGTGACTACACTCAACCAAAAAAGAAAGTCCCCCACCCCCCCTAAAATACTTTTTTGTCTAACTCAAAAACTACCAGGCACATCTTGCTCAAATTATAACTGATCAGTACAGAAATTCCTTAGCATTCCAGCCACGCTCTTTGTTTGGCCCAAAACAGTGATAATGTGTACAAAATTATGCAATTTATGACAAATGGTACCGAAAAAAAATTGCACTTTTGTGTACTTGCAAGGTGAGTGTGAACCACAACTTGCATGTATACAAAAGTGCAACTGTTTTCGGTATCATTTGTCATAAGTTGCATAATTTCGTACACATTATCACCGTTTTGGGCTATAAGAGTATGGCTGGATTGCTGAGGAATTTCTGTACTGATTAGTTGTTATTTGAGCGAGAGGTGCTCAGTAGTTTTTGAGTTCAGACAAAAAAGTATTGGAAGGGGGGACTTTCTTTTTTGGTTGAGTGCATAAAGGGCTATTAAATTAACAAACTACAATGTATAGTGTTTTTATACAGTTACGAAACAGAAGTATGCTGCCTCTTTGTATACATCACCATAGCATGATTAAAAAAAGTAATAAAACAAACATTAAATTAAACTATACAGTATATAATCTGGAAGGATTCTTTCAATCCAATCTTAAAGGGAATATACATTTGCAAACATCAAAAAATAAAACTACCAAGTTTTTACGAAATACCGTACTAGGATGTTGGTAAGTGACAGTCTAAAGCATCCTGTAAAATTATGGCACCTGGTGTGAAGTCATTTTCAAGAAAATGGTATTTTTGTATACATTTCCAGCGGTGGTCGGCCGACCACCATTGGAAAAACCTAACTATTTTTCAACTACTGCTCCAAATTTACAATTTTTTTCAGTCCAAATTTTGTTTGCTATTGTTACATGTTCATGAACGGGGGGAAGGCCAGCTAGACTGGTTCTCTTACCTTACAATTTTCCGACAACTATAAATTGATCCATTTTATCTTTAGTGGAGTCAGGGAAGCAGACTACTTAAACATTTTTTGTTTTTCTTTGTTTTTCAAGCATTTTCGAAACACAAAACTTCAAACATGTCAGTTAAACAATATTTGATCTATTATATTTACCCCTCAAATAGTTCATTTCTGAAAATTACAGCAAAAGCCAATGATGTACATTCCCTTTAAGTGTTGGCATATTAGTTGTTTTGTAAATAAATTATATATCATCTTGCCCTTTTTGTTCAAGGGCCCATGCAATGTACTTTTTAAAATGCAATCCTTGAAAATGCACCTTTGAGTCCCATTGAACCATATTTTCAATTATCGTTTTTGCCATTCTCAGGGACATTTTGGTGCCTTTATGGTTTTTATAGGATTTTCCATGTTCATGACCAAAATTGAAATTGAAAACCTCAATGTTACATCTATTTCAGCGTCAATAGTCGCCAGAATTTTGGTTCTTTTGCTGTCGTAAATTTTCTTTTCTTTGGCCATTCGTCGTTGTTTCAGTACATGGTAGTGAGCCATTGAGCAAACAGAAAAACCCTAAACTGAACAGTGTCTTCTGAAATGACATCACAGCAACAGTGCCATCAGTTTGGCCTCAATTGTCTGGAAGTGCATGGAATTTTTTTTTAAATGTTTAAAAAAGTGCACTTTTCAATAAAATTAATCAAATAAGTTTTCATACATTTTAAGAGGAGGAGACAGTTGCACGCACAAAATGTGATTAAAAAAAGTAATAAAACAAACAATTAAACTATACAGTATATAATCTGGAAGGATTCTTTCAATCCAATCTTAAAGGGAATATACAACATTTGCAAACATTAAAAAATAAAACTACCAAGTTTTTACGAAATACCTTACTAGGATGTTGGTAAATGACAGTCTAAAGCATCCTGTAAAATTATGGCACCTGGTGTGAAGTCATTTTCAAGAAAATGGTATTTTTGTTAACGTTTCTAGCGGTGGTCGGCCGATCACCGTTGGAAAAACCTAACTATTTTGCAACTACTGCTCCAAATTTACCAGTTTTTATTCAGTTCAAATTTTGTTTGCTATTGGTTACATATTCATGAACGGGTGTAGGCCAGCTAGACTGGTTCTCTTACCTTACAATTTTCCGACAACTATAAATTGATCCATTTTATCTTTAGTGGAGTCAGGGAACCAGACTACTTAAACATTTTTTGATTTTCTTCGTTTTTCAAGCATTTTCGAAACACAAAACTTCAAACATGTCAGTTAAACAATATTTGATCTATTATATTTACCCCTCAAATAGTTCATTTCTGAAAATTACAGCAAAAGCCAATGATGTACATTCCCTTTTAAGTGTTGGCATATTAGTTGTTTTGTAAATAAATTATTTGATATCATCTTGCCCTTTTTGTTCAAGGGCCCATGCAATGTACTTTTTTAAATGCAATCCTTGAAAATGCACCTTTGTGTCCCATTGAACCATATTTTCAATTATTGTTTTTGCCATTCTCAGGGACATTTTGGTGCCTTTATGGTTTTTATAGGATTTTCCATGTTCATGACCAAAATTGAAATTGAAAGCCTCAATGTTACATCTATTTCAGCGTCAATAGTCGCCAGAATTTTGGTTCTTTTGCTGTCGTAAATTTTCTTTTCTTTGGCCATTCGTTGTTGTTCAGTACATGGTAGTGAGCCAATGAGCAAACAGAAAAACCCTAAACTGAACAGTGTCTTCCTGAAATGACATCACAGCAAAAGTGCCCTCAGTTTGGCCTCAATTGTCCTGAAGTGCATGGAATTCTTTTTTTAAATGTTTAAAAAAGTGCACTTTTCAATAAAATTAATCAAATAAGTTTTCATACATTTTAAGAGGAGTAGAAAGTTGCACAAAATGTGTTCCTAAGAAATGTTTATCTGATGGACCCTTTAAGGCACAGACTATCAGTGCTGAAGTTGAGTTCATCACAAATTCATCACAAGCCCATCACAATGAGCCTCTATAATGATGCATCACACTTTGTTTCCATGTGCGCTTTTTTATGGAGCTACGAACCATCGGGGCCCCACCAGGCTCCCGTTGAAAAGTGCACATCAGTACAGAGGCTTATTAAGTCCCGCAGTCCTAAGTCAAGTCAGACCAAGGTGGGATCCAGGAGGGCCAATTGGGGCCATGCCCCCCCCCCCCAAAAAAAAAACCACCCAATTTTTGTTTATTTTGTAAGTGACGTCGCAATAAAGGCAGGCATTGCATACACCACCATCTTTTCCTAAAAAAGAAAATGACAAAGTGGTCACAACTTTCCTCAGATCGCACCACAGAGCATCTAGAATCAAAAAAATTTTGGCCCCACTAAAAAAAAAATTTCTGGATCCGCCCTTGAGTCAGACACTATTTAAATGATCTCTGACAAAGGCATTCCTTTGTTTTTGTTTTTGCCCCTGTTACCTGTGGCTGGACTTATGAAAGGACCTGTAATGGACTCACTACAATACTACAAACTCTAACATTATGGCAACGTAATAAGTAACATTTTATATGACAAGGGACAAAATTTGCATTTTATTTTTAAAAATGCATTTATATTTAATTAAAGTACATTTGTGTCCTTTAAATATGTGTTTCTATCAAATTTATATATGTATTGTTAGGTCAATATATTTAAAAAGTGTTTTTTAAAAGTATTTTCCTATATTATGCCCTTAACAAATTTGATGTTACTCTCCTAACAAAGTTTAAATGTGTGTGCTTAATTTAAACAAAAAAAACTGGTTTTTTTCTCTGCAGATATTGGGTGTCTGCAACTCTTTGAAATATAATCCTTTAATAGTGGCTTGCCTTTGAACCTCTTATGCACAAAAAAGATCTGCCGTAGTAAATGTCCGGCAAATAACTCAAATGTCCGGCAAATAACTCAAATGTCCGGCAAATAACTCAACATTTGAGTATTGTTCGTTTAATACCTGTGAATTTTAGCAATTTTGGTGTATACCTCAAAAGTTTTTTATTGCTGGTAAAATAGCAATTCACCGTATAAAGTTGTAAAAAAAAATTGCACAGGGAGAGCAGCTCATCTCACATTCATTTCAAGAGTATCATTGGAAAAAATATGATTTAATGATGTTTTCTTCCAAACTTCAAGACTTGTTTATTTTAAATTTAATTCTTTTTCCATACTGCATTCCTTTTTAAGTGTTTTAATAACATTAATGGTTGATGCCTTTGAAATCAAGTACATTGTTTATTTCATTGGTTTTTTTAATGGGTATTAAATGTGTTGGAGCATGTCCCATGAACCAACCATAAAAGCTGTTTCAAAAAAAAATTAGATGTATTTTGGTTGTTGATTTTTCTTTTATAAGGCCAAAAAAAAAATACTCGGTCTCTGGTCAGCGCACGCGTCGATTTTAATCATGCGCGTCAACCTTTTTTTTCCTTCAAATTAACACAGAAGCTACAACAGCGCCCTCTATTGCCGCACCTCCTCAAATTTTTGCACCAAGAAGCACCAAGGAATGGGGAAATTGCACCAAGGCAAATGATAAAGGGCACCAAGGCAAATTATGGAGGAAACCAATGTATAATGAGGACACAAAAAAGCAAAATAGTACCCACCTTGTCTGTACAATTCAAGCTTGAAAAAAAAAACCATCCAAAAAAAAAAAAAAAAAGCGTCACCGCATCAATTCCGGAACTTCGGGCTGACCAGGGACCGATTATTTTTTTTGGGGGGGGGGCTAATATTTGTTTAATAGTCAAAGAAAACACACAGACTTCCTGTCAAGCAAATTTCTTTCCAGTATCCCCCCCCCCCCTTCCCAACCTGGCGGCTAAGGAATGGCCCCTAAATTGCACATAAATTGAACTGAGACAAATGAGAAAAAAAAAAATCACAAGTGTGGTCATATCATGACTGCTTTGTGAATGATACAAAAATATGCAAATTATAAAGTTTAGAAATGACTGAATAATAGGCACATGTTTGAGTCACAGGTTTTTTTAAGCATCACATGACCATTTGCTATCAACCTCGTCTCTACATTTACGCGTTGGTGTGCTTGATTAGTGTACAGTGTGCAGTGTCGGCTGTTTGTGCTCTGGGGACGCCTGTGATATCGATGTCTGAATCCTGGGCTTTGATAAGGCTTATTTCACGGAAGTAGCATAATTTTCTTGATCACCCGACTATTTTAAAGTCTGCTCCCAAATTTTGGAGCTTGGCATTTTTGTTCTCTGCTCTGTACAATTTGGTTCCTTTTCATCCAAAATTCTTATTTATAATTCGTATTTGGGAACACAACCCGTTGCTTCAGGATGTCACAAAACGATGAAGAAGTTAAAAAGCAGGTAAGCTGTGCAGAATTGAAACGAAAAACTGCCGATAAGCATGAAGAATAAGTTGACCAGTTTCCGGACACATCATCACGGGTGACAAATGGGGCTGGTTCGCTGGGGGAGTAGCTGGAGTTACCCAGCCCTGAGTTTTATCATTGGGTTGTCTATTAGGGCTGGAGCGCATTTTTCTCAAAACTTGTAGTATTTGCAAAAAAATTTGGAAAATGTTCAATTTTGTCCCCGTTACACACTAATTGCAACTGCAACTCACCCCAAACTTGCCTGGAATAACCATTACACAGGTCCTTGAAGTAAAAAACGATCCACGATGAAGATTCAGCCTACAAATTGCAGTGAAAACAGGAGGAATAACCGCTAACTTGACAACCTTGCTGGATTGGCCAGGACCGCTATTGGTTTGTGCACAAAAAAAATTGTGTACAATGAATGGCGGTCGATTAACAGGCACAGAGAGCGATCGCTGTCAACTACTCGGTTTTGCCGGCTGCGCTGGCTGTTGGCGCATGACGTCACGCGGAAGCGTAACACCCGATGACTGTTTCATGCACTATTGGTTGCGGTTCCAGTACCAAAGCTGTGATGCGAGTGGTAAACCTTATACTAGTGCATGAAACAGTCATCGGGTGTTACGCTTCCGCGTGACGTCATGCGCCAACAGCCAGCGCAGCCGGCAAAAACGAGTAGTTGACAGCGATCGCTCTCTGTGCCTGTTAATCGACCGCCATTCATTGTACACATTTTTTTTGTGCACAAACCAATAGCGGTCCTGGCCAATCCAGCAAGGTTGTCAAGTTAGCGGTTATTCCTCCTGTTTTCACTGCAATTGTAGGCTGAATCTTCATCGTGGATCGTTTTTTACTTCAAGGATCTGTGTAATGGTTATTCCAGGCAAGTTTGGGGTGAGTTGCAGTTGCAATTAGTGTGTAACGGGGACAAAATTGAACATTTTCCAAAATTTTTTTGCAAATACTACAAGTTTTGAGAAAAATGCGCTCCAGCCCTAGATGACAACCCAATGATAAAACTCAGGGCTGGGTAACTCCAGCTACTGGGGGAGGGGTTTAGAATTAGAGTGGCGATCGTGTAGTGTAGGGCCCCTATTAAGTTCCGATCAAATTAGACTAGAGTCGAGGGTGGTTTTCATTACTCAAAAAAATAACCTCTCAATTAGATGACACCTTTTTTTTGGTAATTTTTGAACAGTTTCTTGGGGTAGCAAGCATGGGTAGAAATTAGGCAGTGTATATTTTGCCGGAGACGGCAAACCTTTAGTAAACGTTAGTTTGCCGGATATGCACTGAACATGCGCAGTTACTGTTTTTTTGTAGTTAAACATTTTCCGGTGACAAGTTTTAGTCTGGCTCCATGCCAAAATTATCGTTGTTACCTCGTATTCACAAGATGGGATTCAGACCATTTTATAATTTCGGACTTTATTTCCCTTTTAAAAAAAATCCTCCAGAGCCACAAATCTGAAAAAGAAAATGTAATACTCTGCAAAAAATGTTTGAGACATGTTAAAATAATAAAAGAAGAATATTCTTATTTATTTGGGGATGAGAAAAAAAAACTTTAAAATGTGGTGCGGTTGGAATCGAACGCGAGTCATCCCGCTTACTAGAGCCTTTGCTTAACCCACTACACCAAACGTGCTACACAACTTTTGGTGGGAATTTAATACATCTTATAATTCAGCCTAGCCCGACTGCGTCTGGCCGTACAGTACTATCGCAAGCTCTGTAGTACGGCCAGACGCCCGATGCTTCCACAGAGACTGAATTTTGTTGGCCGCCGATGTAGCGATTTTGCTACATCTTTCGATCGCGATTATCTTTTCATCCAGGACACAAATTTCCAAAGTTAAGGTTCGTAGTCGTAGAGCAACTCATACCTTTTCGAAAAAACGTTGTTTGGTCTCAATATTTTCATCCATCTGGCCACAAGACGAATTTCAGTCATCAGATTCCACAAATATCGTCCCCCATGCGATCCCCCATGCGATTTCAAAATGGCGGCCGCGCTGTAATGTATGCAATATGCAGGCGCGCCCGCGCAAACTCATGAATATGCATAAACAGTCTGTGACGTATACCTCGTGTTTTTGGACGTACAGCCCCGCCGCACGCACGTCCAAAAACACGAGGTCATACGTCACAGACTGTTATGCATATTCATGAGTTTGCGCGGGCGCGCCTGCATATTGCATACATTACAGCGCGGCCGCCATTTTGAAATCGCATGGGGGATCGCATGGGGGACGATATTTGTGGAATCTGATGACTGAAATTCGTCTTGTGGCCAGATGGATAAAAATATTGAGACCAAACAACGTTTTTTCGAAAAGGTATGAGTTGCTCTACGACTTCGAACCTTAACTTTGGAAATTTGTGTCCTGGATGAAAAGATAATCGCGATCGAAAGATGTAGCAAAATCGCTACATCGGCGGCCAACAAAATTCAGTCTCTGTGGAAGCATCGGGCGTCTGGCCGTACTACAGAGCTTGCGATAGTACTGTACGGCCAGACGCAGTCGGGCTAAATTCAGCCCTATTTTAAAGAGTACAGCGCCCTCTGTTGATATGGATTGCCGCCGGCAAACCTTTAGTAATCGTTAGTTTGCCGTCATTACCTCCGGCAAAATATCCACTACCTAGAAATTACGATTTTCCTACGCGGTTTACCATGTTTACAGTTGGTGCCGTGCGATTCAGCACATCTTGCACGTTTACAGTTCATCATAAACATTGCGGGGTGATCGCCATCTTTATTTTCGTGTTACATTTTGTCGTCATCGTCATTTTACCCCCAAATTTCTAAAAATATTCAAAACTTGGCCCTCTATGACATGTATGATGACATACTTTACTAGTCTAGCTTGAGACTTGAGTAACTCCAGCTAACATGCTCATCAGGAATTCACATGTAACGCTGGAGACAGAACTACGTTGTAAAATTGAGATCTTAACTGATAAGAATTAAGAGACCCTAAAAATGGGCCTCCACAAAATGGCAATTTTCCCTCTTTTATGGCAACCCATATTACATTTACGAACCTCATAACCTACCCCTAGACACAGAACCCCGAAAAATTGTTTGCAGCACGAAACACCAATTAAGTACAAAAACGTCCATCAAAACAGAGACATTTCCCACAGAACCGCTCCACAGTTTGCCCTAAACTTCGTACAATACCTCACGACATACTCATGTTATGTGCGCGTAATAAACATCACTGGATTCTACTCCTAAGGCCTAAACTTCGTGCAATACCTCCGAGCAAACCAAAAATCATCGATCGATCATATAATGTCTGTGTGCACGTTTTAAGTGTCGGATTGGCTCAGTGCGGAAAGGGCATATTTTTCATCATTTTGGCCTGAAAACTGTCAGAATCCAGCGCTGCTTGTTAGACGCACATAACATGAGTATGTCATGAGGTATTGCACGAAGTTTAGGGGCAAACTGTGCAGCGGTTCTGTGGGAAATGTCTCGGTTTTGATGGACGTTTTTGTACTTAATTGGTGTTTTTCGTGCTGCAAACAATTTTGCGGGGTTCTGTGTCTATGAGGCTCCGCTCACGCGGAGCATCATAGTTCTAGGAGTACTCTAGCCCGACTGCGTCTGGCCGTACAGTACTATCGCAAGCTCTGTAGTACGGCCAGATGCTCAATGCTTCCAAAAAGACTGAATTTTTTTCCCCGCTGATGTAGCGATTTTGCTACAGATTTTGATCAATTATCTTTTCATCCAGGACACAAATTTCCAAAGTTAAGGTTCTTAGTCGTAGAGCAACTCATACCTTTTCGAAAAAACGTTCTTTGGTCTCAATATTTTCATCCATCTGGCCAAAAGACGACTTTTAGTCAGCATCTTCCACAAATATCGTCCTGAAAATGTCCTCCATGCGATTTCAAAATGGCGGCCGCGTTGTAATGTATGCATTATGCGAGCGTGCTTGGGTAAGATAATGAATATGCATTATTTAGTTCATGACCTCGTGTTTGTATGGCCAGCCGCGCCACGCGCCCGACAAACGTCATAAACTATGATGCATATTCATTATCTTACCCAAGCACGCTCGCATAATGCATACATTACAACGCGGCCGCCATTTTGAAATCGCATAGAGGACATTTTCAGGACGATATTTGTGGAAGATGATGACTAAAAGTCGTCTTTTGGCCAGATGGATGAAAATATTGAGACCAAAGAACGTTTTTTCGAAAAGGTATGAGTTGCTCTACGACTAAGAACCTTCACTGTGGAAATTTGTGTCCTGGATGAAAAGATAATCTCGATCAAAATCTGTAGCAAAATCGCTACATCAGCGGGGGAAAAAATTCAGTCTTTGTGGAAGCATTGAGCGTCTGGCCGTACTACAGAGCTTGCGATAGTACTGTACGGCCAGACGCAGTCGGGCTAGGAGTACTCATAACCATCTTCATTTAAATAACTATGCAGTAGTCATAATTTTAATTTTTATATTGCTCTTTTTTTTTGATAACAGATTCAGCATATGATGGCCTTCATTGACCAGGAGGCCAGAGAGAAAGCTGAAGAGATTGAGGCCAAGGTGGGAACACATTTCTTGCATTCTCCACCAGTCAAACCAAGTTGATATTTTACTTTTTTTAGACCACTGACAGTTCATATTCATTTGTTAAAACTCTGATCTCAAATTTCTCATCCACACTGTCACTTTTCGCATTGGAATTTTCATAAATGACAAGTTTTAATTTTGTATTGTGTTATTTTGTATCACTAGAGTAATGTATGTTATGGGTGAGATGTCTAAAAATCCATCTGGATTGTTTGGCAGGTTGAGTTGACTTTATTTTGATCTTTATCAGTTAGAGATTTACAGGTATCATTCCTCCGGCTTAGGTACATACAGCAGTTTAGGTTACAAAACACACAAACAATAAGCTTATTTATTATTCCAACGGCACATGTAAATGTAGTAGATCAAGGAATAATCGGGATACACATAAAGCAGTGATTTCCGATATGAAAAGCTGCACACTTGATTTGGTTAAGTGCCACATTTAACACATTTTTTAATTAGCAAGGACTTTTTCGTACTTTATTGCAAGATACCTTTGACCTGAACAACTTCAATGTGAAGGAATGAAATATTGAATTGGCATATTTTAACCCTAACTCCCTGAGCCTTTTTGCTAGGATGTAACCTCAATCCTGCAAAATCCTCCAATTGGCCTCATCGAAAAATAGCATATAGCCTCAATCCTGCAAAATCCTCCATTATTTCTTGAATGTGGTCCTTGGAGGGGTGACCACCGTCAATATGTCGAGGCAGAGGCAGTGACATCATGGAGCAGTGCGGAGGATTTGAAGTAAAATCATTCAAGGACTAAATTTATGCACGGCTGAGCATAAACAACTCAAGGTCCGGCCCAAGACCTTGACACAGTGCGTCATCTGAAATCAGCAACCCACTTTTGCCTTGTAACCTCAATCCTGCAAATTCCTCCAATTTGCAAAAAGGATTTTAGAGGATTTGGGATGGTTAGGGTTAATAACCTTCTAGTGCAACCTTTTGGTAGGACGTTGCAAAAGAGGATTGAGTGTTTACTTTTGACAAATCAAATTTGCTTGTTTAGGCTGAGGAAGAATTTCAAATTGAGAAAGGAAGACTGGTCCAGCAACAGCGTCTGAAAATCATGGAGTACTATGAACGCAAGGAGAAGAACTTGGAGCTACAGAAAAAGATGTAAGTTCAAATACTTATTGGTATAAGCTATGAACCCTCCTGTTGTTTGATCAGTCACAGACAGTCAAAACTTTCTTCCACTTCCCCTGCCATGCGTTTGTATACAGACTAATAAAACACAGGAAAAGTACAGTTGTGTAAACACTGTGACTAGTCAAATTCCGTCAACAGACAAAAGAGGTCACTGGTAGGTATAGCTGACATATCAATCACCTCCAGTCAAAGCATGGCTATATCAAATTAAGAAGGGAATTCTTAACTGTTAAAAACTGTCACTTGATTGATTTTGACTGCTGTGATGGTGTATCTGAATTTGTCAGGTTCATACATTTTAGCACCTTGGTAAAAAAGCAAGACAATGTTGTTGCAGATCTCATTTACAAATGTTAATTGTTAGTAGCGCACTGGGCTACTGGACTATTTTTTTCAGCTAGGTTGAATTTAGTCTGAACAAAGCCTTCAATTCACAGAGGATGATGGGTTTAGAGTCTGAGTCCAACCAGTATGTTGTTGACCATATGAACAATGAACTAAATGAAAACGTGTACGCGCGTACAAATAGGATGCTGCGTTCTGGCTGGCGCACGAGTGTGTTGGAGAAGTAGGCCAACCATTCAACTGGGGAAGTGATAATAGCAACCAATAAGATTTTAGAATTACTATAAGCGTTGCCTGTCCTTCATCACGTTCTTCATCTATTCCCCCAGTAAGTGGGGAGTGAGAATCTTGTTCGCGAACACTGTTCACGTGTTGGTTCCCGTCGTTCAAAACCCTGTTCTCGTGTTCATTCAAGACGAGAACAGGTATCGCATACGCCCCAGTTGTGTTCGTTTTTGCGATGTCCTGGTTAAATACTATTAAATCAGACTGTTGTTGATGTGTATCTTCCGACAGCCAACAGTCCAACATGCTGAACCAGGCCCGGCTCAGGGTCCTCAAGTGCCGGGAGGACCACGTGATGGCCATCCTGGACGAAGCTCGCTTACGTCTCGGGGAGGTCATCCAGGACCGCAACAAGTACGCCCAGATCCTGAAGGGTCTGCTGGGCCAGGGGCTGTACCAGCTCATGGAGAAGAAAGTGACGGTGCGCTGCAAAGAGTGCGACCTGGCACTGGTCAAGGTAGGGAGAGATAAAGCAGCTGTCTGGGATGTTATTCCTCTACTGCAGTTTCATGGTTTTTACTTTCAGTGTTCAGACAGTGATGATCTGATAACTCATTAGCCCTTGTATTACATTTGTACTACACTGTATTTACTTTTTGATGAATCCATAAACCCATAGGGTGCTGGGGCGGTATAAGGAGTAACAGGCAGGCGCTTTCGGGGTGGTTCAGGGACTGAAATGTTAAAGCGCAACTCCAAGAGAAAAAAAAAACTGAGGTTCTTAACCTTTAAAAAGTTATGGTTCATTTGAGACATTTGCATAGCTGCCAACTATTAAGAATTTTGCGTAATTATTATGAATCTTCAGGAGCAAACGAAGGCGGCTCTCGCTGACTATAAGAAGGCAGCCAATAGAGACTGCGAGGTCAAGTTTGATGAAGAAAACTTCCTTGGAGCCGACATGTAAGTGAATGTTTTTCAGTTTGGTTTGATCCTGCATTGGTTATGTTCAGCCATGCATAAATCAGCTCTGTGTTTTTCTGACATTTTATCCGCACTGCTTCTAAACGCCATTCGCACTGCCTCAAACCATAGCAGTAACTGGCAGAAGATTTTGGAGGATTGAGGCAGTGGTCACCCTCCAGAGACTAAATTCAAGAAATAACGGATGATTTTGGAGTACTGAGGCTGAATCAATTTTTTTCTTGGTGGCAATTGGAGGATTTTGTAGGATTGAGGTTGCATCCTAGCCAGAGGACCTAGGGGGTTAGGGTTATTAAGCGAGTAAAATTGAGAAGAAGCAAAAATTTAAAAGAAGTATAGTTGTCATAAATCTTTCAACGTTACCGAGGGAGCATTTTATTTCCATTCACCACTTGATTGCTGCTATCGCCATATTATTGTATTAAGAATTGATGAATTTGTCCTCCATTATCACTGAAACAAATAGAGAACCAAACGTTGAGTGTTGAACCTTTCTCTCCACAGCACTGGTGGTATAGAGATGTACACGGCCAACAACAAAATCAAGGTCACCAATACTTTAGAAAGTCGGTTAGATCTAATGAGTCGCCAGGTAAGTCAGATATTTTTTTTCCATTTGATTTTTGTTGTTGGTGGTGTTTTGAATTCTTGTTCTGGTATACTAAATCATGGCACTGCTTATCCCGATTATTATTATTATCTATTTCTGGTAATGAAACTAAGGATTTAAGCACTGTGGCTCGCGAGCCTGAAGAAAAACCTGTAGAGAGAAGATAATGAAAAGAAATTACAGTTTTAGAGGTGGGAGGAAAACCCCAAAAGAATATTCTGGGGAAATCCACGGAATGAGGCCTGAAAACCCAATCCACGTGTGGCCAGGTCACTGCAGCGGAAGGCGAGGAAAGAACCACTGCGTCAACCTGACTCCCTGATATAAGAATCTCTGCTACAACAGACAATTCTCTGCTAGCAGAAAGATAAATGCATGAATAATGGTCTCAAAAGGATTTTCATTCAGGGCCAGGGACATTTTAAAAGTTGTTACAGACCAGTCGGAGTTGCCCACTTTTTGATTTAACACTGTGGTGGCTTTCAACCATAACTGGGACGCTCCAAATATTTGGTATGTTGCCCAATGCATTCGTATCTTTAGTGACATGTTCAGAGCTTTGCGAAATGCACATGTGATGGGCATCCAGGCACGGAAGTGTCCCAGTAATGGCTGCTTGGGCACTACAGACAAATTCAAGGGGAGGTCGGGGTGGGGGAGGGGGAGATGGCAGAGGGAATTCTTAATTTTTCCAGTCAGCATGGGGGGGGGGGAACACCCTTGGGTATGCCTATTGAGACCGCGACATGTGTACATCCCATAACTAAGGATTTGGAATTTTGAATTTACTTCTGCAATTTATAGATGCTTCCCGAGGTGAGAAAGATCATGTTTGGAGTCAACGTAAACCGGAAATTTGAGGACTAAAAACAACGCAAATACACACGTCACTTGTGTTGCTACCCTTCCCAGGAAATACTTTTCTTCGTCGTACAAAGAGTAATATATATTTTATCGTCCGTGTGAAAATTAGTGGTGTCGAATACATGTACGTACACTCCCCACCCAGTGAAACTAGTCATCATGGACAAGCTAAAGCCGTGTTCACACTGGAGTTTATTTAGTGAAACTAACAGACACTGGTGTTAAGTTTACAGAAACTGTTGTCAAATAACCAAATTAAGTCTGGTGCGGACAGACGGTAAATCTGTAAGTTTAATGCCCTGTAGCGGTAAGTTTTGCCGGAGGCCGAAGTTAATCTAAGTGCAGACGAACGGTAGTATAACCACAATAGAATGTGCATAATCACTCGCTGTGACTGTTTACAAAATTAAGTCTAATGTGAACACAGTTTTCATCTCATTTTAATAATAATGAAATAGAAGGAAACCAATATTGGAAAAGGGAAGTACTTTTTGAACCAAATGTGGTTTTTTGTTTAATTTATAAAATTCCCAACCTTTTTATAAAGTTGTCAGTATTAATTAAAAAAAGAAAAGTGTCTGCTTTGTTTAAGCACTTGAATTTATGATTAATTGATGACATGAATCCGGAAAACCTCACTATATTTTGAAAAATGTTTTATTGAAATGCATGTAGTGTAAAACGTTTGGTTTCCTGAAAATTTGGCCAGTGTCTGTGCTTTTCGAGTCACTCTTTTCATTCAGGACACTCATTTGGTGGTGGTGTTTTAATACTGGCAAGAACTTTTAATATTCTTTGAACTTTCTCATGCTACATGTATGTTCCCATTGGTGTTTACGAAATCTTGGCTTGGCTTTTGCTATAGAGATACCAAATCCTGTTAATCTAGGCTAATGGTTAAGGTATTGTCATTGGGTAAGATTTTTTGTGTGAATTAAAGCTTGGGCCAGAGATGAAGCCAAAACTACAGATGACACCCAGGTTTCGTAAACCTCCCGCGTTGCTTTGAAACCTAAACCTTTATGGATAGCCCATCCGTTGTATTTAAGGATATTTCTTTGCTCCTTAAGCTTTTCAAGGGTGACTGCTCTATGTTCCGACACCCCTATATTCCGCCACCCCTATGTTCTGACAACCCGCACATAAGTTAGGGTTAGGAATATGTGCAATCGGAACATAAGTGTGTCGGAACATAGGTGTGTCGGAACATAGGTGTGTCGGAACATAGGTGTGTCGGAACATAGGTGTGTCGGAACACAGGTGTGTCGGAACATAGGTGTGTCAGGACAAAGGTGTGTCGGAACATAGGTGTGTCGGAACATAGGTGTGTCGGAACATAGGTGTGTCGGAACATAGGTGTGTCGGAACTTAGGTGTGTCTGAACAGGTGTGTCGGAACATAGCCTAGGTGTGTCGGAACATAGGTGTGTCGGAACATAGGTGTGTCAGAACATGGGTGTGTCGGAACATAGGTGTGTCGGAACATAGGTGTGTCGGAACATAGGTGTGTCAGAACATAGGTGTCGACAGTGTCGGAACATAGTTGTGTCGGAACATAGGTGTGTCAGAACATGAGTGTGTGACCTTTTCAAAGTACCGGTACCTATATAATACACACTTCTGGTGTTTAGTTTCTGATGTAACTGTGGCCTATGCTGCTCTCAATAGACCATTATCATGTTGCGGCAATCTTGATTTTGTCCCATTCAAATCAAGTAACCAAAGCGAGGGAAAATAGTCTGGCTCCTTTTTGCACTAAAAACATTATCATTCAGTACTGTTATGGAATACAGGGAACATGACTAAAATGGCGGCAGCATGATAAAGGTCTGTTCTGTGCAAGTCCTAGTTCTCTTAGATTTTCCATGTTCTTGCCTTAGGTATCAAATTCTTCACATTTGCGTACTTCACTAAGAACAACCTTCAATTTGTGTATGTTGACATGACCCACTAGTTATATAACCACATTCCATGAGTCGAAATGTTTGGTTTTGAATTGCAAAAGACTGTGTGTATTTCTGAGATTTGAATGCAATATTGTAAACCCATTTGTTTAAACGTAATACATGTAATTAGCTTACAATACTGATTTAATAAAATATGCATATCAACATTTACATTTGATATTTGGTGTTCATTGAAATCATGTACAGTAGCTTACACCGCTTTTGTACAGCTGAAGATGAATAGTTTGCAATATAGTTCAAATAACCTTTTCTTGAGAGTTGCATTACTTCTAAAATGGACATAAGGGCGTCCTTTTTTTTCTATGTTTCTCAAATTTTTATTTTTCTTGCCTCTGAAGTAGGGTCTGTCTGTCCGCTAAAAAATAATGAAATCCGGAAAAAAATTGCAGCTGCACCTTTTGAACTAAATATAGCATTCCGTTCGTTTTTCCGTTCGCAACATTTCTTATTTCCGGGCACAAAACCACTTGACCTTCACTTCCGGTGTTACCGGAAGTGCAATCAAAATTGTATATAACTCGAAAATGGAAGCATTTTACTACAGACATATACATTATCGAAGTGTTAGTTCGGAATGCCAAATACGAGAAACGCCATGATGATGTCATCACCGAAAAGGGCGCCCTCTGGAGGCACATCAAAGACAGTTAAACTTTTTTAATTTTAAACCACTCATCGGTTTTCTTTGGACAGCCCCAAATAGATTTGACTGTTTCAGAATCATGACATCATCAGACCGGAAGTTATTGTAGGGAGAATTTAGAATGATCAGTTTTTCTAATAAACATAAATCGTTAGATCCCTGTCTAATGACTATTTTCGTAGCACAAGCTTGGGCTACCAAATAGTGTGACTTCATTTTTTTTTACCTTGTTCCGCCTCCTCTGTAAAGGTTACTTTTGGAATCCTAATTTGTTAAATCATAAAATGTAGTAATATATACGTTTCTGTTAAGACACATAAGGCAACAAAATTGACAAATCCACTTTGTCCTTGAGTTTTCAGAATTTGGGGGTTTTATTTAAAAATATCAAAATATATATAAAATATAAAAAAAATATCAAATGTTTAGTGAGATGTGTAATAAATTTATAGAATAGGACGCTGATTTCTGGCAAAATTGCATGATTATTTGATTACAATTATTTTGTTCACCAACAATTTATTTCAGTGATCTGTGAGTAACCAGAGAATCTACCTGAAAAGTATATTACTGAAGGGATGTACAGTGGAAATTTAAATTTCTTTGGCATCAAACCATTTTATAAATATGTATCTCTTTTTTCTTCTTCTTCGTTTCAGTATAAAAATATAAATGTAGCCAATGAAGGTGTAGAAACTGTCCAGCATAAATATACAAAAACTTCCATGATTCAATTAATTATGTTTCCATGATTTCAATAAATATCAATATTCATTGTGACATGCATGAATATTTTTGACTGGCATAAAATATCATTTTTTGTCATACAGTATGAAAATATAATCGATTCTTGCATTTAAGTATTGCAGCAAAGTTGGTCATTTGTCCCATTTGGTATTTACAAGTATGAACAAGTTAATATAAATTTTCGGGCTGATATTGAAAGACTTGTCCCCAACTTTTGGCATATGTAGTGTACACCGACCCCCGTTTGGAAATGTACAGAGCACTATACACTTCAAATTGCTCTCATGAACATTTTAATACATAAAAACACAAATTGTGTTCATGGAGAAAGGTATTTAAACATTTGGCAAGTTTAGCGGCTCGGCGCTGTGTCCAATATGAGGAAACTAAGTGTCCAATTAATGTGGTCAGCAATAAGTGGCACTGATCTGCTTTTGCCTGCCTTTTTCCTAACGGAATCAGTGGAGGGCGCTGTTAACTGGCAGTTTTGCTCCAGGCTGTGTGAATGCTGTGTTGAGTCTACTTGGGAGACGAAGGGCGTTTCAGCATACTGCAGACCTTGTCGATGCTGGGACGCTTGTGAGCAGTCTTGCGGGCGCATTTCTTGCCGATGTGGCGAAGTGAGGCGATTTTGGCTCGTTTACCAACGGCACGGAGGATTCTTCCAAAGGCGTAGACGTCGGCAGCCAGTGTGAATGGGGTCGCATCACGAAGCACCTCGGGTGCCACAAAGGGCTTAGCAGCTGATTTGGCAGCGGCTTGGATCTCAGGGGTGGAGTGGATCGTAGGAGGGAGTCTTGCAAAGGTGCAGTCACCAAGATCACAGATCTTGGCTCTCCATCCTTTCCAGTTGCCATCAGTGGCATACAGGAGGATGTTCTCAGGCTTGAGGTTGACGTGGAGGTACTCCAACTTATGGAAGTAGTTTATCCCATCAGCTATGTCCCGAGCAATCTGGAACCAGTCGCTGTGTGGAATATCAGAGGCAGCGACTTTCTGGTTGCTCAGAACATCCTCCAAAGTGATGCTCTCGGGGATGAAGTCATTGCCGACAAACTCTTCCAGGATGCAGCGGAAAGGAGACTGCTCAACAACACCAATCAGCTGAGGGAAGGACGGATGACTGTCCGTGATGTGGAGGGCATCAACTTCCTTCTGGAATCTTGCCTCTGGATCATGTCCTTGGATGATCTTAGCGGCAACAAGTTTGTTGCTCTCAGATGGGATGCGCACAAGATGCACGGTTCCGGTCTCGCCAGATCCAACCTCCACCCACTGTCCCAGGATATCCAGCTCTGGCTCGATGTCACTGCACTGGTACAAACGGCTCCCGAGATAAGAAGGATATCCGTTGTACATGTAGAAGCCGGATTTCTTGGGCTTGTCTTGAGATGGAGACTTCTTGGGTCTCGGAGAAGCTCTTGCCCTGGGAGCAGGGGGTGACTTCTGAGGGGGCGGCGGAGTAGATGAGGCTTGCTTAGATGGGGAGGTTCCAGTCTCCAATGATTTGTCGGAGGCAGATGAGCACTGGGAAGAGGAGGAAACACTTTCCTCATCAACTGATTCAACTGTTGCTGCTATGGCAACATCCTCCACCATCTCTTTCTCCAATCTGTGGAATCCGAAATTATTCAGCAAATGTGAGTAGTTTTTCAATCTATTCTATGATAAAGAAACAAGAACTGGTTCTCTGTTACGGAAGGGGGAAGGGAAATAAGTGTAAATTGATAATCTTGTCTCTTTCTTGAACTCACCTTGTTGGCATTTCGGAGCTGGATGCTTTGATCTCAGGAGAAGGATTAGCAGCTTTCCTCTCCTTGGACTTGAAGATCGCCCTGATGGCTCGCCTCAACCCTGACAGTTTCTTTTTCTTCATTTTCCTGAAGAAAAAAAACCCACGTTTTTGAAAGTCATGTATTTGGCATTTCTGTGGGACTAAGATTGAAGTTTGAAATAGGCCTAGTCAAGTTTGACCAAACGGAAATTGTAACTTGTAAGAATGGATCTTCTGTTTATTCTGAAACATGTTAAAACAGTGTCAATCGATTGAGATCCAATAAAACATGGTAGGAAATTAATTTGAATCTTAAGTTAAGAGAAAATAACAAACAACAATATTGATCAAAAGGGGATTTGTTAAAATGTATTATTCTTACATGTCAGCGTGGTCAGGGGGTGATGGCACAGCACACTTGGACGTCAAGTTGGTGCTTGTTGTCTGGCTGTTGACTTTTCCAGACTCGTTGAAACTCACTTCCTGCATTCTAGCCATTGTCTGTTCTGTGGGAAAAGAAAGTTAGGATTATTTATAGCAGACCTACTATTTCAACATTCACAAAACATTTCACACTGTGACCATGGTGACTCAGTGTTTTGCATTGCGTAATGTACCATGTGCACAATCCTATAGGAAACACATGGGTAGTCAACTCTCATCACTCCAAAAAGATTTGGTCAAAATAAACTGACAATATTTCGAGGAAATGTTGTGGAAATGTACTCACCGAATGCAGATTTTTCTCAAGGTGTCAATCGCACACTTAAAAGTGGATTTTTATCGCTCTTTAAGCTTGGAAATCTCAAAATTCACTCGGAAATTGCAGTCAGAAATCTTCCTGCCTGTGTTAACAACGGTTTGTTTACTTGTTTTTTTTTGCAACCTGCGGAGTAACTTAGAGTAAGTTTCCCGGAACTACATGGAAACTTTATTGCATTTAGACCGAGTAGTACATGTCAGTGAAAGTTGTGGAGACCAAAGTTATTGAAGTCATTTTCTTCTACAGAGTTACGTGAAACATCACAGATTTACATTTTCATTATGATTATTGTATTTGTTTTCAAAATTAAAGTAAATATAGCTGGCAAACATGAACTACTCGATGCCGAAGAAACTATACCGCGTGGTGATTTACCGCTTTTGAGAATGTTCTTACGCGCAGTAAAGTAGTTTGGTTGCTTGGAGCGCTCTTGTTGCGGTTACGTCACAAAAACGGGAGTGGACACGCGCATGTTCGGCCGCGTCTACGTCTGCGTTCGATCGAACGTCGAACGTACGCGCGCGTACGTGTTTCTGATTTTTATTTTTGTGTAAGTTTAACCCAAAAATTAATAATGGTCACATTTTTAAAGTTCCAATGAAAACAAAACATATGACGCCTGAAGGGCCAGGGAGGGGGGGGGGGACAACGTGGTACAACCCCCCCCCCCCCTCCCCGGCGGCAGTTTGATGGCGTCATAAAAAAAACAGTATTTTTAAGACGGTTTTAATATGGTTCAGACCTCGTTACAGTGCCACCCTTGCAAAAAATACTGGAGACGCTACTACTGGGCCTGCAAAGCCGTGCGTCCTTTGCATTTTGCCCCCCCCCCCCCCCCCCCCAGTGGTGTAAATCTGTGCCAGGGGACTGAGGAGGATTGGGGCAATTAAACAGAAAATTTGCCCGGTCGTGGAGATTCGAAAAGCCTGGGGGGGGGGGGGTTGCTGCTGGACACCACATGACACCTGGGGGCGCTGTTCATGATAGAGATGTAACCATTGATCTCCATATAATGTAACCAACCCTCGTTCCCCATGGGTACGATCTTGTTGTTGTCCATAAACATTGAATTTAATCGGGATCGTATTTTCGCGCTTATACCGCTACATTTTTGGTTACATTATTTGTCTTCTCTGCACGTTTATTTAATATTCGAACGACTTGTGCTACTAATCACGCCCAATCACTAGACGAAATTTCAATCTAATACAACAGCTTTCTCTTAAGATATTGTCCCCACAACGAGTGTGTTATTTTAATCCATGAAACTTGAATTTAATCGGGATCACATTTATTTTCGCGCTTATAACGCTACATTGTTTTGGTCATATTATTTTAATTCTCTGCACAGTTTATTTAATATTCAAACGACCTGTGTTACCTATCACAACCAATCACTAGACGAAATTTCAATTCAATACATGAGGTTTAAGTTGTTGAGTTATCATCTCCACAACGAGTGTGCTGTTTTTGTTCCATGAAAATTCAATTTAATCGGGATCGTATTTTTCGCGCTTAACACGCTACATTGTTTTGATCATATTATTTTTGTTCTCTGCACGATTTATTTAATATTTAAACGACCTGTGTTACTCATCACGACCAATCACTAGACGAAATTTCAGTTCAATCCATGAAGTTTTTGTTGAGTTATCGTCTCCACAATGAGTGTCTTGTTTTTGTTCCATGAAAATTGAATTTAATTGCGATTATATTTTTCTCGCTTCAACACACTACATTGATTTGGTCATATTATTTTTGTTCTCTGCACGATTTATTTAATATTCAAACGACCTTTGTTACTCATCACGACCAATCACTAGACGAAATTTCAGTTCAATACATGAGGTTTTTGTTGAGTTATCGTGTCCACAATGAGTGTCTTGTTTTTGTTCCATGGAAATTGAATTTAATTGCGATTATATTTTTCGCGCTTCAACACACTACATTGATTTGGTCATATTATTTTTGTTCTCTGCACGATTTATTTAATATTCAAACGACCTGTGTTACTCATCACGACCAATCACTAGACGAAATTTCAGTTCAATACATGAGGTTTTTGTTGAGTTATCGTGTCCACAATGAGTGTCTTGTTTTTGTTCCATGGAAATTGAATTTAATTGCGATTATATTTTTCGCGCTTATTACACTACATTGTTTTGGTCATATTATTTTTGTTCTCTGCACGATTTATTTAATATTCGAACGACCTGTGTTACTCATCACGACCAATCACTAGACGAAATTTCAGTTCAATACATGAGGTTTTTGTTGAGTTATCGTGTCCACAATGAGTGTCTTGTTTTTGTTCCATGAAAATTGAAAATAATTGCGATTATATTTTTCGCGCTTAAACACACTACATTGTTTTGGTCATATTAGTTTTGTTCTCTGCACGATTTATTAAATATTCAAACGACCTGTGTTACCCATCACGACCAATCACTAGACGAAATTTCAGTTCAATACATGAGGTTTTTGTTGAGTTATCGTCTTCACAATGAGTGTCTTGTTTTTGTTCCATGAAAATTGAATTTAATTGCGATTATATTTTTCGCGCTTCAACACACTACATTGTTTTGGTCATATTATTTTTGTTCTCTGCACGATTTATTAAATATTCAAACGACCTGTGTTACTCATCACGACCAATCACTAGACGAAATTTCAGTTCAATACATGAGGTTTTTGTTGAGTTATCGTCTCTACAATGAGTGTCTTGTTTTTGTTCCATGAAAATTGAATTTAATTGCGATTATATTTTTCTCGCTTAAACACACTACATTTTTTTGGTCATATTATTTTTGCTCTGCACGATTTTTTTAATATTCAAACTACCTTTGTTACTCATCACGACCAATCACTAGACGAAATTTCAGTTCAATTCATGAGGTTTTTGTTGAGTTATCGTCTCCACAATGAGTGTCTTGTTTTTGTTCCATGAAAATTGAAAATAATTGCGATTATATTTTTCGCGCTTATCACACTACATTGTTTTGGTCATATTATTTTGGCTCTCTGCACGATTTATTTAATATTCAAACTACCTTCGTTACTCATCACGACCAATCACTAGACGAAATTTCAGTTCAATACATGAGGTTTTTGTTGAGTTATCGTCTCCACAATGAGTGTCTTGTTTTTGTTCCATGAAAATTGAATTTAATTGCGATTATATTTTTCTCGCTTAAACACACTACATTTTTTTGGTCATATTATTTTTGCTCTGCACGATTTTTTTAATATTCAAACTACCTTTGTTACTCATCACGACCAATCACTAGACGAAATTTCAGTTCAATTCATGAGGTTTTTGTTGAGTTATCGTCTCCACAATGAGTGTCTTGTTTTTGTTCCATGAAAATTGAAAATAATTGCGATTATATTTTTCGCGCTTATCACACTGCATTGTTTTGGTCATATTATTTTGGCTCTCTGCACGATTTATTTAATATTCAAACTACCTTCGTTACTCATCACGACCAATCACTAGACGAAATTTCAGTTCAATACATGAGGTTTTTGTTGAGTTATCATCTCCACAATGAGTGTGCTGTTTCTGTTGAAGAAACATTGAATTTAATCGGGATCGTATTTTTGCGCTTATAACGCTACATTTTTCGGTTACATTACTTTTCTTCTCTGCAAGATTTATTTAATATTCGAACGACTTGTGCTACTACTCACGACCAATCACTAGACGAAATTTCAATTTAATACAACAGCTTTCTCTTGAGTTAACGTCCCCACAACGAGTGTGTTATTTTTAATCCATGAAAACTGAATTTAATTGGGATCGTATTTTCGCGCTTCGTACGCTTCATTGCTTTAGTCATATTATTTATGTTCTCTGCACGATTTCTTTAATATTCAAACGACCTGTGTTACTCATCACGACCAATCACTAGACAAAATTTCAATTCAGTACAAACCTACATGCATCTCTCTTTCAATAAAATATGTCCAAACCAATATTACGTTTCAAATTTTGCCATTTCTTTATTTTTCCATTCAACAAATAACTTCTAAATACCTTTTTGATGTCCAATTATCGGATTCGACAATTAATTATACACAGGATCCTGTAATAGGTAAAATTTGCTTGTAACTATAAATATATTGCTTTGCGAATACAATATACATACAATGCAAAACGTTTCATCGTTATTACGTTCAGAATCGCAACGTCCATTAACATCACTGATTTGAACAAAATGGAAACAGCAACAATGCAACAAAATAATTAATTACTGTAACTCGGCTTAATCTTTGGTATTTCACTGAAAAACGTTCAACTCTGAAAGTCGAAAACTTCTAATAACCCAAAATATTTTTGGGAACCAGTTGAAGTACATGTACAACTGAAGTCAAACTTAAAATCTGAAAATTCTTATTTTTTATTTTTACATTATAGTAATTAGTAACATAAATCATCTTTGTCAGTAAATGATACTGAGTAGATTTTATTTTACAATAAACTCTTTCTATGAACATTATGTACAACATATAGTCGTATTTGTGCATACCAGTACATGTGCATGGACAAATATATACATGAACTAATGGTAGTACTAGCATACATCTTTTAGGAAAAAAAATATCAATTTAACCGATGTACTGTCATCTTTTCACCAAACAAAGGAATTTTCGGTCAGCTAAAAGAAACATAAAATCATAGAAACCGTGAAAGAAAAGTTGTTGTACAACTCTGAGATAAAGGAGTTGATTTTGAAAAGTATTACATACTTCAAGTAATTCATAAACCTTAGTGTTGGCTTTTACACTCTTAATACAAGTCTGGGGTTTTAGGCAACGCTGCCACTGAGAACCTTATCCAGCTCGTGTGAACTAAATTGGTCTTAATTTAAATCAGAAATTAGTCTTAGATTTAGTTCAGAAATTATTTGTGCATACTTTATGCCAGACACGTGCAAGCCCATGGTTTTGTGGGCATGCAAGCAGTGCGTGTCTGAGGCCTCTCGTAAGCATTCAGAAAGCGCCCTCTAGTGCATGCACACAGTCCGTAAAGCGGCTTTAGTCTTCACATTTCCAACAGTTACAATATCTGGCATATAACACACTCCACGCCTCCCCCCCCCCCCCCCCACATAAAAACAGCAACATGTAGAATGCCATGGTCCAGTGGTTAGGGTGTTTGACTCATGTGTGAAGGTGTATGAGTTCGAACCCCGCCAGGAACATGGTGTTTGTGCCCTTGGGCAAGACACTTAACTACAATTGCTCTCTCCACCCAGGAGTATAAATGGGTACCTGTGAGGGTCGAGGACCGATTGAGCGCTGATATCGGTTGCCCCGTGGTCCCATGGTCTGATGAACGGGGTTAATAATTGTAAAGCGCTTTGAGATTGTTGATACGATGGAAAGCGCTATATAGCACAATTATTAATTATTAGTACATGTACTTACATGTAGTAACAAGGCTGGAGCATGTTTTGCCAGAGTAACGTGTAATATGCACTCATATATAATTATACATGTAGGTTCACATCACTCTATACATTGTACTAGATCTATGTACATGGAGATAGCACCAAGAGTTAATATGTATACATTAAAGCACCTGGAAACACATGACAAACGAGCTTTTTACACACACACAAAGGCAAAATGTACGCAAGGTATGTAGGTTTGCATATTACAGTCTACCATGCATGTTATAGTGGTTTTGATCATAGCCTGTAAATTTCACATACGCGCGGGTGACATTGTCGCGCGCTTTCATAAATATGCACAAATCAATGAGAATGTTTACATTTATGCGACAAATTGGGTGACTTATCACACAATTTTTTTCCAAGACAAATTTGAAGTGATTTCATCACTTAACACAAAACTTTCCACCGAGAATCTGAGCCTGAACTGATTGGTTGTAAATGTAATAGCAGATGGACGATAAATGGTGCGACATTGTGTATTTGTGGACAAATGCGTGTCTGCCACTAAACGCAGTTGTTGCGACAAAAATTGTGTATTTGTGAATAAGGCCTAATGATCAGAAACAACTTAATATGAATACCACTTTTGAATCAAATCAAGGTATCTTTACAATTGTGTCCACAAATCACCCCGTACTTTTGTTAATCTTGCGCCCTAATCGGGATTTTGTTTTTTTACGAAGTCCTCAAAAAGCCTCTCATAACTTTGTCACAAAACTTAAGATGACATTTTCAGCCCCTGACATTACATAAACTAGAGTTTACTATGCCTATCATCAGCTGCTGTAGTACTGAACACCAAAAGCTCTATTTATATATATACTTATATAAATATCAAATTATTGCTTTTTATGTAGTTATTACTTGCACTGGGTTTTAACTGGGCCTTTTTTTTTTAGGACATTCAATACTGGAGAAATATAGTTGGTTTTGCATAATGCATTGATCGAGTTCAATGGTTTTTTTAAAGCACGGTTTTGAAAAAGCTTTCTTACTTGATATTTAACCTACCATAGTTGGGAATGCGAATTTCCACTGGAATAACGTAGTCTATTTTTATTCTCTGCAACACGTAAAACAAGAGTTTTTAACCAAGCGTTAAAGCACCATCAGAAAACTGTTTTGGATTTAACCAAACATACAAGATACAATATCCCTTACAGTTTGGACACCATAATCTTTGGCATTATTTCCACACTAAAAACAGTTTGAAGCACACGTGATCAAATTAAGGATCTGGGCCAATTTCACGCTGCTGTTTAAAGGTATAGTAGATCATTGAAGCTATCCAAAGAGTAACTGACAAAATTACAGTTGAAAAGCATACTTGGTTCAATGTTACTGTTAGTAATGGCACTAAACTCCCTGTGAAATTCTTTCTGGCATGCTGCCTTTTGAAGAAAACAATAAAAGAAAGCCATTTCCAAAGATGTGTCAAGTGACGCATTTTTGGAAATTTGTGTTCGTGGTTGGTTTGTATTTCGGCGGAACGGTGAATGGGTGCGCGCACACATTGACCCAACGCACGCACTTGATATAATTTGTTGGTTCAGTGCGTGACATCGCGTAGCTGCAATCAGATGAATGAGAACATGTTCCGGATGCTGACTTTTGGCGCAAATTTAAAACAGACTCGGCAACTTTTGAATTGAAATCGAGATCCTAGAATATTGTTTTCTGGGAATATGCAGCATTCAAAGAGCTAAAACTTCATCAGGTTAGTTGTTAAGCACCCATCTTTAGATTTTGAGCACTTTTGTTGCTTCAAACGAAAAACATGCACAAATGGCAAATGATCTACTCTACCTTTAACGGTTAGCATTCCTTAAGCACTATTTCATGGTGTGGATGTGCTAACGGTTGCATGCGAATGGATATTTCAATTGTTACGTCACTGACTTAAGCAATTTTCCTCTCCGTGGTAAGCGTGCCTTTCGCTGTGCTTACTACTTGCAGCACCAATACGTGTGTACTTGCTGTGACGTTATAAACGCACACTTCGTTTTTGTGCCAGGTGTGAAACGACCTTCATTGACACAATGACACTGGCCCCAATCCCGGCACCTCCACCTTCCATAAACATAAATAAATAAGGGAAAAGGCTATTTATAACAGTTGATGTTAAAGCAAGCACCTCATAACCACTGCTTGGGGATTCCGAGAAGAAACTCGCCCACGCCAAAGTAGTACACGGCCTGAGCGATGCCGAACAGCGGCGAGATGACCAGGAGGCGACAGGACGCGCCTTTGAAGAACGCCGAGGGGCCCTCGTACTTCCAGATCTTGGCCGCGCAGTCCCGGATCCCCGTGTAGGTGTGTTCCCCGGGGGCTTGTTGCAGCAGCTGCAGTCTGGTTTTTATAACTGGAGTAAAGAAACACAAGCAAAGGCACTGACTTCATTACTGGAGTAATGTAAAACAAACAGACTTCATTTATACCGGGGGCTCCGATGACAAATGTTTTTTTTTCTCCTTTTTTTCTTGACTGTTTAAGGCAGCCAAGTTTGGAAATCTCAATAAGACTTTTAATGTTCCCTGACCGGCTTTTATAACTGGAGTAAAGAAAACACAAACAGAGCTTAGCACTGACTTCGTTACTGGAGTAATGAAAAACAAACAGAGGCAATGACTTCATTACTGCGGACTATGATGACAAAATGTTTTTCTCCTTTTTTCTTGACTGTTTTAGGCACCTACGTTCGGAAATCTCAACAAGACTTTCATATTCCCTGACCGTATATTATTTTGGCTGCGTATTTGTTTTAGAAACACCTGTGTAAATGTTGTATTCAGTGTGTGCTGTTTTTTTCTGATTGGTGAGTGCAAGAGGCTGTTATTTGTATAGCACCGTGCAAATGCTCTGTATTTTACATTCCTAGATTTATATTGATTCTTACAGAATTTATCAGATGGATTATTTCCGTCTTTTAAAAGAGTCAACAATTTTCCTTCGACCACATTTTCGTTTGTCTTGCTACGTATGTATCATGTTTTGTACATTGTACATCAACTGTCCAAAGAATTGTGATATAGAAATTACTTGAAATAACTAATTAACAAAATCCTTCATAAAACTTGTCAAGTTTTATCTTTAAGGCCCAGAAATTAATCATGAATGACTTTCTGTTAAAGTTTGTATCACAAGAAAAGGCGATATTACACAGTTAAAAGTGGAACAAAAAATGCACATTTTTGACGCGGTAATTTCTGACTTACCATCAACAGGATTGACTGACAGAGACGCAACGGTAGCTGCTAGGCAACCACACATGAATGAATGCTGGAAAGTAGCCCGCCCATTCTCATGCTCGATTCCCTGGAGAAAAAAATCAGATAGACCACATGAACTGTTGTTTTTTTTACAAATATTTTATAGTTCAACCCAATTTCTGGTGTAATTACATGTACATGTATATGATGATGAAAATTTGTGAATAATTTTTGTAAAAATATTGACTCACATGTAAAACACAATTTTTCTTACTTCTGTAATAAAATATATGGCCATTTCAACTACAATTTGCTGTCTGATTAATGATAGGGCCTACTACTACTTACAAAAGTTGGTTTGGTTTTTAGATTTTTCACTCAAATTAAAAACTGCAAAATATAAGTTAACCAAACTGATCATCAGGAAACTGTGGTGATTAATAAAATAATTAATTCTGTAAATACTTAAAAGAACATTTTTGGTTTTCGTATGGAAAGTCACTGGAAAAAAAATTTAAATCCTTAAAATACGATTGAAAACTTTTAAGAAACTTTCCAAAACTTGGCATATTGGAGGTTTTCCAGTGTAATTGTTGATTTATTTTTAATACTCACCATTGCATTGAGATGTGCGAAGAGTGGAAAGTAGATCATGGAGAAAGGAATGTCTCGCATTAGAGTTGCTCCTAGTCCTCTGTACAGTCCAAAGACGCCTTTGGCTTGCATGAGGTTGCGGGCGATGGTCAGCGCGGAGGGAGTGACCTCGGCTGTTGTACTGGCCGAGAACGCCCTCGTCAGGGACGGGTTCATTTTGGCGGTGGGTACTTCCGGGACGGTTCCCATACCAGGGATCTTTTTTCTTTGAACTAGCGAAGATAGAAATACAAATACAAAGAAACATCACACATACATTGTTTTTTCAATTGTAACTGACTTTTGTGCAGGTATTTATAATTAACTTGCATTACTGTCCAATCATAGACTATTAGTCCCCGTCCCCCCCCCCCCCAAAAAAAGCACCCCCTCCCATGGTTTTATGGGTTCATCAAATACTGTGTAGTACAATGTTATACAACTACTAAAGTTTTAAAGCTATAGTCCATCATTTGCAGCCATCCGAAAAAGTAACTGGTGTATTATTGTTGAAAAACATACTTGAAAGATAGTAAGTGGACTAAACTCCCTGTGAAATTAATCTTTCTGGCAAGCTGTCATTTTGAAGTTATCAACGAAAGAAGGCCTTTCCAACGCACCGTCTTAAGACGCACCGTAGGAAAATTTAAATTAGTAGTTCGTTTTGTTATTCGGCGCAGCGCGCGCAAGCACTGGCACGACGCACACGTGGTTGCTATAATTCGTCTGATCAGTGCGCGACATCGCGTATAGCTGCAATTAAAAACAATTCAAAACATGATTCAGCAACTTTTGATTTGAAATTGAGATCCTAGAATGCTGTTTTTCTCGGAATGTACAGCTAAAGCTGAGCTGAAACTTCATCATTAGTTGTTCAGTATCCTTCATTAGATTTTGAACACTTTTGTTGCTTCAAACGAACAAAATGCACAAATTACAACTGATGGCCTATATCTTTAATTATAATAATTAAAGTTCTATTTTCTTGATAATTTTTCACAATTTATTTTACAAAATGAAAGATACTTATAATTTTGTCGGTTTTTTTGGTAAGATTTTTTAAATCTCAAATTTTAATTATTTTTTTAATCACTTTCTGAAAGCGCATCTAGAACAATTGGTCTCACATACTGTACAAGGCAAATTTCTAACCATCATTTGCTCTTACAACACTCACTTTTCCGCCCCGCATCCTGCAGTTGTATCTTCAGCATTTCCATAGGGGTGGTGATTATCACCTGGCACAGCCCAGCCCCTCCGCCTGCCAGCATTTCTCTGTGCAGTCCCATCTGTTTTCTGCAGGGTGAAGTGAGCAAAAAAAAATGCAAAAAGTGTGAAAACTCCATCGGATATTTATGAAGTTTTGAGCTGCGTGATGAAACTGTGCGTGCTAATGTGCTTTACCATTCTTTACTGCCAGCAACAGGATACATAAGAAAGAGTGTATCAAAACTGGATAAGTTTTAAGGATAGAGAAAATCAGTTGCTTGTGGCCAAAGTTTGCGTTGAATTCCCCCTTTGCAGTCGTAGAAACTTAAATGTCTTTCTTTCCAAACAGGACAGGAAAGGTGAGTGGGGATCCCACTTATGTAATTGTTTTGCTACTAGTTTTTACATGCACCCCCCCCCCAAAAAAAAATCCCATCAGGATGATCAGGTTCCCCCCCCCCAAAAAGAGGAAAAATAGACATGAACATGTACACTCTAACCATAATAATGTGAGAAATGCCTCAGTATAAACTGAAAAATCACACTCGACATAAAGGAACATTTTGATCACAATACCACACCACTGATCATGCTGATTGGACAATCTTACATGTATTTCTACATGAATGGCTGAGTATCATTTGATACTCATACACATGTACATGTACGTTTAAAGTAGATAACTCATTGATTTAAGGGGAAAAAAAGGCATGTGAGACATTTGAACTCGCCCAAGATACTTGTCTCTAATCTCAAATATTTTTTCTTGAATACTATAACAACACTGCAAAATGTGCCGAAAACAGCAGTAGCTATTTGATTAGGCAATGACGTCGTTCTAGCAAACCGCAGACCGGAACCACCCCGTTAATTATTGACAATCACGCAAACATGCAGCGTTGATCTCATCAAAACGGCATTAGGCTACCATCAGGCGGGAAGATAGGTCGACCTTTAATGGTCGGATCGCTAAATTTGGCTCAGTGCCAATAGACTTAGCCCTCCGCGGTGGGGGCCCAGACGTAATCGTTCAGTGGGGAAATTAAATCCTGTTTTGCTTTTGGGAGAAGACGATCCGAGGGAGGGACGGAATGGGTTGGTGGTTTAGGGAGCGAGAAAATTGTAATAGGATGAAGGGGCTGGCTGTTTATGATTATCCCTATCTCTCAGGAGGGTAAACTGATATCATTTTCACTTATTTTTCATTTAAAATGCAGCTACAAAAATATTTATTTATCATACTGATGCTTACAAGAAGTGTGACGATCCTTATGACTGATTTATATGTTCGTGATATGTATTGCAATATTTTTTTCAACCATTATCAATGTAATTAGGGTACAATGTACCCCAGTTTCTGGACGGCAACATCCTTTCGATTTTCATGAAATTTTGGTCAGGATGTCGCTTTTTTTTTCACTGCTGTTTTATTTTCCTTCAAATTATCAGGGGTGTGAGTGACCACTGATAAAAATAGCTGAAAACAGCTGAAAAATGTAAAAAAGCTGAACTTTGGAAATCTCCTATACTTTTGTACACAGCAAGTGAGGGAAAAAAAACTGAAAAACAAAACAAAACTGAAATCCAACACAAAAAAGCTGAAATCAGCTTTAAAGCTGAGATTTCACACCCCTGAATTATAGCTTTGTCTGCATTCTTCTGGTTTTGGTGTTCAAAGTTCAAACCGAGTGATTTATTCGAATTTTTTTTGTTTAAGTGTGTTTGTTATTTAAGAGTTCCGGTAAAAATAAAGAAGAAGACATTTTCACTCGGGAGGAAACACACTGAGTGTACAGTGTTTGTATGTCCGTGAAGGGCAAAACCTAATATTCAGTTACATCACTGCGATGCAAAAATCCATCTTATGAATAGACATGTAGAGGGTGAGTACAAAAAAACGAAACCCAAATGTTGGGACCATTGTTTTAGGGAAGTTCTGCTTGTGTAGCATTTTTCAAAATCTAGGATATGAAAGCCCAATTCATAAGCTTTTTTTAGTACAAGAATCATTCAAATCACTCATGTACTTTTCAAGTTACAGAATTTTAAACACAACCACCGTTTTAAGGTTCTGTCCACGGATCACAAAAACGGTGTGCGTTCTTTCACCAAAACAAAAACAATTCACACACATCCCTATGTGATTTGTTTTCGCTTTGCTGAAAGAACACTGAACTTTGTTGTGATCCGTGGACAGAATCTTGAAACGGTGGTTGTGTTTAAAATTCCGTAACTTGAAAAGTACATGAGTGATTTAAATGATTCTTGTACTAAAGGAAAGCGTAGAATTGGGCTTTCATATTCTAGATGTTGAAAGTGCTACATGCAGAACTTCAATAAAACAATAGTCCCGACATTTGGGTTTCATTTTTTTTTTTTTTTTTTTTACTCACCCTGTATGTATCATGATATTAGCGACAACTTTTTTTCACGTTTAAGTTCACTGATGTACCTACCGGTATGCATACACGTAATTTATGTTTTCCAATAAAAAGTGGTAAACTAATCACATCCCTAACTAATTATTTAATTACACTCCAAGTGCAGACTGATGTAGACACTAACAGACAGACGTAATCTTATTGCCATGGCAACCATTTTTGGAACAAATACACACAGAAACAATAATCTGAAGTGCCCTTTTGTGAGTTCTTTTTCCTGTTTGCGACGGACTTATACAATTTGTTTCTGAAAAAAAATGCAATCATCTTGAAAATTCTCAGTCTGCACGGAGTTTTTTTGTGTGCGTTTTTATGTACACACAGTGTCTAAACAGTCCCTAAGGCATGACAATAACACGCTCTTCTTCGGTGTTCCTCAGCGAGTAAACAACTTCGAGTCAATCGTCTTCAATATCTCAGCAGCCCAGGAAAGTGCCTGGAGGCCTTTTCAACAAAAAGCTGACGCTGTTTTTTTTAAGCAACGTGCCAGTCCAATAACATCACGTCGGGCGTGTTCATCTTGAGAGGGGATCTGGAGAGATATGTTCTGGCACCACTAAATTGCCCCGATATGAAATGATAACACAAGAGCAGGAGACCTATAAGCCAAATTTCGCCGAATTCTGGACTTCGTGTCTGCCAACTCTCGGGCAGACTGTCGAAGCGAGTTAAGCAAATTTGCAGGATTTTTTTCTCAGAGAAAACTGTCTTCTACACTACACTGAGTTTACTAACAGAAACAAAGAAAGGGAAATTGCAGTTTTGCAGCATTTCTCAACACTAGGTTTGGGTTGGAGTTTGTGATGAGTGTACATGTAATTAGTTGCCACTGAAGAGGATGTCAATTTTGTTTTTCTTCAATTTACAGTACTTTTAGAAAATTTGTTAAACATGTCCAAAACCCCCAAAAATACAAATTGTGTGTAAACATCAGTTTAGAAGTTTCTGGTTGACACCATGCCCAATAAGGAAAAGTGGAATAGGATTTTCTTTTTTCAATGTAAGATGACGTCTCAAAACCACCAAACTCACATGTTTTTAGATGGGGTTACGTTCGAGTATAAGCTTTATGTGGCCTTTCTGGGCTCCCATATATTATGCACAGAAAAGTCGAGCACCATTTTGCAGACGGTGTTGTACAAAAAAAGTGGGGACAAAAAAAAAGAACAAAAAGCCACTTCGCCATACCACTTTTGGGACAAGCTCCATACCAGAAACCGAAGACTTTTTTGGGCCTAACATGACATAAACATGCAAAAATGCCGAAACAGTGTCCACAAACATTAGTTTTATCTTAAGATTTTTACTTTTTGTTGACAGCCCGACCCTACATCAGACGAAAAAAATATGAGAGCCATGAAAAAAAAAGGACACCCTAATAAAGAAATCTGCTGAAAAATATTAATATGGTAAGCTTGCGTAAGGAAAACGAATCTCTGAATGCGACCAACATGTGCATGTCAAATTGTTCATGAGGTGTTTTGCTCACGGATGGTCCCCTGACACCGCTACGGTATCCTTTAAATTGGATTGCATTAATTATTGAAGCCACTGACTAGCCAGAAAGGTAGATGGAAACTCTGCTATATATAAAGTAATACTGCATATATGGAGCACAAAATGGTACAAGTAGTACATGTGTAAATGTAAGAGGCCAGTGCTTTTGTTTTGTTTTGTTTTTGTTTTGTTCTGATCAGTTCTTTTTTATTTTATTTAAAAAAAATCAACTAAAATTTATGGCTCAATTGCCACTAATAAAATTAAACACTTGTTCTAAAAGATCTAGTTTTTGCTTTAAACAATGTACAGTCGAACACCTTTATAACAAGGTCCTTGGGAATTTAAGCATTACCTTGTTATAACTGGTACCTTGTATTAACAGTAACGGTAAACAAACAAAAACAAAAACTTGGGACCTAAAATGTTGCTTGTTATAAGCAGGACCTTGTATTAACAGTGCTCTTCTTATCAAGGTTCGACTGTAATTATTTTTAAACCGATAGTGTAATTTGGTTAAATATTTCAAAAAGCACTCCTTCATTAAATAACAAATTGATGTACATTGTTTTATTTCTTCCCGTCTTCAATTAATATTCCACAAAGTTCTTAAATCCGAAACCCAGGGATCAAGATGTTGCTGGCATTTCCACAATCTCTATCTGTTCACTTCCTACAGGAATGTGGTTGTCTGTCTACAACACTTCAGTTGGCGGAAAAAAATTGATAAGAACGAGGGGGGGGGGGGGGGGACTGGCAAACTCTACATAAGCCACTCGACTCAGATTGAAAGAACTGATTACCGCCACGACAATACAATTTCCGCTTTAAGTGTCACCTGTTCGGAAGGCTCTGGACACACGCCGGTACATTTTTGTAATTTATTAGGATGCTAAGTGACAGTCGGCGTGACAAGCTTTGACAAATTGGTTTTGTCAGTGTAAAACTAAAAATGCCGCATTGTCCTCTACAAATCCATACAATTTTAACACGTTACTGAATACAGCTTTTGTACAGACGTATATTTTTTTTCTATCAAAAAAAAGTACAAGTCCATTGAAGGATCAGTTTGGGGAATAGATGTCATGGGATATTATCGCGATCTCAAACGGCCTTGTTTAATACCAGCCAATACCGTTTCGGCCAAATAGTCAAAACAAGTTAAATTTTTTTACATTTCCAATGATTTCGTTGAACAATTTTACTTCGTGTTTTAGAAACACTGCTCTAGCTATATTATGGTATGTCCCTCTCGCGAATAGTCGTAAACAGCTCATTGGCGCACGCGTACAACCAACTACCGTGAGGATTGTGAAGAAGAAATATTTGTAAATGAATGGATGAAAAAATATAAACAAACTAACAAACAATCGAACAAACAAACAGATGATATTCTTCACTTACCCCTCTCTCTGCAAGTAGTAGCGGAAGAGGTCATTGCCTACAAGCTTGATGGCCTTCTCTGGTGAAATCAAGGTGACGTTCACACCAAAACCTGGATTTAAATAACAATTCACAAATTAAAGTACTGTCGTGCAACTTGTCCGGTATCGATTCTAGAATAAGCTACTTAAAATTAACACAGCCAATATAATAAGTCCCTTCTATCTATCTAACAAAGATTCAACTTTTTAATGTCGTTTTTATTTGCCTTACTTCAAATTGTAAATTATTCATCGTAAATTTGTTCATCGGGATACCAAGCAACTAATTTGATTATAAGCATTCAGGCGAACGCAATTAAGACAATAGTTCCAGGATGACGCAAACACACGACGTCATCTAACTATCCTTGTTTTAGACGTAGGCTTCCTCCGAGTACGCATCTATAATCAATGCACCCATTAACGGATTAATTATCCTGAATTATTCAACCACAGCCGGGACCAGAGCTGAGACAGCGAGCGAGAGAGGTGTATTATTAGGTCTCGTACATTTCCCCACGCACTTTTGGAAATGTTTGGTCAAGGCCTTAGGGCAAACAGTAAAGGCCTCTCATACATAGTAAGCTATAGACGTACGTGTTTACAGTTGGTTTAACAGTTTCACTTAACTCTTTGCATACCTTTGCATACAGCAAAGACTAAACCTACATTAAGTTAGTAATAATAATAATAGCAAACATTTATACCGCGCTTAATACTACGTTTCTAAGCGCTATATGATGCTGTTGTCCTTGTAGACTATTAGGTGAAACAAGGGCAACCGCACCAAATACAAAAGAACAGAATTACAGGTAGAAAACACTAACTGACATGGAGTTAGGTAATTGCATATTGTTTGAATTTGGTCTGATGAAGAAAATTCAGTTCCTAGTCAAAGATTTATTCTTTGAAATGTCTACTGCACAAGTTTTAAGAAAGAAATAGAACAGCAAACGTGGAATAAATGTGTTTTAAGGAAAAACAATCAATGGCATCTCTCATTTTTACTTTTATGACGTCGATAAATGTGAACTTTAAACAGCTATAACTTGTCAATGGAATGTCCGATTGAAGTGCAACAAATAGTATTGTAAGGAGAATTTTACTCTTTTAATATCTGCAAACCCTCATTTCGAACTCTGCCCAGTTCTGTGTCATTTTGCCACAACAACTCACAAATGTTTAAGTCTAATGAGAGTCGATCAGAAATCTACAGATCTTCACCTTGACTGACTATATTATACAATAACCATAACAATGACATGTACAGTGTAAATGCTAATGTTTGCATCTGAAAAGTGAATAAATAAAGAGAATACCAGTGATGTTCACACTGGCCAGCTCTGTATTTCCATCCAATGCACTCAAACTGATCCCCTCTTCCTAAAACATTTCCTACTCTCCTTGTCGAGTGCAATGCCCTCATCAAACTACCAAATAATCTACTCTAAATGCATAGCTGATAGCCGACCCGGAGCCCACAGCGCTATCTTTTGGTACAGCAAGCCATTATATATGACCTTTTCTCTTGACTAGTGATCAACACTACAGGGGATGAAGTAGTAGGTTGTAATTACACCGGGATGGAAAACCGTGACACACCTATAAACTGATTGCAACTCATCAATTGCTACAAACATTACACAGTTTCGGTTAACCGAAGTACCTTACATTAAGCTTTGTCAAGCGGAAAGATTTGAATGAAGCAGACTTCTTCCAGGAATATTGAATTTTTTGTTCAGATCTAACACTTGGAACTCACCTTTATACAAGCCTCTGATTCCATCAGCTTTCGCAGTCTTTACAAAACAGTCAAATCTAGTTTAAAATAGAAAAATAAAAATATAAGACAAAAATGAATTCTCAAATTACACATGTATTATACTATTCTGTGGTGAGTTAATTATGATAAAAAATTAACAGCAAACCAAATTATTACCAGGAATCCTTGTTAGTTTTTAAATGTTGTTATAAACTATTTGACATCCCTTTTTGAAAGTGCACTTCTTCACACATTTGAAAATTTCCCATGCTTTTCCTGACAAATATGAGGGCGTTGTTTTTGTGATGTCATTTAAGGAAGCCTCTGTTCAGTTTAGGGATTTTCAGTTAAAATTGTGAGCCTAAAATTTGCTCGTTGAAACGGAACCATTTGTTGGAAAACTTCGCTCACTGGCTTACTGTCATGTACTGAAACAACAACGAATCACCAAAGAACAGAAAATTTACGACAGCAAAATATCCAAAATTCTGGCACTTTTTATATGCTGAAATAGCTGTAACATAAAGGTGTCTGCCTAAAATGACATCACACTTTTTGATCATGAATATGCAAATTCTCATCAGTGTAAAAATCAAACAGGCATCAAAATGCCCTTAAAAATGTCAAAAACGAAATTGAAATTTAAGTTAAATGGGACATAAACGTGCATTACAAGGATTGTATTAAAAAAAATTACATTACGTGAGCCCTTTAAGTACACACTGAAGTAAAATAAAACTAGGTCAGCCCGCAGAAATATTTTATTTGCTCTCTGTCGATGTAACGGTCCATTAATGATGGATCTGCTTGACTTAAAAGATTTATAGGACACTACTCCCCCATCATGCATGTCCAAAGGAAGTGATTACTTCCGTCAAATCCGCCCGCCTACTCGCTAATGTCGTAATAATAAGCCAATATGCTGGCACCCTGCAGTGACAAAGCGGTTTTCAAATTTCCGCTGAATCAGGTACATTTTTCCGCACGGATGATGAACGAACGCAGTTTGTTCATCCTTCATTTTTTTAAATAGAATGCATAAATTGTTTTTGAAAATGCTGCATTATTTCTTTAAATGGCGACGGACGACAGGTTAAACCTTTGAAACTTAATACTGGATATTTACCATCTAATCACCGTGCCATTTTATATTCTGATACATTTTATTGATGGGATGCTGGTCAATATGTTATTTTGTGTGTAACTGGACTACCTGCAACTGTACAGCAGACCACAAAAATAGAAAAGTTCCAGGTCTATCAGTGAAACCTACAAAGTACCAGTATATGTACCTAGGTAACTTCTACGATTTCCTTTGAAATATAAACGTGTTAGACTAGCAATCACCCACAAACAAGTGCAAATGGCTTGAATGACCCCAGAAACTGGTGTTTATCCCTGGATGTTACAAAAAGGCCCTTTCCGTGAAAATTCCCGTGGGCTTTTTGTCCAAGAAGTATCTTTTTTCCATACACGCAAAGAAAGTCACCTGTTCTATCGATCCAAGACGGTGTTATTTTTCACGCGAGTCCACTTAGCGGCGCCGAGGCAAAGCGCGTGGGAATAAAAGGGCAGCGGGCGAAAGAAAAGAAGACTCTTAGGTTCTCAAGGCAACCTTGCTTTTTGACTTAATGATTCTGGTTCCACATTTTTGGATTTAGGTACACAAGAGAAGTATAGGGTTGCGATATTTGATGATATTTCGTGAGAGCTTAGTCATGCAGAGCAATATTGTCTGAACAAGGTTGAGCATTCAGCATGGAAGAACTTGATCCGAATCTTCCCATGAAACTCGATCATCAGACTGTTGTTTGTAAAACAAATATCTGCAGGTATTGGCAGGAACTGTCAGGCCGTTTTACTACAGGGAGAGTTTATTTTCATCCCATGCATCTGACTAAATTTAACAATTTCAAAGTTGTGTTTTGCTAAGTACGGCTGAGAATAACGAACTGAGTGTTGGAATCTTTTTTTTACAATTATTTCATTTGAACACAGATTTTTTTTGTGCAAATTTCAGGCAACTCACAGGTTTTTGTACATTCGCTTGCCATCGATGACCTGCTGGTTTTGTAGTCGGGTCTTGACAAGATCAATGGGGAAGATGCAGGAGACTCCGGCGACTCCGGCCAAAGCACCGTTGATGCACTTAGCGGGGAGGCTGGGCACAAGACCAAGATGGAGGAAAGTAATGGGTTAACAATAAATTGTCAAATACATGTACATGTAGTCTGGTGTTTGACATCGATTCAACTGTTGTTTTGACAATTTCTTCTCAGTATTTTGCCTGTTTAACACTAATAACTGAAACAAAATGGAAAGGATTTTTCTTGCATGCACGTACATTGTACAGGCACACAGATTTAAAAACAAAATCCAGCTCATAACCAAATCAAGATAGGATGGCTTAAAACAAAACTGGCAATTTTAAAGTCATTAGGAACTCAAAGAATTGAAACAACTAAGGAACATCAACATCAAAAACTAAACAAATAATTTCAAAAGGGGTTGCGTTTAAAAACGCAAAACAGTTTTTAAGATAACCAAGGTTAATTTCAATGACCAAATTAACAATCACTTTGAAAAATTTGACTTAAAGAATCAATAAATAAAACAAAACTCTGTTTTGAAGTATTACTAAAAACCCTAGAGAAATTGGTTAATGTTCTTGCACTATTACAAGCAACCCCTCCCCCCCCCCAAAAAAAAATACTAGATACAGATAAACTAAACCCTGCACTGTGCAGCAAGATGTCCGTGGGCGAATACTTGCAATACATTTCGGCGAAAACATTTCTTTCAAAGGCTAGAGGAGGGAGACGTGCTAGGAAATACTTTTGAATGACTGTAATTCACTGGTTGCTAGGGTAGTTTGATTCTGACGTCGGTGATTTCAAGTGGGCAAGCATGTATGTGTACACAAGGACAAATGCATGCGTGGGCTGCAATGTCTGTCCATCATTCTTCAACTTGCTCCCCTGTATTCTTGAACAAATTCATTTTTCTGCTCTTGTCAACTTTTCAACTTCTGTGATTTATTATAACAAAGAAAACAACTGCCTTGACTACTTTTTTGTGGGCATGGGTAACTCCCTATTTACAAGGCTTTTATTTGGGCACAAACATCAGCCCTGCGAATATCGGGCCACAAAATAGTAAGTATTCGACAGCTAAACGCGACCTATTTTTTTCCGTTCGCTGTCTCATTCAAAAGTGGATAACTTTCGTATTGCAAAGAAAATGCGTTTAGTTACTAATTAAACTTCCCCCCCCTCCAAAAAAAAAAAACAATTAACAAAACAGCACAATACTTTCAGTCTTGGTTTCACTTTAGGTAATGGATTAAGATAGAATGTTAAATAAATTAAACTCAATGTTTTTCATCTTTTCTAATATTTCCCAGCAGTAACAGGATTAAAACAGTCAGAAAAAAACCTGAACAAAATCCTGACAATTAAAATGTACAATGTATTGATTTCTGTCTGACTAGCAAGACTAGCATGACTAGCGATGTACATGTACAGCTGCATGGATGCCAGCATTCACACGAGTGGAATCTAAGAAACTGAGCGTGAAATTACGACAAACCATGTGCAAAAGGTTTCCTTTCGCAGACGACAAATCTATCCCGTCCAAATTCAATCACGAGAAAAGAAAAAACAGAAGAAAAACAAGAATGAAAAGCAGAGCACAACCGCACGTGTTCATTTACGATGCAGCACTAGGCAAACAGCCGGATGAAAGAACGGAGGATCGATGTAACTAAGTGCACCGATCGGTCTGTTATGTGCTTTCAGGATTAGCCTTCTGATAAATTGAAATTCAATTGTGAGCACATAATGGATGATAGAAGCGTTTGCTAGCAAACACACAGCCCCCATAGCATTAAATGTATAAAGCTGAACACAATTATGTTTAATAATAGGAAATTACAATCACATTTGGTCTTTTATGAACTAATGTAAATCCAAAGTTATTTGCTAAGGCCAAAAAAAAAAAGTCTCCAGTTTCTGGTATGCGCGCGCGTCGCCGTAGCCATGCGCGTCGGCAAAATGAATTTTTTTTTTTTTTTCAATGAAAGATGATGTCTCAAAACCGCCAAACTCACTGGTTTGACTGGAATCCTGCTGCTGCACAATTTTAACGTGTTTTTAGATTGGGTTATGGTCGAGAATAAGCTCTATGTGGCCTCTCTGGACTCCCATATATTTGCACTAAGTTTAGTCGGGCACCATTTGCAGTCATCAGCCGACATTTGAAGCAAAAAAAATCAGGTAAAAAAAAAAAAGCCGCGTCGCCGCACCACTTTTTGGGCAAGCTCAATACCAGAAACCGGAGACTTTTTTTTTCTGGCCTAATAATCAAAGGCCACGTTTCTTGAATTGAAGTTTCACTTCAATTGCATATATCTCTGGGTAAAACGTACAATATATTTTTTAACCGGTTCAGTAAAGAACTTCAGGTATTGTAAAAAATTTTGAGCTGCTACATTGTAGCCCTGTATTCTACGGTAGTAGACTTCTACCTTGAAATACTAGCCCTCTACAATCAACAAAATCTTTTCATAAAACTGTTGGTTTAAATAATTACAAGTTCAATTTAATACTTCCTTGTAGGCCAATTTACGCAAAACCAAGCCTTGTCTCATTTTGAAGAATGATTTGTTTATTTTATGATCAGATTTTGATACACCGGTAAATCATGATTACATACAGTTAAGCAATCTCATCCATGTATGTAGTCAATCTATAAATTACAAAGCATACACTTCATGCCGACTGAGGCTGGATTATCATTAATTAATTTCCCCAAAGCGCCCATTTATTTTCATTTTAATCAGGTGGTCATGCTTATTGAAATGCCATCCGTGCGAGCTTTTCGCTCCAGGATACCGTAATGAATTTTTATAATGTGACGGAGGTCTGGAATGATGCAAGAGCGTAGGGGAATTATCGACGCTTGGTGCCCTTCGAGTAGACGAGTTGTACCCAATCTCCGCATCGTATGTACTGCTCAGAACTTAGACGTGGGTGGAAAAGGCTACAGATTGGAAAGCAAGGTTCAATAAGCCTATGGGTCCCTAGAGATGGTGGTGTTTTTGCAAAGCCCACGCATTTCCAATTTAATTTTACTGAAAGTGTTCTAGAGAGCAAGGATATTGTAAGTACATTGTTAATCGTGACAAATGTACACGTACATGTATGTACATGTATGTATTAGAATAAAAGGCTGGTTCATATTTCAAGCGAAAGCAAGTGCGAAGCGAAATTCATGTCATTAACAATGGTAGACGCGCTTCAAAGGTATTGCTGACGTCATGAATTTCTATTTGCTTTCGCGTGAAGTATGAACCAGGTTAACTGTTAAGTGCGAAGCGAAATTCATGTCATTAACAATGGTGGACGCGCTTCAAAGGTATTGCTGACGTCATGAATTTTGCTTCGCTTTCGCGTGAAGTATGAACCAGGTTAACTGTTAAGTGTGAAGCGAAATTCATGTCATTAACAATGGTGGACGCGCTTCGAACGTATTGCTGACGTCATGAATTTCACTTCGCTTTCGCGTGAAGGTTACCTGTAATCCCTCAGCAAATTCTTTTCTGCGTATAATTTTCCCACATTGTTCCTAATATATTATTAATTAACTTTTAAATCATTTAAAGGTAGAGTATATCATTTGCCGCTATCCAAAATGTAACTGACGAAAGTATTGTTGAAAAGCTTACTTGGTTTAACCCTAACGTCCTACCCATTACTTTGGGATAAAGAACTGAGTACTACAGAATACTAGGAGTGTTGTGCACACTTATATGCTGAAGTACATACTACAGTTTACAAGTAGCTAAGCACTTCAAAATATGACTCGGCAACTTTTGAATTACATACTACAGTTTACTAGTAGCAGTTCAAAACATGACTCGGCAACTTTTGAATTGATATTGAGATCCTAAACTATTGTTTGAATCTCGGAATACACAGCATTCACCGAGCTACAACTTCATCAGGTCAACTTCTTAAGATTTTTAGGCACTTTTGTTGCTTCAAACGAAAAAAAAAAAAAATGCACAACTACTCTACCTTTAAACGAAGGAAACAACTGTTGTGGCAATGGGATTTATATATATTTTCATGTGAACAGAAACTCAGTATTTTATTTTTACTTCAGAACGGATGGCAATTTTGAATGTTCTGAAACACAAAGCAGTAAGAAACAAATAACATTTGAATACATTTTAAATAAGGGGCTATTTGGTTTTGAAACAAGAACGAACCAACCAAAACAAAAAAAATGGCAAACTGGTAAAATTTCTACAAATGGAGGTGTAACACTATGAAGTGCAAAGTTTGGAAAACTACGACAACGGATCACTGCCAATAATCTGGGAAATATTGCAACAAAATGATTATGAACAACTACATGTAAATGTACATGTACCACACTTGTTTATGGGGTGAGAGTTTTAAAAAAAAATTGAAGGAAAAAAAAAGGAAACCAACTGATTACCTTTCCAACATTTTCCATGCAAACATTATGGCTTTGCCAACAAAGGTGAATAGGCTAACACCAGGGTGGCATGCAATTGAAAACAATGGTTGACAAAAATGGGTACAACAGCCACCCAGTCGCCCACTAAACACCCAAACACTGTGTGGAAACACTATGATAGTTACCCAGAGTAGCCTTTGGGTTGCTTTGAGTTTTCCTCACTGGCTTCTTTGGAAGCACTGGGAAGTATATGGGTGCACAGGAATGCACAATTAGTAACAATCAAATGAATTTTGAATAGTTTATCCATGGTTTGTGATTCTCTATGGTTACATGTAAAATTGTAAATTCAAGATTATTTTCTTGTTCAAAATATTTCCTCTGGTTTTCTTTCCTTTAAGATAAAAAATAAAAAAATTTCTGAAGGAAAAACCCTGAACATCATCAATTACTACCTTTTACCCTTGAGTACATGCAGACACCTCCATACGATCGTACACAAAAAAAATTCAAAAAAAAAAATTATCTACCTACCTACCCTATTTTCAAATGCCATGTAATCAGAAGCAGAACTTTTTTTTGGCCTTAATAGTCATTCTGATAAATTTAACAATCAGATCACACATTGAATTGGAGAGAATTTTGTGTTTTTTTAATTAGAAATAAACAACTCAACTGTCATCCATACTCACCTAATATCACCCATTCCTAGAAAGACAAAATCCTGAGGTCTGTCGTCTGCAACTGGCCCAATTTAGTTCAGACTAGATTCACGTGCCCGGTTGCCGTTGGAAACGCAGAGTCCGAATTACGTCTGCAGACGTCTGCTGGTGCTGTCCAGCCAACCACCTGCAAAATAACGTGGATAATTGGGAGTTAGCGACTAGTATGGTACGACAGCCAATTTGACACGATCACCTCGACAGTAAACGCACTTCCGGTGCATCGACCAGATAACGACAAAAACGACACGTGTATCCCCGTCCCTACATAACAACCTTGTGTGCGGCACCCGGCCTATGTTTACGTGTGTAGCACTAGACTACGATAGACTAGAATTATGCATGCAAAGCACGTGGGTTGGATGACGTACATGTGTGGGGCTCCATAATGTCATGGCACTAGTGTATTTTTAATGCACGGTCAATTACGTACATCTGACAAAAATCAAACTAAAGGTTGGGGGGGGGGGGGAGGGGTACTTAGCAAGGCCGGGATAATGACATCAAACACTGATGAGATCACAATCATGACTGGATAACATCAGTGACAAGCCATTAGTAAAAATATGCCCTGAAGAACCGGTAATTCACAATCTGTAAGGCACTTCAGACCGTGTACAGTGTACGGCAATACATCATATCTTATGATGATGCAGCGCACAATTCCACACTGAATTATTCAGGCCAGAAATAACTGTGAATAAGAAGTTGGCCAAACAAAATTGTATATCTGCCTTGAGCAATTTTTTGAGAGGGCTCCCCAAAAATTCTGACTGCAAATGTGAGAATTAGACGAAGCAATTTGAGATCAGTAACGGTTTGGACTAGAATATCATCATACTTAACACCTCAATAGTCTGTTAATATTCAATAAAAATAGAATTTCAATGATACAGATTTTTTTTAAAAATGCAGTTAATGTCCAGAACATCCTAGAGCAATTTTACGATCCTTTTCATTTTTTTTTCAATACTTAAAGGGAATATACAACATTTGCAAACATCAACAAATAAAACTACCAAGTTTTTATGAAAAACCTTACTAGGATGTTGGTTAATGACAGTCTAAAGCATCCTGTAAAATTATGGCACCTGGTGTGAAGTCACTTTCAAGAAAATTGTATTTTTGTATAAATTTCCAACCGTGGTCGGCCGACCATCATTGGAAAAACCCAACTATTTTTCAACTAATGCTCCAAATTTACCATTTTTTTCAGTTAAAATGTTGTTTGCTGTTCATGTTCATGAACGGGTGCAGGCCAGATAGACTGGTTCCCTTACCTTACAAATTTCCGGCATCTATAAATTGATCCATTTCATCTTAAGTGGAGTCAGGGAACCAGACTACTTGATTATTTTTGTTTTTCTTGGCTTTTCCAGCATTTCCGAACACAAAATTTCAAACATGTCAGTGTAACAATATTTGATCTATTATACTATCCCCTCAAATAGTTCATTTTTGAAAATTACAGCAAAAGCCAATGATGTACATACCCTTTAAAAGGAACATCAATTGACAATACATGTACATTGTCAGAGCAATTTATATTTTGTAGGTGAAATACAACACCGCTCCATACATGCCACATATCTATCACAGGAATGTGGGTCAGAGGCGAGGCTGTTGCTGTTCAGTGTTGGGGATATTAATGGATGACATTTAAATGATTCTCCCCCAAGAATTGGGTCTCAGTTGTTGTTTTTTCACTGACCCTAGAATTCCTAACCGTACTTAATCCTTCAAAGTCATCCGGGCAGTTTTTGGAAGATTTTGGAGGAATTGAGAATGAATGCAACATACAATTTTGGGGGAGTGTGGAGGATTGAGAATGAATGCACCTTCAGTACCGGTTGATTTTGGAGGATTGAGGATAGATGGTGTTTGACGAAGAGGAAAATTTTGGAGGATTGAGGCAGTGGGTACCCTTCATTTGAACACTTGTGCAACATTTTGTACATGTGCAACACTTTGCATCCGGGTGATGGCAGATTTATTTGCAAAATATTTTTCTAAGCAATTATTTCAACAAACCACAGAGAGTTCTGACATCAATCCCAAAAAGAAAACGTCCTAAAAAACATTATATTTATAATGCACCGTGAAAATGGGCCTATATGGCACCCAGCGCCCCCCCCCCCCCCCCCCGGCAAAGCGTCTGGAGTAAAAAAATGTCTACATTTTGACACACATGTGCAGTCCCCCCCCCCCCCACATCAAAAGCTGGATACGCTACTGCTGTACTAAATTGTTATCAAAACCCTTAGCTGGATTAAGAAAAGACCATACTAAACGCCCTGTGAAACCATTCCCTCTGATTTGCTGCACTTAATTTAGAAGAAATCAAGAAATGTTGCCAATCAGGAAATTTCCAAAGATCAGTCGATTGACTGATCTTTGGAAATATAGAGTGCGATTGACAATGATTGACGATATCGTGTTTCACATCCAATGTTTTTTCCTTCTTTTCTCGAAATGTGTGATATCTAGGCCTACTGGAGTACTGCTAAAACTTCGACATGTTATGTTTTGAACATTCTTCTTTGGATTTGGACTCCCAGCCACATCACTAGCTCCAAGGTCAGGGTGATGGCACATCATAGATACATAAATATTAATTATAATGAAATACAGCTAAGAAGACTGCAACTCAAAGTGTTGCAATAGCCTGCCCTAGGCCTACTCCTAGAACTATGAGGCTCACGCGGAGCCTGATAGTTCTAGGAGTACCCTAGGCCTACATTATTTTAATATTTAGGAAAAATTTACATGAACTTTTCAAATTAAAATTTACACAATTATAATTATATAAATTAATAAGTCACACTGCAAATCATACATGTACAATAGAATCCTGACAAGTCAAAATTAGATTAAATTTGATGACTTTTGTCGGAAAAGGAATATAGGCTATATATTTTTGCTATAAATCTACTTTTCAAGGCACATCTGCTAGCACGTACACGTGGCCAACATCGAGTAGGGAGACGGTGATGGCGCGATACTAGCCCGACTGCGTCTGGCCGTACAGTACTATCGCAAGCTCTGTAGTACGGCCAGACGCCCGATGCTTCCACAGAGACTGAATTTTGTTGGCCGCCGATGTAGCGATTTTGCTACATCTTTCGATCGCGATTATCTTTTCATCCAGGACACAAATTTCCAAAGTTAAGGTTTGTAGTCGTAGAGCAACTCATACCTTTTCGAAAAAAAACGTTCTTTGGTCTCAATATTTTCATCCATCTGGCCACAAGACGAATTTCAGTCATCAGATTCCACAAATATCGTCCCCCATGCGATCCCCCATGCGATTTCAAAATGGCGGCCGCGCTGTGATGTATGCAATATGCAGGCGCGCCTGCGCAAACTCATGAATATGCATAATTAGTCTGTGACGTATGACCTCGTGTTTTTGGACGTGCGTGCAGCGGGGCCGTACGGTCATACGTCACAGACTGTTATGCATATTCATGAGTTTGCGCGGGCGCGCCTGCATATTGCATACATTACAGCGCGGCCGCCATTTTGAAATCGCATGGGGGATCGCATGGGGGACGATATTTGTGGAATCTGATGACTGAAATTCGTCTTGTGGCCAGATGGATGAAAATATTGAGACCAAAGAACGTTTTTTTCGAAAAGGTATGAGTTGCTCTACGACTACAAACCTTAACTTTGGAAATTTGTGTCCTGGATGAAAAGATAATCGCGATCGAAAGATGTAGCAAAATCGCTACATCGGCGGCCAACAAAATTCAGTCTCTGTGGAAGCATCGGGCGTCTGGCCGTACTACAGAGCTTGCGATAGTACTGTACGGCCAGACGCAGTCGGGCTAGCGCGATACTTGCAGCGCATGCGGCAGGTGCATGCACACTGCATGCCAAACATACATGTACATGTACACATGCCTAGCTAGCTAGCCCGGTTTACCGCTAGCCCCCTAGGCATGCTAGGCCTACTTGCAAGCCGGACACAAAATTTACCGGCAAGTTCAGCTTTTCCTGCAACCATTAATGGCAAATTCTAACCCTAAAGGACAACTTACCCTTTTGGCACAAAATGGTACTTTCTTCGCTGACTCTTTACCCGTTTAAGAAGAGAATTGTAATCCGGAATTTGGCACGTTCTGTCACTGAATGCAACGCGTTACCGTATTTAGTACGTGTGTGTGTATCGCTCGCATGCTGCCGTTGTATTTTCTTGGTTATCTGGCGACCGCCAAAACATGCCGATTCATATGTAAATAATAGAGGTGGAGCTACAGGCGCTAGACAATTCTAATTGGTCCGTTATAATAATTTGCATAAGAGACATGCAGGATTTATGAATGAAACGTGCACTGCCGTGTCAAACACGCGCCCGGAATTTCGTTTTACTATTTTTAGCCACGCGGATCGGATCACGGATTTCAATCAAGAAGAATCCGCGATAAAGCCGATAACAACAGGATGTGTTTTGTTTTTTTCACGGTCTTGAATTTCGCAAATGCGTGACTCTTAATTCTACCTCCATGGTACGTGGGACAGATATCATTTCATCAGGCTTGTTTTTGTTACTTTTTTGTTACTTTTTGTTTGGTTACTGTTTGTTTTGTTACATTTTGTTTGGAAAGGGAAAATATCAAAATAGGTATGCACTAATGATCACATGCATAATTTTGTTTGCTCGCGTACTAATGACAATGGGCGTCAGCTAAATATGAATATTTGACGTAGTATGTAAAAAAAAATAATAACCTATCAAAGGCATTTATCGCTGCGAGCTGCTCAGTATTAAAAGTAAGAATCATTTTTTTGTTGCACTTTAGGCTGTTGCCATCGCTTTGAGGAAGGCAATTATAATGTATTCAGTATTTGGAATGTTTCCACTTTGATTGTGCTTAGTCCATTTTAATGGATTTCTCACTGCTGCGCTGACGAATTATATGAGGGGAAAGTGTAGGTTTTAACAGAAAAGCACAAACAATTTGTCTAAACATTTTACCACGCCTAAAAAGATTTTTTTTTAAAAGAACATGTTGTTTTCTTACAGGTGTTTTGTCCTCGACCCTATTAGCTTTGCGATCCATCCATGACGTCAACAATCCTGGTATGGATCGGGGCATTGTGATAATGTTCATCCGTGTTATTGAGAACAGAGCATCCGCTTGACCGCTTACATGCATCAGAGTACTTATTATGTGATGCATTAAATTTCAAAATGGTAAACTTTTTTTTATATTTTTTATAAAAGCTCTGATGCCACTTTGCAGACCCCAAACAGTAACACTCAGAGTACGGGAAGGCCGTTTTTCGTTCCAAAGCAGGGGTGTAGCAAAGTCATTTTTATTGGGGGGGGGCGGGGAATTTCTTGAAAAGGGCACTTGCAAATCCGTGCTGAAATGACGACTGGGTTTTTTTTCCTCCGGAAACTTGGCCTCAATCAAATAGTGTGTGAGTGTGTGTGTGTGGAGGGGGGAGGAGGGTGTACCATCTGTCGATGGGGGCACTGTTCAAAACCGACGATTATAATCGTGCTTTTCGGGGGCCGTATTATGCAGGGCGATATTTTCAGGGCAATATATGCAAAATTCCGGCCGGCCCATCATATCTTCCTCTGGCTCTTCTCATTCCATTTCTACTTTCGCTTGTTAAAAAAATATACAAATAAACTTTAAAAAACAGTGTTGACATCTGCCTGGGAAGACACAAATACTGGAACGGGTTAGTCATAAACTTGGCTCTCAATGAAAAGGCCATCAGGGTGCACACCGGTAAATCGATCCGCCAAGCTCATGAATAAAAGTTATACCCTCAAAATATACTATATTAGAGAGTTCTGAGTGCCGTAAAATTGGGGAATTGAAGAGATATGGTAATGAACCTCTGGCCCGGACTTGGGGCTTCCAATTCTGAGCATTTTGGATGCTATTGGGCTCGAAAGTGGCGCTATTTTGCCATGTTGTGGAGGGATCGTTTTTCAAGATGGCTACTTTTCCGCTTTGGGGGAAATAGGGGTCGTCTTCTTTGCGTGAAAATATCTCGAAAAGTCAATGGTCAACCCACCAAAAATCGAAAAGAAAATGAAAGATGACACATTGATCATCATTTTTCTGTGCAGCTTGAATACCTGTGAGAGTTTTGAGTATTTTAAAAATAATTTTGAAGTATGGGCATTTAGCACTAGTGTCTATGGGAGTTTATTTGCAGGTATGCACCCATCATGTTGATGCAGCGCAGCATGCACACTTTTTACCGAGCGAACGCTTATATATGTATACCGCCCTCTATAATTTTAAAGAAGTATGCTTGTCTAGTTCCCAGTTACACTATACTAGTATCAAACTTCATACCTTTATGGATACCATACTAACAAGATGGCAGCCTCCATGGACGAAGAAAAGAAGAAAATGCCCCCATTCTGATTGAACTTGTTGCTGCTAGACGTTAGGTCATCAGAAATCGAATCGAAATGTTAAGAATTTGTTGGAAGACATGGGGGAGCCCGTTAAAGCTTAAAAATTGTATAATGGTACGCGGAAAGAGGTACTTTTCAAGCAAGAAATATGCCGATACGCTAAACCTGCCGAAGACAACGTTTGAGCTATGGGGTGCTGGAAAACGTGAAGAAGACATTCGGAGGGTAATTTTCCAAAAACAGTAAATCTTTTCTAGTCCAAGTAACTTGGATCCAACTTATTGCCTTTTTTAATTTTCGGGCTTACCATGGTCTGGCGATTTTTGTGGGGTCCAAGCTAAACCCCATCATCAGTCGGTCGACACAATTTTGTCCTTGATCCAAAAACCCAACATTGCCTAACAAAAACATCAGATTTCGCCCTCAAAATGGCCTACAAATTACTAGTACTAGTAGACATCGATGATTGAGATGGTTGTACTGAAGTTAACTTACGATCCGGATGAAAAGTGAAATTTCCCGTTCCACTCCGAGAGCTCCCCTCTTGATCGTGTTAATGTTTGAACGATGCGATGTGGTCATCATGCCCAGCGTACATTCGATTGACCCCTTTACGATTCCTTTACTGAGTGCGATGCATCGATTATGATGATGAGTAGACTCGTTTGTTAACACAAGTACATTTCAAACGATAATAGAGAGTCAGGAACTAGGGGCCGGCTTTTATAGGCGGAAACCAGATAACTTTGCTTATGACCATTTGTATTTGAATTCTTAGTGCTTAACTATTCCTCTCTTTAAAAGGTCTGTGGTTTTTCGGAACTCTACTCATGGCAAAGAAAACAGGAAACTGGAAAGGCTTTTTGTCTGCATGATGGTCCACCGTATGCCAATGGAGACCCACACATTGGTCATGCTCTAAATAAGGTATGGTGCTGTTTACATCTGAATAAAGTTAAATTCCTCACCGACACTATAAACAAATTTGGGCTGGTGATCACTAGAAACACACAGGGCCCCCTTCAATGGAGAAACCATTGTGCATGCTAATATACTTGGTAAACTGCCTCAGTGATGGATTATCTGCATGACAGTACAGTGCTTTTGCCATTGAAGGGGGCCTTCGTGATGGAATTGATAGCATGCCGGGATTGCTCTATAACACTATGGGCATCCTATGATTTGTTTATAAATACAAAATGCAGTGAAATCAACTAAAATGATGAAGAAATAATCGCAGTATAGTTGGACACATCCGCAATGATCACGATCCAAGGTGACCGTGTTGGTATTAAAAGTCTTGGTCATAAAGATTCTTGACTACTCTTGTTTTGACAATTTGGTGAGAACATCCACTTTTATTTGCACATAATTATACAATAAAATTTTGTACACACATTTGGCTGTAATCTCATTCTCTTGCTACAATTTAAATGAGTGGTAATATTAACCCCAACTCCCAAGGTATTGTTGCTAGGATGCAACCTCAATCCTGCAAAATCTTCCAACTGCCTCCAAAATTGCATACAGCCTCAATCCACCAAAAATCATCTGTTGTTTCGTGAATGTGGTCCTTGGAGGGCTGACCACTGCCTCAATCCTGCCAAATCCTCTGGCAATCACTGTCAATATGTAAAGGCAGAGCCAGTGACATCCTAAAGCAATGTGGAGGATTTCCAGTGTAATTTTAGGCTCATATTTTTGCACAGTTGAGTATAAACAACACAAGGTCCGGCCCAAGACCTTGAAACAGTGCATCCGAAATCAGCCACACATTTTGCCATAAAGCCTTAATCTTGCAAAATCCTCCTTTTGCAAAGTGGATTTTGGAGGATTTGGGAAGGTTAGGGTTAATTTTCTAACTACAAAAGTTACCCTTCTAATTGTATGGGATGAAAATGATCCAACGTTTCTCTTTGGGACAGATACTGAAAGATGTCATCAATCGTTACAAACTGTTGCGCGGCTACAGGGTCCACTACAAGCCTGGCTGGGATTGCCACGGTCTCCCTATTGAGTTGAAAGCACTCTCTGAGAAAGAGGAGGATTTTCGGAAGCTGAGCCCTCCAGAAATAAGGAGAAAGGGTAAAAAGAAGGGGCCTCGTCAGGCCTTTTCCTTTAATCTTTCTGATGTGACTTTTAGGTGTGGGCAGGATAACGTCTGCCGATGGCATACAAATATTGAGTGGCTCAGATTAAAATGGGAGGAATATTATCGCAAGGTAAAATCTGGACTTTTCCATTTCATGAGGCGAAGCCGAGTGAACTGGAGCGATAATATTCCTCCCACATTACCGAGCAATAATATTCCTCCCATTTCACAATTTAAAGCCACTCAATATTTGTTTTATATTACTGACATATAGATCCCTGTCATTTGTTATATTTGAACTTTTATTTCAATACAAAATTGGTGGAAACTGTAGTTCTCTCTTCCAAACCACCCCTTCATGAAATGTTTGAACCCAACTCTGTAGCGCTGGCTCTTTGGAACAATACGTGCTATGCGCAACACTGAACGCGCACACCAGCATGCATGCCGTTGCACACAAATACTGCGTCATGGAACTAGAATAATCGTTGAATTATTATCGTTGAAACTGTTGAATAGTATTTCCCATTCCCCATGGGTGAACGGGACTTTTTGAGCCCCGGCGTGAATGGGAGCAATAACGAATGTCACCAATCAAATGACAAGGATCTGTATGTCGGTTATATAAAAATATCTGTTTGCACATCAGTTTTCACCGGTTGCGATGAGTTACCATTCAACACTCCAGACTCAAGAACCATTGAGTTAAATGAGTTATAAGTAAATAGGTCTGGGAACTTGAATGTAAGAATGCAATGTAATGTAAGAAGCTCCTGGATGTTCGCACTCACCTATTGCTCATATGATGTGCAAATGCTGAATAAGATTTTAACACGGTATTTGCTCCCACTCTGTCTTGTTTTTACAGCCAGAAATTTTGCAGCGAAAGCTATTGACAGACAGATGGAGGCATTCAAGAAATGGGGCATCATGGCTGAATGGTGAGTGTAAAATGTTACAAGTCTTAGTTTGCTGGCATTAATGACGGCACAAGTCCCCTGGATCCAACATAATCCACCTCTGTGAAGTAACCGATGGCACAATAACTTGGGTCATAATACCCGTAAACTGTGCAGTCCACAATTGATTAAAAATTATGCAAAATTAGGTGTTAGCTAATAATGGCAGATTCATCAAGGTTAAGGCCAATGAATCTTTTGTAAAAGGACTCATGAAGAGAGTCATGATTCAAGTCATTCAAAAATTCATTAACCCATCAGCAACTGTCCTACCTTGTGTGAAATTGTGTTTATTTTACTGATGAATTCACTGGTGAGTGCTTGAGTGGTTCCGGGTACTGCAGGGAGATTTGGGGCGGTACTGTAACTCATGTGCTGATGACTGCTCATACTCAATGAAAACCCTCAAACTTATCATCAATTTCAAGTTGAACCAAAATAGTGTATTATTTCATGAGTTGTTCGGATTGCTAGAGAGCATCTTCCGTTGCCATTTTTATTACTTTTTAGAAAAAGATCTGGCCCAGAATATTTGGTTAAAATTAATTAATCATCAGTTAATCGGGCTACTTTGAACAGCAAAGCACAGATAAAAGGAAGAAAGTTTGTCAAGCTCTAAAATACAATTCCTGTATTTTTTTTAATTGTTGCACAGGGAGAGTGGCTGCTATTACACATTTGACAAAGAGTATGAAGCCTCCCAGCTGCGAATTTTCCATCAAATGTATCAGAAGGTGAGGTTCTTGAGCCATTTGAAGCCAAACTAACTGGGCTATGTTCACAAGTTGCATAAGCAAGCAGGTCTGCGTATATGTTTTGCTGCTGAGGAAATCAAGTCACAATGTTGTCACAAAAATACGCAAAATTCAGTCATACACTATAAAAAAATTCACTCTTACGAGCTGCTAATTGCAATCAGGCATGTCTGGTACATTGTAAAATTAAGAAAGGGAGGTTGATTTAATTATTAAATTGAAAGAAATTGTGAGCGTAAAGATGGAAATTCATACCTACTGATCCTGTGAGAATGGGCTTCCACGCGTAGTTCCTGTGTCACTTTCTCGTATCACGTGAATTTCAAACCCGCTGAAAATCTCTACTGCACTTTTACTTGTGATGAGACTTGTGACCAACTTATGATTCTCCTTATGGTGGACTTGATTAAAACTCTACATCCCACATATTCTATTGTTAGATGATAAGGAAACAAGTAAGAGATCAAAAACAGAACTTTGAGGTACACGATCACTCAACTCAGTATTCCCAGAAAACAGGATTTAATAGTGTAAGCAAAGCACAAACCTGGGGGGGGGGGGGGGGGGGGGGTACATTTACAAAAGGCCCCTGAAATTCATATTCTATCAAAGGTAAATAAAAGCCAAGTGTAACCATAAAAAGCGGTCTCTTATGGCTCGTTCAGACACTCCAGTCAGTCACAAGAGAATTAAGCCATGTCCCAATCACTTGGCTACGACTGAAATAAATGCACTTGTCAATGGAAGCGGCTAAAGCTGCCTCCATAGACAGGTGTGTAATGTCCAGCCGTAACCAAGTAATTCGGACACGACCTTAATCCCAAAAACTTTACTCCCTTGTCGGAGACAAGTGTAGAAAAAAACCCTGCAGAATCTAAAAATCAGCATTTTTTGGTCAATTTTCTTTTGGCAGGGGTTTATCTACCGTGACTTGAAACCAGTCAACTGGTCTCCATCCTCGAGGTAGGTTTTCTAGAATTTGTTCTTTTATATTTGATCTTTTTCCCCACAGTTTATTGTTTAAATCATTGTGTAGCCACGTTTGCATTAATGTATCCACCGTACATGCCTCGCAAGTTGTGTGTCATTGTTGGCCAGCAAATATGAAGAAATGTTTAAAAGGAAGATGCTGAGACTGAAAAAAACATCCAAGCAAATTGTATGCATTGTCACCTTTAACCCTTCTATGCAAACATACATTTTGTGCAAAGTTGTCCTTTCACGTCAAAATCAATCAAGTGATTTTTAACAGTTAAGAGCTCCCAGCCTACGTAAAGCAGGATTGGTTTGCTCCAGGTCATATTTTTGAGTCAACTAGGTCGCCATAATGACGACATTTTCTGGATACAAACACCACAGCCTTTGCTTAAATAAAAGGTTGTAAGGGTGTCATTTAAAACTTAAGCAATACACAAACATACGTCAAAAACCTTTTCCCAAAATATTCAAAACAATGCAAGAGTTGAACTTTGATAAGTTCTTAAATTTGTCAGTTGCACCACAAAGTGAAGTATTGTCTATGGACTTTGTGCACACGATACGTCACTTTGTGGTGCTACCAACAAATTGTAATGAGGTTGCTATTGATTCTTCACTCAATTTCTTGGCACCTTTTGTTGATCTCCCACCTTATTTCTTTCCACAGGACGGCACTAGCAGAAGCTGAGCTGGAATACAACCCCAATCACGTCTCCCCGTCCATCTACGTCAAGTTTCCAGTATCAAAGCTTCCAGGGAAATTGGCCGAATATTCAAGTAATAAAAGAAACAGTTAATGTTTCCAGATTTATCCGGATCAAACTTGAACCGAAGTCTCATTTAGACAAATACATTGTTTGTATGCAGTCTCTGAACTTGTCCAAGTCCTAAGAATATGAGACAGTGCTAGAAAAAAAGTGGATGCTTGAGGTCCATATTCATTCATAGCTGTCGTGAATATTCAGTGTGAATGAAAGGAGCATACATTTGTGATATAGAGGAAAACTTGTAGTGATCAAACCTATTCACCATTGGTTAGCTGGAATGATTTCAACACAAAGTATGCGAAATTTTGTGTAGATGTTTCAAAGTTACTTTTCTCATTTTGTATATATTAACTTTTGAATCGACAGAAAATTGCCAGAAATATTTTAATAATTTTTTTTTTTTTTTAATTGTCACCTTACAAACACAACTTTATCAGCATTCTATAATCTGCTGTTTAGGAGCTGAACAAAAGTAATAACAAACTTATCCAGGTGGGACTCAAACCCTGGACTTCCTGCTCAGTGCTTATGGGCAATTTTCCATCAAATTCCATCAAATTCCACCGAGTTCCATGAAATTCCATCAAATTCCACTGAGTTCTATCAAATTCCATCAAATTCTATCAAATGCCATCACAACATTCTGTTTTTGCCTACAGCTAATCTCCACGCTGCTATTTGGACCACCACTCCTTGGACCATTCCGGCCAATGAGGCCATCTGTTACATGCCAGCCAAAGACTACAGCGTGGTACGGTGTGCGGAAACCGGGGAGAATTTACTCCTAGCGGCAGAGAGAGTCGAAGAAATGGCAGAGATTCTGGGAAAGAAATTTGAGAGGATAGTTTCTTTTGGAGGTGAGCATGAAAATACAAATGTGACCTGACACCACAAAGTCTAATTTTTTTTCAGAAATATAATATTTGTTTATCTGGAGTTTGCCAAACAAGATTTTTCCAATGGTATATAATATTAATGGTACTGAGTTCAGTGACAGAAATACAGCCTGCTAACTTTATTAAGGGAATAAATGTGTAATCCGGAGGTTTTTATCACTCTGTTTAAGACCGCTTAGAGTCTGGGTGCTGATACCCGAGCCGGAGGCGAGGGTAATTATCAGCACCCAGACTCTAAGCGGTCTTAAACAGAGTGATAAATACTGACCGAGCACATATTTATTCTCATTCATAAATACCTTTTCGGTAAAAAAAAATCAAATAATTCGTTCAAAAAATCCAGATTTTGTTCAACAAGTTCACTTCATGCTTTTTGAAACTTCCCTCTAGCAAAATAATGGAGTGTTCAGCTGGCGAGTAAGATGTAAACAACCCTTTTATGGAGATTGACGCGCGCGTAGCATGTTCTGCACGATGTCGCGCAGAATGCACCTGGGGCGTTGCGTTTTGAATTTAGAACTATAAAATTCTGACTCGCTGGTAGTGTTGCGCATGCCTACGTGAGGATTGTGAACGTTCAACCAATAAAACGGTAAGAGGCACTGGATTTTTAGGAGTCCACATTTTATTGTGACACTGGAAAAGTGTTTAAGACCAGCTAGCCATGTCTTTATCATCCGTTTAAGACCGGCCACGTGACAGGCTCTCGACCAATAGGAATAGCTAAACTGTCTGAGGTATTTATGAATAAATTGTAAAACTACATTTTTGATAAAGTTTTATCTAGTAAACCACCAGGGGGAACTGACTAAGTGGAGTTTTATTTATTTTAATACTTATTTATTTCGACAACATCCAGCAGTGCAAGCGTCAGAACAGGATGGATATTAGACTTGGAAGAAGATGTGGAAGGAAAGTACAGTTTTAGTGGAGGGAGGAAAACCCCAGAATGATATTCTAGGGAAACCCACGGAATCAGGCAGGGACTGAAAACCCAATCCACATGTTGGCCCAGGCGGAATTCGAACCTGGGTCACAGCTGTGGAAAGCGAGTAAAGTACCGCAACGCCCACCCCCTATTTGATCCCAGTATGAGGTTGAATTAACAAATCAACAGCAGGGTTGATTGCTGCTGATAAGCACCCCGCGAACAAAGACATTTACAAATTGGGAGATGCCAACACAGGGCTGGATAGCTCAGTTGGTAGAGCACCGGAACGGCAATCCGGAGGTCGCAGGTTTAAACCCCGCTCCAGTCAATTTCTTTGTTCAACTTTATATTTGTGATGTTTTCTGGTAGAACATATGATGATTTTGATTTAAAGTTCTCACGTATATTCTTAGGTTCTGAACTGGAAGGTGGTTCCTGCTTTCATCCCACGATAAGCGGCAAAACAGTGCCCCTGCTACCAGCAGCCCATGTCAAGATGAGCATGGGCACCGGACTTGTCCACACGGCACCAGCCCATGGACCAGAGGATTATGGGATAGCCGTCCAGTTCAATCTGCCCTTGGTGAGTTAGACTAGAGATATGGGGTTTGATTTCACGAAGCACTACATTCCAACTTGCTATGATTCTAAATAAATAATTTTAAGAAATTTACAATGTGTTGAAGGCTTCACAACTTCCATGGTAACACATTGTAAGCTGTGATGAATTTTCGCATCATCGCAACGTACAAAGGATCTTTGCGGTGCCTGTTTTATGACATAACAATCATAAGCAAACTCAAAATCTAAAGATATCTAGAGACATCGGGTGAAAATAAACCCCAAAATTGGCCTGCATTTTGTAATACAGGGTAGTCTGGCTCCCGTCCCTAATGACCCGGAACTGGTCTACTCACAGGGCAAATCTGTTTGTGTGCAAGGGCAAGCTGTCCAAAATAAAAGCTTTTCAGAGATTTGTAAATGCTCAAAATAGAAAAAAGTCAAAAATTCATCAAAAGAAGAAAACCAAACTTGTTGAAGAGCATATAAGTACAACTCAAAAGTGGAAAAATATTCTCCTGAATATTTAAATGCGTAGAAAGACATGACTAAGTGAAAGAAACCGTTGTTGTATTGAAAATATCCTTGGCAAACTGATTAAATTAAAGCCCTCAAATAATCTCTTTTTTTCCCCAACAGCACTGCACAGTTGATGAAGATGGTATCTTTTCACCAGAGGTTGGTCAAGACTTGGCAGGGAAGAATGTCCTGACAGAAGCTAATGATATAGGTAAGAATAAGCATACTGTTTTTTAAAGATTTGTAAAAATCTAAAATTCTGATAATTTCAGACATAATACTGGATTTGCTTCAATTTTGAAACTTTAATTCTTGACTCTTTCAACTTATTTGGTGCAGTGCTTTTCCAACAGGGTTGGCTGATTTAAATCACTTTGATTTAAATCAAATAAGATTATTTTGCAGATTCTACAATATGTGTTGCAGTAACATTCTACAATTATCAAAAAAATTAATATTTGGTTTTACCATTCACTGACATAATTGTATATTATTTGATTTCAACTGTATACCCAATGCTGTCTGAAGCCAAGATTATCTATTTACTGGTGCAGATATCGTATCCACTGAACCACCGGTTAGTTGGTTCAAATCTGACCCTTTGGGCTCTGTGGACGGGAAACATAGCGTGCACACACATACTGTACTGGTTCGAGCGCAAAGTATGAACAACTCCCTGAATGTGCAAAAGTTATCATAGTCACCGTGTCTCTGGGCCGCGTGAGCGTCAGGCGTTGTTGGCGTGCGAATACGTTTGAATTCGACTTGCGATGGTCTCCAAGACTAATTCCTGCCTCCAATAACTTTGGATACATTCAAAATACCCAGAGGATGGGTCGGGAACCAGTTTAAGTCACCCCCAACTCTCCTTTTCTGACCCTTGACGGGGTACTTGTGCACGGAGCCCATATAACTGTTTTATTCTCTTGCACATCTCCTTGGATGTCTCCAAGCGCAAACATCACAAGACTGAGAATGTTTTGTTGCTTATTTTGTCTGTTCTTTCAACCAGTCATTGAAATGCTGAGATGCAATGGGAGTCTACTGAAGCAGTCTAATTATGTGCACAGCTACCCCTACGATTGGAGGACCAAGCAGCCAATCATCATCAGGCCCAGCAAGCAGTGGTTCATTAACACGGGGGCAATCAAAGACAGGGCATTGGTATGAGTGTGTTGTGACTTATGAATTATTCATGACATGATTAACATATACATTTTTGAATGAGAGTATTTAAATCAGCTAGTAATAGTAATTTGCCTCAACTATAATTTTTATCGCAGTAATTTTTTGCGTGCTTGTCTTGCTGTTTGTTTACATGTTTGTCTTCACTTTCAGTTTTGTTTTTAAAGGTATACAACGTTTGCAAACATCAAAAACAAAAGTGCCAAATTATTATTAAATACATTACTCGACTGTAAGTGAATAATAGTCTCAAGCATCCTGTGAAATCATGGCACCTTTTGTGCTATCATATTCAAGAAAAGTGGAATTTTGTATCAAATTCCAACGATGGTCGGCCGACCATCGTTTAAAAACAACTAACACTTTTTGAAATACTGCCCCCCAATTTACCAAATTTAGTTAGCCCACATTTTGTTTGCACTCAGAATTAGTATAAGCCAGCTAGCCAGCATTGATATTGGCATACAGCAGATTAAAACAACAGTCGATATAGTGTCTAATACGAGTACACAAGTGCAAAGTGTTATGTGTGCTTTGTAATCTACTGAATAATGAACGGATTAAAATTTAATCTGTATATCTATTATAAATGTTAATGTTATTTTAGTTAACACTGAGTGTGTTATCGCATATTTTTGTGATAGGAATGTCTTGAAAATGTTGAGATGCTTCCGAGCCACGCTCTGAACAGCATGAGAACTTATTTGGACGGCCGGACGTTCTGGTGTATATCTAGGCAGAGGGTTTGGGGTGTCCCTATTCCAGTATTTTACAACAAAGAGACGGACGAACCACTCCTTACAAGGTATGAATAATTTTAATGATTATTAACCCTCCTGCTGTTTTAACAGTCACAGACAGTCAACAAAATCAATCCTCTTCCCCTGCTTTGCCTTTTACATAGGCTAGTCACCAACAGTCAGATCATATTTCAAGTAAGCACTGTCACTAGTCAAATTCAGTCAACAGACAAATGCAGGCAAGTGGTAGGCACAGCTTGCTTATCAATCACCTACAGTCAAAGCAAAGCTGTATCAAGTTACATAAACAGTCACAGCCAGTCAATCCTGCTTTATGTAGGCTGGGAGCTCTTAACTGTTGAAAACAGTCGATTGATTTTGACTGCAGGAATAATTTGGTGCAGAATGTGTGCTTGTGTAGGAGGGTTAATGATTGAATGTTTTTCAGTCTAAGAAATTCACCAATATTGTTTCTTTTTTAGTGAAAGTGTTAGCCACGTGACTAGTCTTATTGAAAAGCATGGCAGTGACTGCTGGTGGAATTTACCTGTAGAAGAACTGCTTCCCGACAGCTTGATACCTAAAGTAAGTCTGTGAGATACAATAAGTAGTTTTTTATTGCACATATAATCTTGTGTCTGGATTTTTGCAAAAGATTTAAACTTTTGGTTTCACTGAATTCTCTGCATGGGTGTGTTTTGAGGAGGAGATGGCATGATGTTAATTTATCAGTGAGATGTATTAATATTGGGTAAAAAAGTATATTGGCAAAGGGTAAAATTCCATCGTACATGCCATTGATTATGGTTCCCACATCTGTATCAGGAGCTATCTCTGTGGGTCATGTTGATAACATGCTTGTGCTAAAAGCTTGTGAATTTTCTTACAAGATCGCGGACAGCACTCGGTATATACAGTGCTTTAGAAACCCAAAATTGTAATGTATTCTATTTTCCTTGTAAAATGCTTTGGTCTTGTTCATTTTTAAGCTTTCCATACATTGTCCACACGTTGATATAAATGTTTTGAAACATATTGAAACATAATTGTACTCCCTCTTTTCGTACATCTTATGTGGCAAATTATATATTTAACAGTTGCTGACTGCTGTGATGTGGAATATGGCGTTTTGAACACCCAAGGGGCGCTGTGCGCCCGAGGGTAGTTCGCTGTTCCCACTCATGTGTGAAAACATGGTGAAATCAGCGTGGGTACCAACGATACAAGTGTTTCATACCGTATGCATCGTATGTACAAAGTCATGGCACACTCTCCGTGTGATATCACGTAAATGATATCCCACAGGGAGTATGCCATGACTTTTTGTAAACTTAACACGTGATCGTTCTAGGCCAATGAAAATACAGTATTCAAGACAGAGGTTCATGTATAACAACAAAATATGAAGCAGGAATGATTTCATTGTTTAATGAAATCAATTTGATTTTCTTGGACATATACAGTCAGGTTCCAAGTCCAAGGATTTTGTGAAAGGAGAAGACATCTTGGATATATGGTTTGACAGCGGTTCTTCGTGGTCACATGTCCTGAAAGGTTAGATGTGATTGGCAATTTCAACTAAATAAAAGGGGATATAAAATAACACAATTTTGTTCAAATGTCTTTGATGTACAAATGAAGCATTTGTGTATGTCTTCATCAGTTTTTTGGTCAATATTCTAGTCTTCAACCCTTTTAAAATCTTTCTCTTGTAAAGATTCAGACGAGCAGGCAGATTTGTACCTGGAGGGGGAGGACCAGTATGGCGCCTGGTTCCAGACATCTCTGCTTACAAGCGTCGCTGTGAAGGACAGGGCACCGTATAGGTAACATTCTGTTCAGCCGCTAACCAGTTCACGCCAGGATTATTTTAACAAGAACAGAACGAGGCGCGGGATTACTTTTCACTCGAACCTATCATGCCAGGCGGGCTGAAGCTATCACCCTCGGGCAGCACACTCACATTTCCGGCCTCGCTCGCTGCGAGCGGGTCACTGGCAGATATTTCCGGCCTTGCTCCTGCATGTTTATCCGTCATGTTCCGAATACTGCAAAACCTTTGCGCGAACTGGTTAACGCCAGAGGGCGTGTAAACACGATCTGGCAATGTATATTCGACGGATTAAATCGTCAATGTTTCCCCAGAGTCTCCAGCGGTGGATGTATATTTACGTCAGTGGTTCCCATTGGTTTTGTACACACCACGTGTTGAACTTGAACTTGGCCACTGTACACGGCCTGTCGTTGTAGCAAATGTCACTCCATGAAGGGCCTCGGAGTGTTGCAAAATATGAAGTTACGGTGAAACATATCATACAAATATTGTACAAATGACTCCCAAGAGTCAGTATTTGTGGTGTTTGACATAATTTTAAAATTTGGCCGATTCATCTTTTCTTTTTCAAAGATGGCCTTTTGAGCCAAAGATAATCCCGGTGGCAAGTGGTTAATTACGACCAATCACAGGTCACTGCAAAACAACCAACCACTAGTCAATCACAAGTCTTCCAGTTTCAACTCGGGTCACAAGCTGTTCAAAAAATCTGTGGCCAATGCATTACTTTTCATTGTTCATCCCCTGCTCTTATATTATGAGCGCTGTGGTCTAATGGTTACGGTGTTCGAATCACGTGCCGTGGTACGTGGGTTCGAACCCTGACGGGGAACATGGTGCTTGTGTTCTTGGGCAAGACACTTTACTACAATTGCCTGTCTCCACCCAGGAGTATAAATGGGTACCTGTGAAGGTAGAGATCAGAATGCTCTGATCTGGAGCTGCTGCAAAAACTGGTCTCATGGCCTGATGAACAGGGGTAATAATTGGAGAAGCGCTATATAAGCACCACACATTATTATTATTATTATTATTATTATTAAAATTACGGGAAATGGGTCATTTGGGAGACGAGACATTCCCTTAGACTTGTGCACAAAATTTTTCAAACTTCAATGTGCCCTAACCCAATATTCCCTAGTCCTTTTTCCACGAATTTTGGTAGGTTTACTAATTAAACAGCGAGCAATAAAAATAACCCAATTGCGACTGTAACTTTTTGCCTATAAAGGGGGGCTGTGACATCAGGGTGACATGAAAATGTCTCCTTAATGACCGATGTCTCCCATCATCCGAAGAAATTACTATAACATGTCTCCTTAATGGTACATTTAGTGGAATTATTATTATTATTATTATTTGTGACCTGACTTGTAAGTTGACTTATGATTGACTTGATTATGACTGATTATGATTATGGTTTGTTTTGTTATTTTTGTTGCTGACTGTCTTGCTTTCTGGTCATGTTTCATCCCTACTTTTCTGACAGGAGTCTTCTTGTGCATGGCTTCACGCTAGACGGTGAAGGAAGGAAAATGTCAAAGTCTTTAGGTAACGTGGTTGACCCTGATGTTGTTGTGAGTGGTGGAAAAGTAAGTTTAGTTTACCTTATAGTTGGATCATTCCATATATTTGGTGTCCATTAGTGTGACATTTTTTGTGTCTCTATAACACCAAAGCTGTGTAATTTACCATGCAAATATCATTAAAATTGACTGCAAACTTGTATGTGTACGGGGTCCATACAGAATGCCATCAAGATGTTACAATGGAGAGGCCTTTTTTTTTTTTTTTACTGCATTATGGGAAACAACTGGCATTATTCAAAGACATGCTTTACTTTGTGCAAGGCAAAAAAAGACAAATGAGTTTTTAACTTTTGTGGATGCACAGCATTTAAGAAGGAATTTTGTGTGTGAATAGTGTTGGGTTTCTATTACGAGGCTTCAGAATGCATTGTGTCGGGCCAAAAAAAAAAAAAAAGTCGGTCTCTGGTCAGAACAAAGTTGGTTTATTTTTTGGTTATTTTTTTCCAAGCTTGGAGGTCGAGCTGCCCACGACAATTTGAGGCAGTGTGGTAATAAAGAGCACTGTTGTAGGTACTGCGGAAAATGTGGAAAAAAAAATTGACGTGCATGATCAAAATCAACATGCGCGCTGACCAGGGACCGACTATTTTGTTTTTGGCCTTAGTGTGGGACATCAAAGGATGGGTCATTCCCAATGTTCAGTTTAGTGTTTTTTTTATAATTGCATTCTAATGTGTCTTTTTTCGGTGACAATCTCAATTATTTTGTTATGAATAGAACAAGAAGACAGATCCTGTTTACGGGGCCGATGTGCTGAGGTGGCGCCTGGCCGAGTCCAGCTGGTTGACCAGGGTCCAAGTTGGCCCAGAACTCTTCGCCATGACCAACCAAAACATTTTAAAGGTACCTAAAGTAAACGTTCCACTCATCAGACACTTTAAACCTCACATGCGCTGTGGTACAATTCTCTAACTCTTTACAAACAGTAATCCAATATTTTGGCTTTGAAATGGCACAAAAGCAAATACATGTACACTGGAGAACACTGTAATTTAGGAGTAACACCTTGCAGCAGTAAATTTTGTTTGTGAGTTATGGGTGGTTCTGAGAACGATCAGTGTCAACTCGATTTTTGAGTAGTGCGCACTGTTCACAAGTTGAGTTTGTTAGAAACAGTTCTAATCGTCATATTGGCCTTATTCACGAGTTGGCCATTTTTGTCAAGTTTCCTGAACGCATTTTATTAAGTGTTAACTGTTCAATTGGATGGTGCCACACTATTTATGCAGGCACAATGCATCCTTATTTTACTGTCTTTTTATTTTAATCTAGCTTTAAACATAAGGGAATTTTTAATTACAAATTTAAAATTATTCATTGAAGCAGACTGGAATTACTTAGTAATTTACTTGCTTCCATTTCTCTTCGCAAGTTCCACAAATCCTCACTTCAAATCAATATGGCCGATATAAGATTTGAGGCTTTGCATGGTGGGGTATCGGTATCGTTTCGGGTTTTGCGGTAACACCATGTGGTAATAACTACTGCTTAGAAGATATTAGTTCTGAGAAGAACTTGTCCTGCTTATTATCAACTTGCTAAGTATATATGGCCGACTCGTGAATAAGGCCCATGGTGTCACTGCAAATGCCCATATCTTTCTTACTTCACTATGCAAACCCTCAAATCTTATAAAATCAATTCTGTTTTCATAAGATTTGAATATTTTAGACAAAGACAGTAAGACATAAACTTGTTTAAGTTATACCACTTCTACAAATCCCATTGTTTACAATTTCAATTCCTTTTCTTCACATCCCTCCCCCCTTAGATAAGGAACACTATTCGGTACTTCCTCGGCAACCTTTATGACTTTGACCCCACCAGTGACCTCCGACCTCATGCTGACCTCTTGCCCATTGACAAGTACATGCTGCACCTTCTCCACGACTACGGGTCAAAGGTCGCCACCGCCTATGACAGCTATGAGTTCGGCGAGATCACGGCTAAGGTCACGGAACTGATTCATGGCAAAATCTCGGCTTTTTACTTGGATACCATGAAAGATAGGTGAAGACAATTTTCCTCATGTGTTTGATCAAGTTTTAGATGGAAGAGATTACTTCCAACTTCAATTTTGTACCAAGTTACATGTAAATCATGGACCACTTGGTTGACTCCTGGTCGCTTTGTGACTACTCACACCTGTGCACTAATAATGAGAGTTTGGTTGGTTAGTTTGTTGACTAACCAACACTCGAGTTAGAGTTTGGTTGGTTAGTTTGTTGACTAACCAACACTCGAGTTAGAGTTTGGCTGGTTAGTTTGTTGACTAACCAACGCTCGAGTTAAGGTTTGGTAGGTTAGTCTGTTGACTCACCAATGCTCGAGTTAGAGTTTGGTTGGTTAGTTTGGTGACTAACCAATGCTCAAGTTAGAGTTTGGTAGTTTAGTTTGTAGACTAACCAATGCTCAAGTTAGAGTTTGATAGGTTAGTTTGTTGACTAACCAAAGCTCGAGTTAGAGTTTGGTTGGTTAGTTTGTTGACTAACCAACGCTCAAGTTAGAGTTTGGTAGGTTAGTTTGTTGACTAACCAACGCTGGAGTTAGCGTTTGGTTGGTTAGTTTGTTGACTAACCAATGCTGGAGTTAAAGTTCAGTTTTCATAGGAGTATCATATTTGTAGGTTAGTTTGTTGACCAACCAAAGCTCGAGTTAGAGTTTGGTTGGTTAGTTTGTTGACTATTACTAATGCTCAAGTTAGAGTTTGGTAGGTTAGTTTGTTGACTAACCAACGCTCGAGTTAGAGTTTGGTAGGTTAGTTTGTTGACTAACCAACGCTCGAGTTAGAGGTTGGTTAGTTTGTTGACTAACCAACGCTTGAGTTAGAGTTTGGTAGTTTAGTTTGTAGACTAACCAATGCTCAAGTTAGAGTTTGATAGGTTAGTTTGTTGACTAACCTAAGCTCGAGTTAGAGTTTGGTAGGTTAGTTTGTTGACTAACCAACGCTGGAGTTAGCGTTTGGTTGGTTAGTTTGTTGACTAACCAATGCTGGAGTTAAAGTTCAGTTTTCATAGGAGTATCATATTTGTAGGTTAGTTTGTTGACCAACCAAAGCTCGAGTTAGAGTTTGGTTGGTTAGTTTGTTGACTATTACTAATGCTCAAGTTAGAGTTTGGTAGGTTAGTTTGTTGACTAACCAACGCTCGAGTTAGAGTTTGGTAGGTTAGTTTGTTGACTAACCAACGCTCGAGTTAGAGGTTGGTTAGTTTGTTGACTAACCAACGCTTGAGTTAGAGTTTGGTTGGTTAGTTTGTTGACTAACCAACGCTGGAGTTAGAGTTTGATTGGTTAGTTTGTTGACTAACCAACGCTGGAGTTAGCGTTTGGTTGGTTAGTTTGTTGACTAACCAATGCTGGAGTTAAAGTTCAGTTTTCATAGGAGTATCATATTTGTAGGTTAGTTTGTTGACCAACCAAAGCTCGAGTTAGAGTTTGGTTGGTTAGTTTGTTGACTATTACTAATGCTCAAGTTAGAGTTTGGTAGGTTAGTTTGTTGACTAACCAACGCTCGAGTTAGAGTTTGGTAGGTTAGTTTGTTGACTAACCAACGCTCGAGTTAGAGGTTGGTTGGTTAGTTTGTTGACTAACCAACGCTCAAGTTAGAGTTTGGTAGGTTAGTTTGTTGACTAACCAACGCTGGAGTTAGCGTTTGGTTGGTTAGTTTGTTGACTAACCAATGCTCGAGTTAGAGTTTGGTTGGTTAGTTTGTTGACTAACTAATGCTTGAGTTAAAGTTCTGTTTTCATAGGAGTATCATATTTGTAGGTTAGTTTGTTGACCAACCAAAGCTCGAGTTAGAGTTTGGTTGGTTAGTTTGTTGACTATTACTAATGCTCAAGTTAGAGTTTGGTAGGTTAGTTTGTTGACTAACCAACGCTCGAGTTAGAGTTTGGTAGGTTAGTTTGTTGACTAACCAACACTCGAGTTAGAGGTTGGTTGGTTAGTTTGTTGACTAACCAACGCTTGAGTTAGAGTTTGGTTGGTTAGTTTGTTGACTAACCAACGCTGGAGTTAGAGTTTGATTGGTTAGTTTGTTGACTAACCAATGCTCGAGTTAAAGTTCTGTTTTCATAGGAGTATCATATTTGTAGGTTAGTTTGTTGACCAACCAAAGCTCGAGTTAGAGTTTGATAAGTTAGTTTGTTGACTAACTTAGAGTTTGATAGGTTAGTTTGTTTGGTGGATATGTGCGCTACATAAATCCGTATTACCATTATTATTATTGTCTGGACAGGTTATACTGTGAAGCGTATGATTCGCTGGAGAGACGCTCTTGTCAGTCGGTCCTGCATCACTTGTTGGAGGTTATCGTCAGGTCGATAGCCCCCATCACGCCCCATCTTGCAGAAGAAGCATTCATGCACAGACCAGGTAAAATCATGTCCAACCATTTTTCCTGTTTTACATTTCTGGAAAAATAAGGGCCACCTATGTTGGGCCACATAAACAATGTGCAACAACATACAACTTTATGACAATTGTTTCTTTGCTCTAAATACCGGGTACATGAGCAATACAATGTGTAAAAGCCTATGTTGTTGCCCACAAAACTTCGTTGTACAAACTGAACATTATTTAATATTTAAATTACACTGATGCGACCGCTCTTGTGACCTTGATACATGTATATGGCAGCTTAGAAGCAGGTAATGGTAGAACAAAATTGATAGTGCTAGTACATTTTGTTTGAGTTCACACTCTTCCTGTGTATTAATGCAGATTTTTCAAAGCGTGGCTTTATCTCTAGCTTTGTCTCCATGACGTGGGGATTTCAGCTCAATATGGATCCATGTTCTGCTTCAGGAACATCAAATGCATTGGGCAACAGAAATTGTAATCATTCTGGTGCCAAAGCTGGAGATGAAGCCGAGATTTGGAAAATGCCCAAATGCATCATCTAATTGTTAACCTCTGACCTTTTTTGCTCTTCCAGATGCTGTCAGTGTCTTCAAGACTGGCTGGTTCCACTGTGACAGTTCATGGCATCAGCCCGAGCTGGCCGCTGTGCTCGGCGCCCTCTGTAGTGTACGAGAGACGTTCCTGGCTGCGATACATGCGCCACGGAGTCGCGAATATGATGTCACAGTCTGCACCAATGACATACAGCTTTTAGGTTACCTTCAAGTAAGTAAAGTATTTTGTTATTTTTTAAAGAATTTTTAAAGCATGTCATATTGATAATTAACAACTCGAACCTTAATTCTTATCAGCGGACATGCTGTCATTAATGACTTGATCGGAGCAGAATTCTTGGAAATGCCAAAAAGTCAGGGGAAAAGTAACCAAGAAGGCAACACACGGTTCTCAAGTTTTTGTGTCACCTAAGCAAAGTTTTAGGAAACACTTTCCTAAATTTTGTATGACCGTATCCCGTATGTCCGTCCTGACCAGGCCCACTTATGGGATACTTGTACAAAGGGAACGGTACCCCACAAGTGAAATCTTTAGAAAAGGGATATAAGGACAACAATGTTCCTACCTCACAAGTCCTTCCCATGAAGACGTCCGTATTCCTGTATGACCGTTTGTATGTTAAAGTTTGTTAGTTAAAGTTTAGTTGAACGAAAATCAAGTGGAGCGGAGTGCTGTCATGCCATGGTGGTTGGTGCAGGAATGAGCTCACAACCATATGCAATATGGGGCACGCCCCACAGAGGCTGACTGACCATTAGGAATTTCTTTACTTCAAACTATTTGATTATGTAACTCAAGGCATGCTCTAAAAGCTCTGCTACAAGTAAATTGTCCACCTAAGAATGTTTTACACAAAGAGTAACACATGTACACTGTATGCAAAAACAAAAACCTTTTATATCCAATTTATTTTTAAAGAGGTTGTGGAATGCTCGAAGACATTTCCATCATTTTTTGGGTATATGTAGCCTAAGGTGTGATGAAATAAAAACGACTACTGTTTCTGTCATGAAATGAGTACAAAGGGTACTTTTGAGAGCTATTTTTCAGGTCCTGTTTTGACCCGAACGTGCAATTTGTGTAAAAGTCGTCGTTGCGGGCAGCAAACAAAACACAGTGAATCGTGACGTAATAAACAGGACTCGTTTATGCTACTCTGCATCGAGAGTCCTGTTTATTACGTCACAATTTACTGTTTTTTGTTTGCTGCCCGCAACGACGACTTTTACACAAATTGCACGTTCGGGTCGAAACAGGCATGACAGGACTTGAAAAACAGCTCTCAAAAGTACCTTTTGTACTCATTTTATGACAGAAACAATTGTCGTTTTTATTTCATCACACCTTAGGCTACATATACCCAAAAAATGACGGAAATGTCTTCGAGCATTCCACAACCTCTTTAACCAGTTAGTATCAGGTTACCTATTTGGATACACAAGCACACTCCCCAAAAGAACGTAGATTATCCTCCGTTTATTTTTGCTCTCTGTAGGCGCTCCAGGAAGAGACAACTTCCAGCACGTCCCATCTCAGTGAACTCATGATGGCCTCCTTCACAACTGTTGCCATGGAGATGGAGAGGTCACCAACAGAGGGCAGTATTCAAGTTGCCGGAAGTGTTGGAGTTCCATCAACAAGTATGTTCTAAAAGTTAACGAATTTCACTAGATAAAAAGGAATTTGTTTGTACACACACCAAGATCTAGTGACTTTTATTCTGTGCTAACAGGGACTTTCTGCACTATACAAGAGTTGAAGAGTGGTTGTCTTAAAGGGAAATTACAACATTTGCAAACATCGAAAAATAAAACTTCCAAGTTGTTACGAAATACCTTACTAGGATGTTGGTAAATGACAGTCCAAAGCATCCTGTAAAAATTATGGCACCTGGTGTGAAGTCATTTTCAAGAAATATGGTACTTTTGTATTCATTTCCAACGGTGGTCGGCCGACCACCGTTGGAAAAACCTAACTACTTTTCAAGTACTGCTCCAAATTTACCATTTTTTTCAGTAAAATTTTGTTTGCTATTGGTCCCATGTTCATGAACAGGTGCAGGCCAGCTAGACTGGTTCCCTTCCCTTACAATTTTCCGGCATTTTTGATCCATTTCATCTTTAGTGAAGTAAGGAACCAGACAACTTGAACATTTTTGTTTTTCTTGGTTTTTCCAGCATTTTCAAACACAAAACTTCAACCAATATTTGATCTATTAAACTTACCCCCAAAATAATTCATTTCTGAATATTACAGCAAAAGCCAGTGATGTTCATTCGCTTTAAGTGCAGAGCCATGAAAGTGGGCCAATATTGTTGATAATCGAGAATAATTTATTGACAATTATGTAGTCAAGTACTAAAGTTAAATACAGAAAACAGATTCTTTCACAATGAGCCGGTTTGGTATCTCGATGAAGTAGTCCATGTCAAAGGTCATTCGGGATAAAATGCGATCGCGATGGCGTGATGATACGCGATGTTACGCGATGTTACGCGGATGCCCATTCTGCTTGTAATTAACACACGAGCATCGTGCACCCGTCTCCGTGCATCTTCGATGAGCGTTCGATTATCCCGAATGACCCTTGACCCATATCATTGTGCGCATGCGCAGTTGAAATACCGAAATGGCTTATTGTTTGACATTACATTTCCCAAATAGGTTAAGGTTTATTTTGTTTTATCTCAATTTGACTAATTTTGATGTTTTTTTCTTAGATGGTGTGACGTCTAGTGCAGAGTATAGTCTTCTTATTCAGCCTGCCAGTCACCATCACTGCAAACGGTGCCGCAAACGCACAGCAGAGATGCCCAATCAGCCATGCAGCAGATGCCTGCTAGCAATGTCCGGCGGCTGGGAATGAGACTAGTACTAGAATTACTTCTCAGGTGTTACTTCATTGTTGATTTCAATGGATAAAGTGAAAATGCACACATACAATTAACAATTGTCTGTTGTGACGTAGTCCATGGCATTTTTTTTACACCCAAGGAACGCAAATGGTATCAGAGGCCACACCCCTGTTCATTTCTAATTCGGGAGTCCAAACCCTTGGTTGTCAATATGTGCATCTGTGTTACACTTGCGGAGGCCCACTTTGACATATGTGCACTCCCCAGGGTACTTATGCGCAACGTCTGTTCTAGCTATGCTGTAGAAAGCAGCAAGCAGGGATGAAAATATTGAAAATCTCTGAGAAAGATCAAGGTACATGAGGTGATGGACATGTGAAGAGTCCTCAACTAATGTAATTTCACTAATAGATCTTTTATTATTATTATTTATTTCTGGTAATGAAACCAAGGATTCCTCCAAGTGCCCTAGGCACTGTAGCTCGCAAGCCTGAAGAAACCTTAGGAGAGAAGACAATGAGAAGACATTACAGTTTTAGAGGTGGGAGGAAAATCCCAGAAGAATATTCCAGGGAAAACCTACGGAATCAGGTAGGGACTGAACACCTAATCCACATATTGGCCCAGGCGGGATCCGCACCCAGTTCACAGCGGTGGAAGGCAAGGAAAAAAACACAACACCAACTTAACTGCAAACCTGATATACTATGGTGTATCGAACATACATGTACTTGTGTAAACAAGTACATGTACATGTAAACGTGTTATGTGTGGAAGTTTTGCCATCATTTACCAAATTAAACATGGACTTCTATCCTTGTTTGACCAGTGTTACATATGTTTGTTGTGGTTAAGTTGCCAAAGTGCTTCAATAATCGTGATATTTACCCGAAAAAATTGTGTCTTAATTTGGTCAAGAATGTGACTGATATTGTGAGAAGTTCAGACAATGACCTTATTAATGTTCCAAGATGAATGTACCAATTTGTTTACCCTCTTCTATTGCATGAGGGAAGTATTCACATGAGCACCATAAAAAAAATACAGTCAATGCTTTCGATCCTCATAGTTTACTTCAAGTGCATTTATTGAATTTATATAAAGTTACAAACTGTACAAATGTATTTATATTTATAAAACCAGTCTTACCAATAAATTCAAACAATAAAAAGGATTCCTTTTGCTATTTTTTTCTCTCTTTTGAAATATACCTCAAATTATTCTTTAACTATGCATCTGGAAGTTTTAAGAGAAAACCTACTGAATTCTAACATGTGCATGGAGTCAGATAAGGGGTGGAGTTTTACAAGGGGTGGAATGTGACAAAGGGGCAGAGTCTGTTAAAGGTAGAGCAGATCTCTTGCAGCTGTCCACAAAGTAACTGACCAAATTATTGTTAAAAAGCATACTTAGTTTAAAGATAGTAATGACACTAAAATCCTTGTGAAACTATTCCTTCTGGCATGCTGTCATTTTAAAGAAAACAAAAAAAGAAGTTCATTTCCAAAGATGTGTCAAGTGACACATTTTTGGAAATTTCCGTTAATAGTTGGTTTGGAATTGGGCAAGTCCGTGAATGGGTGTGCGCAACCGTTGACACAAAGCATGCACGTGCAAGGTTGCTATTATTTGTCAGTTCGGTGTGTGACGCGTGTAGCTGCAATCCGCCAAATGAGAATGTGTCCCAGATGCTGACTTCAGGGGCAATTGACCTATCGCCGTTTGCGAGTGTGGCAGGGCCAAATTTAACTTGTAGTTTTTACTGTATTGCTTTTAGTGTTTAGGTATAGGTGTAGCTCCCCTGAATAAATCACCCCTTTTTTTATTAGATGTCTCCTACCCTTTCATAGAAGTGTGTACCCCTGATTAACTTTTCCCTCTTCCCCAGTAACATGATCCCTTAGAACAATAGCCGTCAGATTTTAAGCACTTTTGTTGCTTCAAATAAAAAACATGCACAAAGGACAAATGATCTACTCTACCTTTAAGGGGGAAGAGTACTACGGGTTGGAGTCTGAAAAGGGGTGGAGCCTGATTAGGGGGAGGGAGCATCAAGGTTTGAGCAGTTAGTAGCCATCCAATCACCTAGGCCTTCCCCACTTATTGCACTTCTCCGGTGTCTGCCTGTCCTTGAAAAGCAGTGGCGGGGAGGCGGGCTGGAGAACGACCCCCTGGGCCTTCTTAGCTGACCTTTGACCTCTCTTTGAACCTCCCGCTTGCCCGCCTCTTCTGCCTCGGCCACGCCCCTCTTTAGGTTTCGGTACATGGATAGGCGTCCATGGAATAGGATTGTAGAAGTTGGGGATGGGGTAAGCAGCAGTGTCGTAGTAACCTGAAAGAAAAAAAAACAAAGAAAAAACTGTTTAATAAGGAATGCCTTTTGATACAGTCCAAGCCGCCTGTGATGTCGTGCTGTTATTGATGTTATTTTAAGATGTGACAAAAACAAATTTATCTTTTAATCCAAATTTCCTACCTATTATCGCAACTAATGCGTTGTTATTGAGAATCAAATTAAGTATTATATCTCGACAATACGCAGGCTGCTAAAACAAAGAAGACTTAAGTACAGAACCTTAGTTTTTTTCTTCAGTTTCAAGCCCATAAAAGGAACTCACAGTACAACCTTGCAGTGTTGAAGTCAATCCATCACAAGTCATCACAAGTTCATCATAAGTCGTTCAGTCCAAAGCCAAGTCACAAGCTATTCAGATGAACTGTGACAATGCATCACTTTATTGTTGTTCGTCCACTTTTACTTGTGACTGGACTTGTGACTGACTTGTGATTTACCAGTAGGCCCAGTAACTGGGGCGCTAGAACTCTTCTTTTTTTTCTTCTTTTTTTGGTCGTAATAGGAAGATAGTCCCAACATCCAACACCTCGGGGTCATTTGTGTACCGGTATTTGTATACTGTAAACCGGTATTTTCACAAACACCCAGATCAAAAAAAGTTGCCAAAATCACGGCAAAGACATGACAAAAATACCTTATAAGGCACCTACTTGCTTCTCAACATGTCAAAGACGAACTACTGGGGTTTCAATGGTACTGCGTCCCTATTTACCTGTAACCGGACTTGTGATGGACTTTACAATAACACTGATTTCATGACAAGCATAACTGAACACTCAGAACAAGATGTATTTTGTGTTGAACAAAACTGTGCATTTTTGTAGCGCACCTTGACTGCTTGGTATTGGGCTGGGTTTCTTGCTTGCTTGCTGACGCCATTTGTTGTACGCTTCCTCGGCTTTGGCTCTGCGTTCCTGTTCTGCCTCGGTGGCTCTGGCTTCCTCTTCTTCTTCCTTCTGTTTCTGTTCTTGTTCTTTCTTCTTCTTGTCATCCAGCCACTTTTGCCTGTTTGCCTGGATTCAAGTTTCAAAAAAGATGGATTTTAAAAATGCTCTTCCCCTGCTGATTTTAAAACTCAGCCCCCCCCCCCCAAAAAAAAAACACAACTCAAATTTGCTTCTTCATTGCTATTTTTCTAGCAATACAAAAGTTATTCACTTTAAAATGTGACATCGAACAAAACAATCTGCCCACATGAAGTTATCAAAATTTATTGTGTGTTATGGCCACAAAAGCAACCCTAATTAAAAGCATATTTATATAGCGCTTTTAAACCGCTATCACAATTATTATTACACCTGTTCAACGAGCAAACACTCCTGAAACCTTCTTAACTCCCTGGGGAGCATACACGGCCGGTAGGCAGCCATTTTGGCACTCTTGGCCATAATCAACCTCTCACAGTAACCAACTCTGCCCTCACAGGTACCCATCTACTCCTGGGTGGAGAGAAGCAATGAGTGACAAAACTCCTTGCCCAAGGGCACACGCACAATATCCCTGGGCAGGACTCGAACCCACAACCTGCAGAATTACTTGCAGACCACAACTTCAATGCTCCAGACCACTAGGCCACGGCACTCCACAAAGTTATCAATTCATTCCCAAGTAAAAATTGAATGGAAAAAAAAACAAGTTTTGGTGGGCAGTTAATGCAATTTTGCGAAAGAGCATTACGTTTTCAAGTGACTCCATGACATCATTAGGTAGAATAGCAGAGTGGTAGTGGTGCTAGTTATCTACTCCGTTCACAAGTACCCCCTCACTGGCAAAGAAAGTACAGTTGGGGGTGACCGACCGATGCCACCGCGACGCACGGCCACCACTAGCACTGCGTGTACATAGTACTGAATCCCCTAGTGTACGTGCGTCACACACAAGGAACGGTGCGCGTCAACCAGCGAAATGTCCCGCCCATGGGACGTCGTTGCTAGGTAAAAGGACGCCCTCTTTCGTTGGCGCATGGAGCCCATAGGCTTTAGCGTTTGTGTTTTCTGTGATAAATGGTTCTTCTTGTGTACGACTCAAACTCATGCATTAGAGAAACATTCTTTTCTGCAGATAACCAATTAATCTTGAGAGCTATACATTTTGTAATTTTTTTTATCAGAACCAAATTAAAAGAAAATTACCTTGGCGCGTTCCAGTATTTCTTCTTGTTTTCTCTCTTCTTCCTCTTTCTTCTGCTGTTCCTTTCTGGTTTTGCTTTTCCTTTTTTTCTGTTCTGTCTTTGTTCTCTCCTCGATCCACTCATCCACTCTGGCCTTGATGAATGTTTCCTTTTCTTTTTTCACCCTCTCAGCTTCAGCTTTTTGCCTTGCTTCTTCCCTCTCCCGGCGGACTTGTAGTCCGACCCGCTTACGTTCCTCTTCAGTTTTTCGCACCAACCATTTCTCCCAGGGGGTGAGCTGTGGCTCGGAGGGTGATTCAGTGAGCGTCTTTGCAGAGGAGGAGGAGCTAACTCTGACGGGGGTTGTTCTCGAACTGGATTGGCTGGTCCTTGCAGATGCTGTGCGGGACCTGTGCTTTGATTGGCTGGATGCCTGGGAGGCATTTTGGTGTCTTGCACTTGATTGGCTGGTAGCAGAGGCAGACCTAGCTCTGGAACTTGATTGGTTGGACTGTGTTGGTGACTTGGAATGGCTTATTGACGAAGATGGGGGTGATTTTGATCTGTGGTGAATCAAAGCAGTTATAACATGGTTGTAATGGCGACGTGATAAAATAACAGCTCAGCATTTTGCTTAAAGACATGTACTATTATATAACCGACATACAGATCCTTGTCATTTGATTGGTGGAACTCACATCACGTGAAATTCGTTGTTACTGCCATTCATGCCGGGGCTCAAAAAGTACTATCTGCCCATGGGGAATGGGAAATACTATTGAACAGTTAGGATCATTCTTGTTCCATGACGCGGTATTTGTGTGTAAATGCATGCTGGTGTGCGCGTTCAGCGTTGCGCGTATTGTTCCAAAGAGCCAGCGCTACAGCGTTGGGTTCAAACATTTTCGTGAAGGGGTGGTTTGGAAGAGAGAAATACATTTTTGACCAATTTTGTATTGAAATAAAAGTTCAAATATATCAAATGACAAGGATCTATATGTCAGTTATATAAACAAATATTGAGTGGCTTTAAATTGTGAAATGGGAGGAATATTATCGCTCGATAAAATCTGGACTTTTCCAGTTCACTCGCCTTGCCTCGTGAAATGGAAAGGTCCAGATTTACCTTGCGATAATATTCCTCCCATTCCACGCTGAGCCACTCAATATTTATATACTAGTAGTAAACTGTAGTATGCAGTACTTACCTAAGCATATACGTGGGCACAAACTCATAGTATTTTCTAGTATGTGGTACTTTACCCCAAATTAACTCTTGGGTTTTTTTAATTAAAGTAGTTTTTGTACATAATGTTTTCATTATAAACATTATTTGCTGTAACTGTTGCATTCAAAATGAAAATCAAAAGAAATTCTCAAAACTCGGAATGGATGGAAGTTGAAATATTCCATCAGTAACAATGCTGTTTGGAGTGTGAATACATGGAGGTGCTCCTTGGCTAGCCAATATTTTCCAGAAAGGAATCATGGTCTTTGCAAATGGGCATTTCCACACTAATGGGCCAATAAGATAAGTTTATGGATGTTGCGTATCAAGGGTAAAAGATGAGCTAGTATTTTCTTCAGTTTTTTTCCTATACCTTGCTTAGTTGAAAGTGACTAGGACAAGACAAGACAAAAGATGATACCTTGTTTTATTTGAGAAAATAACAGGCATCTTTTCTGTGTGATACGTATGTAACGTGGACAGACACGGTGCTAGGAAAAGGGTGCTTAGGACAAATTCAATTTCTAATAGGCACTTCCAGTGACATTATTAAGCCATTTTACATTGTCATCAAGCAAAAATATAACAGTTTTCACACAGGCTTCAAATTTATGATGTGATTAGGGTTACGTACTAACAGGGACAGATATTTTGTGACAAATGTCCAGTCTGTTCGTACGTATCAATGCTGATTATAAAATATCAAATAATTCTTCACAATGACTCTGAGTTTTCTAGGTTTTGACTGATAAGCATTCCTCCAGGGTACATCTTCTCAAATAAGTCAACATTAGGGGATCATTAAACTTTATGCCTACTTTGTGACTTTATCTAAAATGTCTGTCCTTTGTTACGTATGTAACACCTTTTAAAACAATATCCACCATATTTTCTAAAATACAAAACCAGTTATATCATTTGCAGGTGAGGATATTTGCTCGAAACTTGCAATGTTCAGCAAAAATTGAGAGACCAAGATCGCAGTTTTATCATCAAAACTTAAAGGTCTTCTCAAATGTCACACTTTTGGGCCCATTAGTGTGGAATTGCCAAAATCCAATTTGTGTTTACAAACCTTCTCTTGCGGGAAGTTGAATGAGAAGATGAAGACGAAAATGAGGCTGTTGAGGAGGACCTGCTCCCAGAGTCATTTTCCACACTGCTGTGCGACAGGACGGATAACAGTGACCTGGTAGATTCCCCCGTCTGGTCCAGCCCAAGTCGGCCACCGCCTGCCTTAGGTTGTCCCGATAGATCATCACTGTGTGGTGTTACCGCGGGATCCATTCCAGATGCGTTTTCATTCTCGTACCTCTTCGGTGTCGAGTGAGCACGAGGGTCATTTTCTCCGTCACTGTCCATTTTCATTCATTTTACGGTGTACCTGGTGTAAAAATTAAAATCAAAAAAAAAAAATTATGACGGTAAAGAAGGTCTAATTCTACTTTCTAGAACTACTCCAGTGCGCGCGTGGCCATAGAATAGAGGGTATGCAGTGTGCACAGCCATTTTCCCACCGTAAATTTATCAGTTTATGCGAGATTTGACCTCAGTCAGTCAGTGAGGTCATATTATCACTTTCTAATGGCTGAAAGGTCACTGAAGAGAAAAACTTAGTGATGGCCAGATATGAGAATCTTTCCAAGGAACAAAAATGGTCTCTCACTTCACTCACTCCTCGAAAAAGGTGTAAACTCCCTGCAGTCTGTTGAAAATTAATTTTGTAATTGGCGGTGGAGGCCCTCTATCGGTGGTTCGAGGAAATGCTAGTCTGGTATATTTTTTTGTAGGCTAATGCATACTGGCTAATGCATCCTCGACCAAATTTACGGCGGGATCAAGACCGCATCGAGCGAGTGTTTACGTTGGTTGGGAAAATCGAAGTTGTCATATTTTTTTAATCCGCTTGTTGTCTCATCAGTCTGTAAACACGGGAGGATCAAATGATATGATGCTCTTTGGGGCTTTGCTGAGTGTGATAGTTCCGCTATCATTACTTACGTGGGCGATTTCAATGCTTGGATTCACCTACATGGGATCTGAAGGTTTGTCATGCATGTGTCATGTTACGTTTGTTGGGGATTTTATACGCGGAGACCCCGTGGCCTTGCACAGAGCGCCCTCACATCTACGCGGGTACTCAGCAAAGTCCACTTCGGGATGTTAACAGGTTGTGTTATTGAATAACCCTGAAAAGTTAAAGCATGTGATTTTAAGGGTCTAGTACTACAGTACTAGGCCTAGTACTAGTACTACACTGATCTCGGTAATGCATAGTCCGAGTAACTTTGCCGTAACTTGGACCCAACTTATCGCCTTTTTTAACATTTTGGACATGGTCTGGCGATAGTGGGGTCCAAGCTAATGCCGCGACCTGGACAACATCATCCTGTCACTGTCCCAAACCAACATTTTCCAACAAAAAACATCAGATTTTACCTTCAAAACGGCCTCCATATTACTAGATATGCCACCTGAAGTACAAGTAGACATCGATGATTAAGATGGTTGTACTTAAGTTTACTTACGATCCGGAAGAAAAGTGAAATTTTCCGTTCAGATTCCCCTGCGCCGCGCTGACAACTGTTTCCTGATGAAGAGTGCTGTGTAAGTTCGCGGTACGCCTAGGAGTCGCGCTGGCTAGCCAGGCGCATGGCTGGCAGTGCATTGTGCGCAAGCGCGCCGTCACGACCTTTGCATGAGGTCGAGGTCAGACACCATTATCATGCAGTTTTGAACGTGAGCACAACAACGACAACCTAGGCAGAGGGGGTCTTCAGAATTGAACGGAAAATTTCACTTTTAATAAAGTGCAAAGTGAACCCTTTGAAAATGCCCCGAAAAATAAGAAAATAATTTTCTGACAAACTGGGTTTGTAAGTAAAGATAATAATGATTTATCAGAATTTATCAAGTTTACAGAAATTCTTAAATGTTAATTTGGAATTTTCTGAGATTTATTCAAGTGCGCCACGTTAGGGAACACTCCGCCAATTTGTGCCCAATTTCCAGACGCGACCGTTTTTGCATTTCGGATTAAATTTTATGAAACCGAAATTGTTAACAGAGGTTAAATAGCAAGCATTAAAAAGGTAAAAGTACCAGCATTTCACTGCATGAATTTTAGATTTATCAACAAAGAGGTTTTGCAACACTACACGAGGAAAGTTGGGTAAGCTTCAAAGTGCGCCACGTTAGGGAACACGACTATATGTGCATGCGTACAAGTGCATGTACCATACCCCCCGCGGCGCGCTCCGAGCGAACCGAAAATCATCGCTCGATCATATGCGTGCAACGTTTCAAGTGTCAGGTTGGCTCAGTGCGGAAAGGGCATATTTTTCATCATTTTGGCCTAAAAACCGACAGAATCCACCTATGTTAGTTCTGCGCATGATATGTGAGTATATCAAGAGATAAAGTACGGAGTATAGGGGCAAACTGTGCAGCGGTTCTGTGTGAAATGTCTCCATTTTGATGGACGTTTTTGTACTTTATTAGTGTTTTGTGCTGCAGGCAATTTTGCGGGCTTCAAAAGAAGCCTCATAGTTCTAGGAGTATATCTTTAGGACACCTCTATTTTTTATGAGTTCTGTTCAAAACTGACCTTTGCAGATGACTGTCCATTATAAATACCAAAGTGACTTTTGGCTGCAGGCTAAAGCAGTCTTTTTCCCTCCGATAAACTCATGTTTGTTCCAATTTAAATTAAAATCACTTTCAAAGAAAATTTGATTTTCCTGCCCTTTTTTTTTTTTTTTGGCAGTCAGACGTGAGACGTGCATTTTGTAGTTCTCACAACACGAGTGAAAGCCAGACACAATGAAATCCCGATGCTGATTGGCTGCTAAAAAAATTAATAAAATACATATTTTTTTATCAGCCAATTAGCATCGAGCTTTCATTACATCTAGCTTTCACATTTGCCATCTTGGTTTTTTAGTCTATTTTCTGGTTGTCATTGCCCTCTTTTACCCCTTAATCAATGTCCCTCATAAATCAAAGCCTTGCCCTCTTTCCACAAAATTAAACCTGTTGATAATAAAGAAGGTGTCATTACTACCTGATTACTAACTGTTCAGTTGTGTCAAGAAATATCAGGATGTCAATTTGAGTGTCATTTAGTCAGTTGTTTGGTAAGTCTTTTAACCTTAAATAGGAACGGGGTTCTAAAGGTAAGGATAACCCTGATCTCTATATAAAGACATGGATAGCGTACGGAAAGCCGCAGAACGCCATTTGAAGCCATATTGGAGAGACCGGCTGGTGATCTGTAAAGGACAAGTTGCCGTCTTTACAGGCAGCATGATTCACTTAACATCATGGTTCTCCTGATTTACATTTTGACCACCACCACTGACCACGGTTCACACTTGTTCAACTATGTCAACCATCGTGGTCCACTTTTTGCATGCCGCAATTCACATTTTGCGGCGTTTGAAAATAATAATCACTACAGAAATTTGTCCTTTTTAGAACATCATAATACGTGTACGTGACCAAAATGCGCATCAACTCTTGATACAGTGCGTGCTGTATCCATGTAGATCATTCATATACGCGGCCATCTTTTTCTTTGAGAGACCGGAGGCGAATTTGTCAATATGCAAATTCTACTGTGTGACGGGTGTATGGGCATCCGATATCCAGTCTTTATATAGAGATCAGTGGTCTACTCTGCATATCACAGAAACCCAGACCTGTTCTCATTGAGGGTGCACTATGTACACGGTCGACCGGTCAACCTATAGCAAGCCAATAGAAATGCACTTGTTTCAGTGCAGTGGCAGCACGATCGCGCATTTCGATTTTTCAATGTCTGCAAGGTATTTTTGAGGGGCAATTTTCATATGATTTCACTTGCCATTTTGATTTTCAACATACATGTAACTTGATATCGATCATGGAAAAAAAAACTCAAAAATTTGCCAAGATTTTGACAAAATACAACTCTTTCATTGAAAAAGAAAGTCAACTGTGGACCAATTTTTCACATAGGCCTAACTTTAAGGAGGCCACTCCTCTCAAAAAAGAACCTCAAAAGTGGAAACTACGATGTAGAAATATGCAGAAACTTTTGGATTCCGCTTCCAAAACTACCCCTCACTCGAGTCAAGGCAATAATCCACGCAGGTGGAGTGGCGCCGGTATTTTTTTTTCTCTCAAAATCACTCCACTCAAAATACTTGAACAATACATTTGTACATAGAAATACACCTTATTGATGCCTCAGACTATCAACAATTTTGTTGTGTCCGTGTAACAAGGTCGTATCTCCTAAAATGGGCGGTATGTTAAATACCAGTTTCAGAATGTCAAGGGGTTGTATCTCACTTAAAATAACCCGGATGTACACACAGAGTCAGTGGTCGTAGAGATACATGTACAACCTTGTTGCATGGAGCGTATTTGCGTGAGATGTGACTTTGTTGCAGAATGGAATTACGACATTGTTGCACCGACGCAAAGATTTATTCTCATTGTTTTTCCTTTTTCAGCCCCAATCTACCCAATTTCCCCAGGACGATGGCTTCTGACTGTCACATTGCCACTTTTCCTCGCTATCAGCGGTCTAAGAAAGAAGAGTGTAACATCAGGAGGGGCAATCTTAGGTAAAGAAACTCAAGATGCATCATCTAAAAAAATAATTAAAATATGTTTGCAAGGTTTTCCCGATTCTAAAAATGAGACCTCGTATTTACTCAGTCTGCCCTCCAGCTTGATTCACACAAAAATAAACGATATCTGTATTAAAACCAGCTTATTTGATCACAACACAAGATATTGTTGTAAATACAATGTCCAACTGGTTCAGTGACCAGCAACTATCTACCTTGTAAATATACATTGTGTAAATATACATGTATGTTTCAGTATGTCAAGTGCAACCACATGTAAGGGCAATTGGCAGCCTTTGTGAAGTGTTGCCTAAACATTTACATGACAATTATGTTGATTTTGCCGAGTGTTTGCATTGGTTACTTAGACTTTTATACTTGTGACTTTTTTTGTTACTGGTTTCCAGCTATTTTAATGCTTTACAATATAAAATTTGATGAGCAGGTTTTTTTAGCTGTGTGTAAATAAGCTGCAATACATTTGTAAATTGTTCAGTCTTTATTTTACAAACCTAAACAGCTGATTTCAGACAAGTTCAATTGTGATCAAGTTTGGTATGCCAATTCTTGTTGAAAAAACGTGTATTTATAAGTTGTAGCTCAGTCCAACAAGAAATTTTGTAAATAATGTTCATTAACCCTCCTGCTGTCTGAACAGTCACAGACAGTCAAAAAATCCATCCTCTTTTCCTGTCATGCCTTTTGCTAGTCATCAACAGTCAGATCATATTTTCAGCAAGCACTCTGACTAGTCAAATTCAGTCATTAGACAAATGCATGCAACTGGTAGGCACTGCTGGCTCATCAATAAACTGCAGTCAAAACATAACTGTATCAAGTTACGTTATAAACAGTCACAGCCAGCTAATCCTGCTTTATGTAGGCTGGGAGCTCTTAACTGTCAAAAACAGTCACGTGATTGATTTGATTGAAAGGACAACTTGGCACAGAATGTTTGTTTGCCTAGGAGGGTTAAAAGGCTACGATTTTCCGTCTGTACTGGTATGAGCGCAAATTCTTGTACACATTCTTGTACATTTTTCAGGACTGTCACATCTTTTCTTCATGGAATAGTAGTTAAAGCCAGAGTCCATCATTTGCAGCTATCCAAAAAGTAACTGGCATGATTATTTTTGAAAAACATACTTGGTTGAAAGATGGTAAGGGGACTAAACTCCCTGTGAAATTATTCTTTCTGGCAAGCTGTCATTTTGAAGAAATTAACGAAAGAAGGCCTTTCCAACGGTGCGTCTTATAAGAAGCACCGTTGGAAATTTCCGTTAGTAGTTCGTTTGCGAAGCGCGCACAAGCGTTGACACGACGCACACGCTCGCGCAGTTGCTATAATTCGTCGGATTGGTGCGCGACATCGCGCAGCTGCATTCGGCTCAGTGAGAATGTGTCTCGGACGCTGAATCCAGGCCCAATTCAAAACATGATTCAGCAGCTTTTGATTTGAAAACGAGATCCTGGAATGCAGGTTTTCTCGAAATATACAGCTGAAGCTGAGCTGAAGCTGAGCTGAAGCTGAGCTGAAGCTGAGCTGAAGCTGAGCTGAAGCTGAGCTGAAGCTGAGCTGAAGCTTCATCAGGGTTATTTGTTTAGCATCCTTCTTTAGATTTGGAGCACTTTTGTTGCTTTAAACGAACAAAATGCACAAATTACAAATGATGGACTATACCTTTAAAACATCCACAACACACACATGTAGGCCTGTGAACATTTTTCAAAAGATTCTGCAAAAAATAAATCGTGGAGTAAATGTCAGGAAAAAAACATGGGGAAAAATGATCCTACCTTCCCTCCCCAAGCCCTTTTAGGGTTAAGAGAATAACTGTCTTCTGTCTTCTCCTTTGCAGGTTATTTGGTCGGTTTCACCATGCTGTTGGCTAGTTATTCCTTCTTCATGGCTCTCCTTGCATTCTTCTACACTGCCTCCAAAGCCACCAGATTCAAAGCCGAAATGAAGAAGAAAATTGAGGCTGATTATAAAGAAGGTATGCAGAGGTTACTTGTTGGGCAATTCCGGATGGGTCCACTTTTTTTTTTTTTACGCCCCTGTATGGCACCCACTGTTATCGTTCACATTCAAACGTAAAACATTGAATTGTTTCAATTTTTGTCTCATTTGTTTTGAATTGTTGGCTTCCCATACACATATTTTAAAAGTTTAGATCAAATAAAACCCATATGCTGTCTTACATTTTAGGGAGAAAAACGTTGAAAGCCCAGCACTAGGTTTCACGACGTCGCAACTTGCAATTTGTCGTATAATTAATTTCACAAAATGTACGATGCATTGAGCGCGTCGTAAGCTACTTGACAACGGCTTAAAACGTCACAAGTAACAACGTGTCTGGTGGTCATCACAAAATAAAAAGCGTCCTTTTCTTAGCCAGTTTTATGCCATAAAAAATTACATAAACGAGACTATAATACTGAGACAATGTGTGAAGCTGTTAATGGAAAATGCATCGAAGTAAACATGAATTAGTCTGGAATATTGCAGCTGAAATTTAGCTATAAATCCATCGCGAGCTTGTTTTCCTTTAAAACTGCTTCATACGTCCTCCATTTTGTTTTACGTTTTAAAAACTTTTTGAGAGGAGCTTCGAGGACTCTTTGCTGAATGTTTGACGACGTTCTGCTGTTTCTTGCATAAATACATATAACAGTCAACGTGTTGTGCTAAAAAATACACCTATGACGCATTTCACTTGCGACATGTTTTGTGAAATAAATCAAAGGACGTTTTGCGGCTGCATCGCATTGTAGGGTTGTGACATGTCGCAGCGCTGCGTTTGTAAGGGTTAGTATAAATACTAACCCCCAAATCCACCATTTTCTGAAAATTATAGCAAAAGCAGATGGGTCATTCCATGCCAACTCAACAAATGTTGCACACCATCACCTCTTGGATTTTTTTCTTTTTTGGTGTACTGAAAGATACTTAGGAGAAATGCAAATTCTGAAAATTTGGGGTCTCTACGACTTTTTGTTCTTGCGCAACAGCATTTTGAAATTTGAGGTGGGCGGGGCCAAAAGTGCGTCGCGTCACGAAATTCAATGTTTAAAGGGCCATATATTTAAAACTATACCCCCCAGACATTTCAAACTTGGTAATCTGGGCTATTTTTTGCTGTAGATTTCAAATATTTAAACAGAAAGAAAGTAGCTTGTTTCATTTTTAAGTTAGAGGGGCCCCAAAATGGCCCAAAACCCATCTGGACCAATGTTTGGGGGGGTGTAAGTCAAAAATTGAAAATATTTTTTTCACCAATTTTTTTGCCTGTAATAGCCCCCAATTGAAACTACTTTCATGTAAAATCTTACACTTATATTAACTTCATTGAATGAGATATAGCCCTTGCAAAAAGCAAATTTCTTATTTTTACGATAACTTGACCCCCCCAAAAACTAACGTCAGACATTCCGCACCAAATTTTGCTTCACATATGTTTGAGGTTGGTCCTTAGTGAAGTCCTCTGAAAAGTTTCATGTTGGTGTCTAAATGTCTTCAGTGGATAGCTGGGCTTTATAAAGAGTCTATATCTTACGATGCTGCAGGTTCCGTAACATACAAGTACATGTACTTGTATTTTACGGAACCAGCACAACAAAATCCCTGTTGATAAACTGTTGATAGACTTGGGTCAAGACTACCCATTTCCTGCTCAATAAACAGTTGCTTGTAGACCTATGTGTGCATTATAGGCAAATTAGGTTAAATGACTTGAGAGTCTTATTCTTTCCATGTGCTCATCACACAGCATGCATGTCATGTACATGTATACATTAACCAGTTCTCACTTGCACAGCATAGTATAGCACTAACCTGAACCAAAGAGAAGTGATTCAGTTTGAGTAAAGGGTCTATGGTTTTAACCTGATTGATCTTAGTTTTCATTATGGATAAGGGGAACCTAGTTCATGCAGGAAACTCATCATGCACCAATTGTAGCAGCTGACCTCAACCCAGGAAAATATGTTTGTGTGGTCTATGATGATGTTTGGTACATTGCTATTGTAGAAGATGTATCACAACTTCATGAGGATGTGTATGTCCGCTTCATGTACAGGACGGAATCAACAAATACTCTCTATTGGCCACAAAGAGATGATAAATGTAACATTCCATTTGTTGATGTGTTGTGTTGCGTACCAACACCAGAACTTCTACATAGCGGTGGAAGGCAATACAAACTTAGTGAGCCAACCATCATGCAACTCATTCAACTTCATCAAAACTACATCACAAGGAATGCATAATTTCACCTGTGAAACTGTAAACAATTATATCAACTGATCAAAAGTCTACATGTACAAATGTAAGCTAAGTTTCATACCCAACTTATTCTTTATGTACCGACTGCTGTTATTCTTGGTACAATGTACGTGTACTTAGTTGTATGTTACGGAACCAGCATCGTAAGATATAGACTCATTATAAAGCCCAGCTATCCACTGAAGACATTTAGACACCAACATGAAACTTTTCAGAGGACTTCACTAAGGACCAACCTCAAACATATGTGAAGCAAAATTTGGGGCGGAATGTCTGACGTTGGTTTTGGGGGGGGTCAAGTTATCGTAAAAGTAAGAAATTTGCTTTTTGCAAGGGCTATATCTCATTCAATGAAGTTAATATAAGTGTAAGATTTTACATGAGAGTAGTTTCACTTGGGGGCTATTACAGGCAAAAAAATTGGTGAAAAAAATATTTTCAATTTTTGACTTACACCCCCCCGAACATTGGTCCAGATGAGTTTTGGGCCATTTTGGGCCCCCTTTAACTTAAAAATGAAACAAGCTACTTTCTTTCTGTGAAAATATTTGAAATCTACAGCAAAAAATAGCCCAAATTACCAAGTTTGAAATGTCTGGGGGGTATAGTTTTAAATATATGGCCCTTTAAACATTGAACTTCGTGACGCGACGCACTTTTGGCCCCGCCCACCTCAAATTTCAAAATGCTGTTGCGCAAGAACAAAAAGTCGTAGAGACCCCAAATTTTCAGAATTTGCATTTCTCCTAAGTATCTTTCAGTACACCAAAAAAGAAAAAAATCCAAGAGGTGATGGTGTGCAACATTTGTTGAGTTGGCATGGAATGACCCAGATGTTATATATTACCCTTAAGATTTTGAGCAAGAACAGCATTTTTTCTTGTTTTTCCCAGCATCTGTGAACGCAGAACAGGTCAGTGTAACAATATTTGCTATAAAATGCTAACCCCCAAATCCATCCATTTCTGAAAAATACAATTTTGTTGCTTCAAATGAAAACAATGCAAGCAAACAGCAAGTGATCCCAAGTACCGCACATTGGTTCACACTTACAAATCACTGAAACACTCTGCACCAAATTATCTCTCTTCTCTTCTCACAATTCAGACCCGTCCTTACTCCCTTCGTTCTTCCGCTGGAGAGTCCCTTGTCATCCCCAAGTCACGTAAACAGGCTGGTGACAGGGCATTCTCCATTCCCGCCCCCCGGTTACGGAATAGCCTTACCATCCCCGTCAGAAATTCTGGCAGTGTTTTGTCCTTCAATTAGGCTCTCAAGACCAACCTTTCCCCCAAAACGTATCTGGCTGTCCTCTTTCTTGTCTTCTTTCCCTGTTTCATTCTTTGTTCAGCGCCTTGTATCCTTTGGCAATTTGGCGCTCTATAAGTCCAGTTGTTATTACCTTTTGTGCAATTTGTGTTTACTACAGGAGGCCAGCGTGACTGGCTACAGGTCATCAGTAACGGTGGCATCCCCACCTCTCTCGCCATCATCTACGTGGTGGACAGCGGTTTTCGGGACCTGCCTCTGGACTTCCGCAGCCGGTACGACACCACCTGGACGGCCCTGGCACTCATGAGCGCCTACGCCTGCTGCTGCGGTGACACCTGGGCTTCGGAGATTGGGACCGTCATGGGGTCTAAGACGCCGCGGCTCATCACCACATTGTCCAAGGTTCCAGTGGGTGCGTACCGGTCAGGTCTTGTTTGTAGTGACCAGAGTTGTAATGACTCGAGCCAATGACTCAACTCGACCCGAGTCCCTCATCAGAAGACTCGAGTCAAAGGCTAATGACACTCGAGTCTTAACGCTGTACAAAAATATATTTGCGGTTACTTACGGTACAAAGTTATCACAAGTAAATCACAAGTTCATTCACAAGTAACAGTGGATGAAATATAACAAAGGAGCCTTTTGTCAAAGCTCATCTGAATTGAATGTGAACCTCTTACCAATGGAATACTGGTGGCATGGGTGGCTTGTGCACGAAGCGCTCGCTTCTCACCAAGGTGACCACGGTTCGAATCCTGGCCGCGGATCGCATGTGAGTAGAGTCGTGCGTTGGTTCTCTCCTATGCCACGAGGGTTTTTCTCCGGGCCCTCCGGTTTTCCTCCCTCCGGAAAAATCAAACACTTTCGATCTCAGGCTGTGCTCCGTGGTCATATATGGGTCGATGTGGCCGGCAGCCATAGGTGCCTTTACGTGCCAGCGGCCCGACCATGTTGTAGCCGCGTCCTTCGCAATTTAGCATACCAGCTGCGAGTAAGGATGATTAGCTTCCCAAATTATTCTTATTATTATTATTATTACTAGCTTATACAACAAGTCTATATTATAACTGTTTTTCTATTCAAAGTGTCTTTATTCCTGGAATACCAGTCACATTCCATTTGCTCAATAGGAGATGATGTATTACTAATTTATTCATTTATTCACGATGACCTGTTCCAGGAACCAATGGAGCAGTCTCCTTTGTTGGCCTACTATCCAGTGCCGTGGGTGGATTCATGGTCGGCTGTGGGTTCTACATCGGCCTGCTCATCTCCTTCTCCAGTCCGGCCTTTAAGACGGCCACCCCGCAGTGGCCGGTCATGGTGTTTGCCGCCCTCGCTGGGCTAGTGGGTTCGCTGATTGATTCCCTCTTGGGGGCGCTCTTCCAGTACTCAGGTTTGTATGGATCACAAGTCCCCCAGTCCCAAGTCAAGTCACGACCGATTCAAATGAATTCATCCCCTGTTACTTGTGACTGGACTTGAGATGGACTTGACAACAGCACTGTACATGAAGATTATATTTGTAGTGGACAATGGGCAGTTGACACTTCTGGAGTTGGCCAAAAGCCCGGCCCACGTTGTCCATTGCAGCCCTGGCCAAGTTCGGGCAAGGACCATTAGTCGACTAGTGGTTGATTTGTGACGTACCTTACGCCTGTGCACTGATAGCAACGTGCGAACGTCTCTAGTCAAACGCTGGTCAAAATGTCATCGCAAAACTTCTGGATCCTGGCTCTCTGCTAGCGTTATGAATGCGCGCAGCTATTGGTTGCCAGCGAAACAACCAACCCCAGTATAGGCTGGTTCCAAATAGTCGACTAGCGTAGTCCACCACCGTCGACTAGACAGAGTTCGGGCAAACGTTAGTTAACCATTGGTCAACTATAGTCCTTGCGCGAACTTGGCCCCTGTCTGTCTCTGGTCCAACGTCTGCTATATCTAAGCATGCAAATTTATGCGACCCTGCACGTCAGCCAATCGGAGTCATATAAGTAACTAAAATCGTGAAGTCATTTTGATCAGAAATGTGGACTAAGCTTTTGATTGGTCTGCTTGGATGCCATGATGTAGCAGCCAACTTCTGATATACAGCCCGTGATATAGGAAGCCAACTTCAGGTAAACGGCCAAACGCCACAAATACTGATTCGCAAGAGTCATTTCAACAGTATTTGTACGGTATTTCTTACCTCATATTGTTCAACACTCTGGATAGGTCCAGGGCGTGTAAATTGAAGAACGCAAGGCCGTGCACAGCGGCCAATTCAAGATCGACACACGCTTGACCTTTTAACCAGTCAGCCAGCCAGTGCGTGTTGTTACGTCCTCTGACGCGAACTTGTAAACCCAATGATCACCACATTCTGTGTTGCTCCCTCTTGTTCCAGCTCTTGACCTGCGAACCAAGCGTGTAGTCAGCACAGCCACCACAACCACAGAGTACATCTGCGGTTGGCCGGTACTAGACAACAACGGCGTCAACATGCTGTCCTCTTTGCTAACGTCAATGATTATGCCTGGTATCTGTTTCGCTTGGTGGCCCGCAGGTGCCTAGCAGATGCCCCACACCACCCCACTCCACCCATTCCACCCCACCCCACCCCACCCCACCCCATCCTGCCCACCCCACCCCACCCCGCCCCCTAAAAAAAAAAAATAACCAATGTGACCAGCAGCCGATTTCATGAAACTTTATGCAAAGGCGTAACTCCAGTTGCACCACATTATATCAAGTATGTTGCCCGACATTTCACACTACACAACATTTCAGTAATTACACATCTCATGAAAGTTTCGATAGTGCCAAGTCCGTAACTCACACAACAAATTATGATACAACTTACGTGATTATTTTAGGTGGCATAAGTCATGACGTAGCAACTGAAAATGGACTATTTTACTGACTAATCGTGAGCGTCGTGGAGCGTGTCATTGCTCAACTTCGCAAAGTTGATACAAGATACTCGCAGCGTTGTTGTTGAAGTAAATAAATTGCTCTTTTTTTTTCGTGACAGAATTTATAGAGTTGCCGCATGATTCGGAAGAAAGTCGGACAAAACTATTTTTCAAAATAGGGGAGCGAAGGTGGTATACCACGCACGCATTTAATTTGTAACTGTGCACGTACATGTTCAACTGTTTTGTACATGTGGTCTCCACTATCAATACCCCAAACGTGATGATAAAATTCGAAGATTAATTTGGTGGATTCAACTCAAGCTTTAAGGAGATAAACCAGGGTAAATCGAAGCCAATTAGTGCAATTAATCATGTGTGCAAAAAGGCCATTCATGTAAGTCGGCAAAATGACGACTTACAGCAGATGTCGGCATTCACGTAAGTCGTCACAAATTCTCGGGTCCCGAGAGTACCGACTTAGCCGGAGTTAACTGTATGTAATGCCTCTGAAAATATTCCTGTGTGACTTGGTACTAAAATGTAGTGCTGCAGATAACAAAATATTTACTGCTGTGTTGAAATGTATTTAATTTGGGATTTCTTAGATTTAATTTGAACTTTAAGTAGCAAACTAACAAACTAACAAACTAACAATTGAAATAACTAAACTTCAGAATTAAATAGAACTAGAGATGCACATTTGTCGAGTTTCAAACGCTGGTTGATCAGGCAGGCAGCTACATGTATTTCATGGGACATTGCCCACTTTCAAGTGCGAATATTTTTTTTTAGCAGCTGAGCTAGCGAACAAAATGTGGACCAACTAAATTTGGCAAATTGTGGCAGTATTTAAAAATTTCATTTTGTTCCAATGATGGTCGGCCGACCATTGTTGAAAATGTTCCACTTTCCTTGAAAATGACAGCACACCAGGTGCCATGATTTCACAGGATGCCTGAGACTATTATTCACTTAAAGTGAAGTAAGGTGTTCCATAATAAGTTGTGCCCGATCACCCAAAAACACCTAAACAAATAAACAAATGTTAATTCAGAAAATTGGATAAAGGAGAAAGAATGCTACTTTGCAGAAAAAAAGGTTCAATTCCCACCAGTAGCATTTGTGTCTGAAATCAGTATTATCTGAAATTGCCAAATCTAATGTGCTATTAGATATTAGATCACCACACATTTCTTTTATTCCTTCGAAGTTACGATCAGTACTTTCCTTTTTGTATTTGTCACGCTTTAATACATGCTTTCTCTCTGCAATCTTTTTTCCTTCTGAAATATATGTATGTTTTTGTATTACATTTTCCTTTGTCTACATTTTTATAAATTCTCTATTTCTGTATTTTGGAGTGTATTACATTAGTGCATCCTTTTTGTATTCTTTGGTTCTCATTACCGATCGACCCTATTTTAGGCTCCAGACTTTTTAATTACCCTGGCGGGACTCTGGAACGCCTTACTAACAAAATAATAAAGTTAAGACAAAAGACAACATTCATGCAATCAGTCTTTGTGTTATTTGAAAAGCTAGGGAAAATAATGTAAGAGTTTGCGCAAAGCAAACTCTTACAGGGTGTTGTTGCCTCTTATATCATATCACTATTATCGGGGGTCTTTAGTTTAACTTTAAAGCTATAGTCCATCATTTGCAGCCATCCGAAAAAGTAACTGGTGTATTATTGTTGAAAAACATACTTGGTTGAAAGATAGTAAGTGGACTAAACTCCCTGTGAAATTAATCTTTCTGGCAAGCTATCATTTTGAAGTAATCAATGAAAGAAGGCCTTTCCAACGGTGCGTCTTAAGATGCACCGTAGGAAAATTTAAATTAGTAGTTCGTTTTGTTATTCGGCGCAGCGCACGCAAGCATTGGCACGATGCACAGGCGCGCGCGGTTGCTATAATTCGTCGGATCAGTGCGCGACATCGCGTATAGCTGCAATTCAAAACAATTCAAAACATGATTCAGCAACTTTTGATTTAAAATTGAGATCCTAGAATGCTGTTTTTCTCGGAATATACAGCTGAAGCTGAGCTGAAACTTCATCAGGTTTGTTGTTCAGTATCCTTCATTAGATTTTGAACACTTTTGTTGCTTCAAACGAACAAAATGCACAAATTACAAATGATGGACTATATCTTTAATGTTATGTCATGGCTGCCATTGGGTGCATACCTATGTTCCCCAATACCTATGTTCCCCAGTACCGATATTCCCTAACACTAACCCTAACCTTAAGGATTTCGGGGAACATTGGTTAGACCCCCTACCATTAACGCTGCGTGCTCCATGGTAAAGATATAATGTAAGCCAACTGCATAAACTCCTAAACTCATTGCGATAAACAAAAAGAGAGACACTAAACACTTGCCAAATATGGTTTTATTATATTATTCAGTGATATCAGCTCATGATAAACTCACTGCAATAAACACAAAACTAGAGACAGTACGCACTTGGCATCATTGAATTTAGCCATCTGTATGCGTGCAACTCAGTATTTTTTATTTTGCGGTTAAAGTTTTAGCCGACCGACCGATCTCACTTCAGAGGCGAAAAAATGAGAACCATAGAAACAAGAAGGGATGCCCATATGAAATAATTATGTATACATCTATTAACATGTTTTGCCTTAATTGAATATTAACAGAACTGTGACATATGCGCCATTAAAATGGTCTTTTTAAAATTTAAAACACAAACAGGAGTTGTTTTCAATCCTCACAAGTCACAAGCTGATAATGTTACTTCTGACATTGTACATGTGATGGGCATGTGATTCACATGTGATGGACATGTTCAAATGAACTGTGATAATGTTACTTCTGACATTGTACATGTGATGGACATGTGATGGACATGTGATGGACATGTGATTAATATGTGATTCACATGTGACGGACATGTGATGGACTTGTTACTGGACTTGCTACTGGACTCGTACTTGGTGGTATAAGTTATTGAGAACAGGAACCTGGCTGTTTGCATTCAAAATGTCAAGTCTGCCCAAAATACTGACCTTGGTTGGGAAATTTCTAAAAATAATAACTATTTTGTTTTACTGACTCCACTTCTAAACGTATTTGTCTTTTGATTATCTTTGTGAACATTTTAAGAAAACTTTAATTTCCATGTGCTGTAAAACAGTTGTGTATTATAAAAAGTGAGCAATAGTTGCAATTTAGGTATATGGAAATATTTTTTTTTTTAAATGTATTATCCTGTTGAATTTACATGCCATCACAATTTGTAAACTGAGTTGAAAAATGTGATAGCTCATAAATAAATGTGCCTTTACTAATTTTTTGTATTCAGAGTCATAATTTTGTTAACCCTTACTCTCTGAGGGTAGTTTACTGCATGTCAGTTGGTTATGCCAATGCCCTCCAGCTGCAGTATTTTGGCAGATAGTTAGATTTAACAGTGAAGGCTCCAATTGGCAGGAGTTGGAGGCCCTGGAGGGTGCCTGATACTGACCAGCTGGGGGCACTTGATTGTTATCAGAGGACTCTCATTGTTCTCTGTGGCATGTATTGGAGTGCCTGTCCAGTTACCCTTGAAATGACATGGCAGATATTGGAGGGCCATGCAAAAAACATAGGAGATTTTCTTGAGGCACATATTGGCATGCGTTGGAGGGTCTAGTAGGGTAAGGGTTAATGAGGAAAAGTAGACAGTTTTATATGCAACCAAATATTAAGAACATATTATAAATGTGATAAAGGCTGAGATTTTGTTCGTATTAAAAACATTGACCTTTCTGCATAAAATGTCCTGTGTGCCCTATGACTGCTTTATTTTGACAGATTTATTCGAGCACTATTAAAGCGGCAGTATGCGATTTGTACTCAGTCGAGTTACTCGAGTATATTGTTTGGCACTTACTCTTACTCGCAAGAAAGCAGAGTTGTAATGACTCGAGTCAATGACTCGACTCAAGTCCGACTCGAGTCAATGACTCGACTCAAGTCCGACTCGAGTCATGGTGACTCGACTCGACTTGAGTCTCTAAAGGCAACTGACTCGACTCGAGTCACTGCGAGCAAATGCCTTGACTCGACTCGAGTCCCTCATCAGAATGACTCGACTCGACTTGACGAAGGCTTATAAGACTCGAGTCCCAAAAATAAATGCAAAAAAAATATTTGCAATGACTTAACGCCGTTGCCGGTTTTTGTTCGCGTCACGTTAAAATGATCGTGAATAATATATATACATTAGTTGAATGGCGATCACCTTGCACCCCGTTTTTATTTTCATTAAGAGTCAAATGTGGTGCTACCATATGTAGCCGGAATGTAAAATTAAAAAAGTAAAAAAAAATGACTTTCTCTCTTGTGTTTATTTATCGTATAGTGTTCAAATATTTGTGACTCGAATTAACTCGAGCTAAATACTTGACTTGACTCGACTCGCTCGACTACACACTGACTCGACTTGACTCATCCTTCTTGACCTAATGACTCGACTCGACTCCAGTCACTTCTTTAAAATGACTCGACTCGAGTCACAAAAATCAGTGACTCGTTACAACCTGGCAAGAAAGAAATAATCTGTGCTTGTACTCATACATGTTCTCGTTGCAGAGTGCTAGTTACTTATGTTCGTACTTATGGAAAACTCATACTCCTAGTACTCGCATGCATACTTGCGCCAAGGCACGCAAGTTTACGTTACATACCAAGT